ACCTTGAATGAACCTTCCAGAGCTGGGATGGTCTCCAAGGACTTAGGGTCACCTCCTCATGATGATGAAAGGTATCAGTGGAGGAAAGTACTACATAAATGTGTATTATTATTATTATGCTCACTTAATCTTATACCCTGTGACAATTTCAGGAAAATGCCTATGTTTTAGAAACCTCAAGGGCAGAGCAAGGAAAAATGGGCAGAAGGTGTAGGAGAGGCAGACTGGGGTGGCACATTGGATAGAGCACTGGCCCTGGAATCAGGGGGACCCGAGTTCAAATCTGGCTTCAGATACATAGCACTTTCTAGCTGTGTGACCCTGGGCAAGTCACTTAACCCCATTGCCTATCCAAAAAAAAAAAAAAAAGGAGAGGCAGACTCAGGTCCACAAAAAGAAAACTTTCCTCACAATGAGTGCTGTCTGAAGATGTAATGGGATGCTCCTGGAGGCAGTGGGCTCCCTCCTCACTGGGGTCTGAAAACAAAGGCTGGAGGACCAGTTATCAAGGATATTGCAGAGAGGACTCTGGATCAAGTATAGGCGGAACTCTATAGCCTATGAGGCTTCTTTCAGGTCTGACATCTGGCCAGTGTGAGCCTCCAAAAGGACTCGGGTGGGGCTTTTTGAAGGGAAGGGCTTTCTTCCTCCTTGTGGACAGGACTGAAGAACCTGGGATGACGGTGTCCTCCACCCATCAGTTCTCTGATTCTGGCTGGCCCATGCAGGATGAAAGTCTCTGAAGGCAGCTCTTCCACCACTACAGTTCAACAAGTATTCGTTAAGACACTGTGCTAGGCACCGGGGATACACAGACAAAAGGAATACGCCAAATAAACACCAAAAAAGCAATCACGCTCCGAGTTACTGTAGTGGCCAATCTTGGTCCTGAGAACAGAAAAGGAATCATCTCTTCCTCCTCTCAACAGAAAGGTGGGGTACCATGAGTGCAGAATGCTGCATACATTCTCAGACACAGTCCTTGTATCTGTTGGTTTTACCGCACTTTCTTTGTTACAAGAGAGGGTTCAGATCTGGGGACTGGTTGAGAAAGTACTCTATACAGAAATGATTATTTGGCAACCATAGAACTTGCTTAAAGCCACAGACAAAGAGCATAAGACATTTCAAATCCTTTACAATCTTTCCAGATTGATTTCATATTCACACACTCTTCATCTCAGCTACTTTGTATCACATTCCATTTCCTGTACCTTTGCCTAGGCCATCTCCAATACACAGAATGCTCTTCCTCCTTATCTCTGACTCTTAGAATCTGTGTGATTTATTTCTGCACCTCATCAGGTTGCTACCAGATATATATTTCAAGGACCCGAGACTCTGTCAGTGTGAGCTCTCCTACCAAAAGAGACTGTGAGAGAGAGAGAGAGAGAGCAGCAAGATTGGCATTGTTGGTCTGTCATTTCAGTCAGCTTCCACTCTTTGTGACCCTGTATCCCCAAGGATAATGGAGCGGTTTGCCATTTCCTTCTCCAGCTCATTTCACAATGATGAAACTGAGGCAAACAGGGTGAAGTGACTCGCCCAGGTTCACGCAGCTGGTAAGTGTCTGAGGCTAGATTTGAACTCAGGAAGATGTCTTCCTGACTCCAGGCCCAGTGCTCTATCCAGTGAGTCGCTTAGCTTCCCCTTAGACTCCTTAGCCTCTTCCAAAGCTTACTATGAACACTACCTATCTCCTACAGAAGGCCTTTCTTCACCCTCTCCCTAAAAATTATTTTTTATTTGTTTTGCATCAACTTTTCTGAGTAGGTGGTGTTTTCTTTCAGCTCTCTGAAAGGAGGAACTGCTTTCTTTTTTGCCTCGGTCTTCCTAGACAAAGTGTGTTGCCTGGCCCGTAATAGGCCCTTAATAAATTTGTGATGAATAAATGGGTGAATGGAGGGACTTACTTTTGGACATGGTCCATCAAGTCCAAAACGATTGGTTCAAGAAACAAAAACGCCACTAATGAAGAAGTGACACTGTAGCTTCTTTTAATTTTGATTTATCCCAAATTTATTTCTGAACACTGATGATTCTTTAAACGCTAAAATTTCTATTTAAAGGATAGCACCCATTCTAAAAGACCTATTGCCTATCTTGGACACAAGGTTCCATGTTGACCAATTTTATTGTCGTACCCATACTTCTGGATCATGTGGAATCACATATAATCATTGATTCTTTAATGAAGGCTTCGGAGGGTGATTCAACGCAAACCCTGTTGGGATGACCCATAGCCTATTCCCAGGCCTTCCAGGCCAAGGGGCTGTGGTGAGCCTGCTGTGCTTCTCAGGCCATCTTCACTTCCCGAGAGAGGCCAAATAGGTGTACCAGAAGAGAGCCACCATGTTGGCAAACAGCACCCGGAACTGGCAAAGGAAGAGGCAGAGTCAGGGTGAGGAGCATGAAGGGGGAGACCATTCTCACATAAGCACATCTTTGCTCTTCATCACATCCACGTTTAAGCAGGGAAACAGCCGTGGTTAGCCCTTCATACAGGGCAAATGTGGCTGTTCTGAGAAGCTTAAATTTCCATGCTACCATGACAACCAGCACAGCACACATCACATTCTGATTACCAGACAAGAGCTTATACGGATCACCATACCAGGACCCAAACAGACTTCCACACCACAGCCAATGCTGAATACCTTACCATGACCCAACCAGATCAGAGCTGAGCTGGCCCAAAAGCTACAGGTCATCATGATGGCTATGTGCTGTCCTGACCATCCTGCTACCACCTATATTGGCAACCGCACCAGAGCTCACACTGACCACCACCACATAGCTAACGGCCTATGCTAGCCAAAGACCTATAGGTCAACTTGACTGAATGAATGAGGTAGCTAGAGGGCACCATAGCACACAGAGTGCCGGACCTGGAGTCAGGAACACCTACTTCAAATCCTGCCCCAGACACTTATTTATTGTGTGACTCTGGACAAGTCACTTGGCCTTTGCTTGCCTCTGTTTCCTCATCTGTAAAATGGGGACCAGATGGGCACTTATCTCCCAGGATTGTTCTGAGTATCAAATGAGATAATACTTGCAAAAACACTTTGTAAACCCTTAAAGTGCTATATAAATGGTAGCTCTTATCATCATCATTATTGTTATGTGCTATACTGACCTTTGTGTCATAATCCAATATTGACAACCACACCACAGTCTACACTGACCACTACCTAACCCAAATGGACCTGCGCAACTTGATCTGACCCCCATGCTGCAGCTCATTCAGCCTTCCACATCATGACTCAAAGCCCATGCTGACCACAGTCCCATGCCCCAAAGAGCCTACCACACCATGATCCATTCTGATTAGCACATCATAATGCATCTTACTTTTATTCCAAAACAGAATGTGACCCATTATACTCTAGCCAATTTGGCTCATTGTGTTTGAGTAAATATTCTGATTTTTAAAAATAAGGTGGAGAGAGAAGCATAAAATTTGTAAACTATAGGCTGGAGAGTTTTTTCAATTCTTGGTAAAACTTTAGCATGTATTATTAAAGGGATGGTTGTGAAGATTCAGAAAGTGAAGCAGTGACTGTTAAGATCCAATATGGCTTCCTGAAGAATAAGTGGTCATACCAGACTATGTTCATTTCCATTACTCTTCCTATTATAGATCAGAGGAATACTGTAAATATAGATTTCAGCAAAGCATTTGACAAAGTATAGCTTGCTATCCCTGTGAACAAGATGGAGCAAAGTTGAGTTGGGGGGATTTGGAACCAGGTGAATGGCTGGATCCAATGGTGATAATGGCTTAATATTGTTTTGGAAGGAAACTTCACTTCCAGTGAAGTGCCTTTGGGGTTTGTTCTTGGCCCTGTGTTTCTAAAAACATTGTTTTACTGACCCAAAGGCATGTTTATCACATTTTCTGATGAAACGAAGCTAGGAGGCATAGGTAACATGTTGGACTATAGAGTCAGGGTCCAAAAGAGACCTCAGTAGGTTAAAATGATAGACCAAACCTAATTAACTGAAATTTTAAAAGGTTGTAAAGATCTACACTCAGGTTCAAATGATCAACTTCCTAGGTACAGGACAAGGCAGCATTACTGGACAATGAGCTCATCTCCAATGAATAGTGCTGCATGGTGATCAAAAAGGCTAAAGTTATTTTGAGCTGTCTTAAGATCTAATCTTCAGAACTCGGGAGGCTATACAAAGCATATCTCTACTGTTCAGTTTTGGGAACATTTTAAAGAGAATGCTGTCAAGCTGCATAGTCTCTAGAGGAGGTAGCTTAGGACGTAAATAATTAAGAACATTGAGAGTCATATCTTATGAGCGGTGGTTAAAGGAGCTTGGGAGGTTTACCCTGGAGAAAAGACTTGGAGGGGATGGAAAAGGACAACGCTTTAAGTATTGGAGGGCGGTATGCCATGTGGAAGAAAACTCTGCTTGGTCCTGGAGGGAATCAAAACTAGGAGCAATGGGTGGAAGAGAGGCTGCTTCTGTCTCTACTGCGTGGAAGGTCTTCCACCTCACCTCCATCTCTTAGAATCTTTAGCTTCCTTCAAGACTCAGGCTTAGAGCTTTCCAAAAATGGAATGGGTTGCCTTGGGAAGCAAGATGACCTCTTTTGTGGCACTCAGCATAGGAGATTCCTTTTCAGGGAGGGGGAGCAGTGTATAGCCTTTGAGCTCTCTCCCAACTCTGAGATTTTGTGAAAGCATCAATTATCACAATGAACTGAAGCCAAGCACTTTTGATTGTGGAAGTCCAAGCTAGAAGGACAGAAGGAAAGGTGAATCTGAGGGTGAACAATGAAAGTAAAGATATCCCCTAAAAACATATTATTAGTTTCCTTATTTTCAGATAGATTAAAATCATGATGATGATGATGACAGGGATTTGTCATACTAATCTTGTTTGAAATATCTCTGGAAGGAATGAGTGAGAAAGTGAAATTCACTATGGCCATACAATTCCTTACCTGCAGAGGAATATAGTTAATGTTAATAAACTGAATTGGGGTCCATACTTTCCAGTTCATTTGTAGAGCAGGCCAATAACCTGTTTTCACCTTTGCAGAGAAGGCTGCCATGTCTTTTCCCTAGAAAAATGAGGAAAAGTACTCAAGTTTGACCATCAGATACAATTTATCACCATTGCCAGCCCTGGATCTCTGACACCTCAAGTCTTCTACATTCTTTGCCATCCTGGGTTTGTAGACAGACCCTTCTGGGATTGGTGACTTACTTGGGATCGGTGATCAAATGCACAAGATGCATGCAGACCACCCAAGTTCTTCCATTCTCCCTGATCCTCCACTTTGGGAATTTAAGCACTGAGGCACAACTGGAGCACTGTTTCCCAGCAAAACTAGGCTGAACAGAAGTAGCCTTTTGAGGCCAGTGCCACTAGCGGTGAGGTCAAAGGCTACAATGTGTGGCAGTCAACATTCAACAAGCATTTATGAAGTGCTGCTATGTGTGCTAGGAGCTGTGCTGGGTGCTGGGAATGCAAAGACAAAAACAAGACTGCCTTCAAGGAGCTTACATTCTACCGAGCAGATGCAACAGCATCACAGATAAATGAGTGCAAGATAATGAGGAATATTAACAACTCAATTGTTTCTTCTGCAAAATGAGGCAGTTGGGCTTCATGACCCTTGAGGCCCGTCCAGGCCCTAAATCTATGTTCTTCTGAATTAGGCGGATCAGGAAAGGCTTCCTGTAGAAGGTAGCTCCCAAACTGAGCCTTAAAGGAAGCTAAAGATTCCAAGAGAAGGTGAGGAGGACACGCTTTCCAAGCAGGGCAGACACAAGATACCTACATTTGTCCTCCAGGTGGCAGGGTATGTATCCAGAAATGCACCTTGGACTGGGTATATTTCAGGGTGCCACGGATAGGAGACATGGAAAGTGACTATGGGTGGCAAAGACTCAACCTAATATGTAGGTTTTCATTTTCTTGCTCAAGCTTTTGTTAGTGTCTCTTCCTCTTCCGTGGAACATTCCCCCATTGACTATTCTCTCCCCCGAGCTCCTGCAGCACCCGACTTTGTATCTTCTTATCCACGAGCATTACATGTCTCCCCTGCATCCCAGCTCAATGTAGAGGGAAGGAATCAATGAATCAGTAAGCATTTCCTACATATCTAATGTGTGTGTCAGGCACTATGCTGAGGGCTGGGGATACAAAGAAAAACGAAGAAAAGGCTCTTGAGGAGTTTAGATTTTATTATCTAATGGGGGAGACAAAACAGCCCTATAAAGGGACATGGCCTGGACCTGTGATATCAATGATATAAGCAACTCTTATGGGTAAGGCTTACTACAAATGCAGCTTCGTACCTTTTTTTAAGTTTTTACAGATGGGACATTTACTTTGAACCTTCTCTTCTCCAACAGTTGCCCAAAGCCAGGGATTCCAAGAGGCAGAGATGAGGAGGGAATGTATTCCAGTCTTGGGGGATATAAAGGCACAGGGCCAGGAGAGGAAGCATCCTGTGTAAGTAATAACAATTAGGCCAACATGCCTGGCCCATTGAATTTGTGGAGGGGAGTAGAGTAAAAAGCAGGTTAGGGCCAGGTTGTGAAGAGTTTAAAGGGCAGGGACTTTATATTTGATCCTTGAGGTAATATAGAGTCATTGCAGTTTAGCGAGTAGGGGACTGACATGGCCAGAACTGTGTTTTTGTTTCTGCATCTCTGACCCACTGCATTGAACAAAGTGCCTTGTCTATAATTGGTGTTTAATATATGCATATTAGGCTGAACTGAATTAACACAGTCTTCTGGAAGTTGGTAAGTGGAAATGAGTCACACGGCAGAGACCAACCTCAAGAAAGTTCATGCAGAAGAAGAACAACAACAGGAAGGTTGGTGCAAAGACGAGTCGGTCCAACAGGAGCCTCCTGACTCCTGAAAAGGGGATAGCAGCAGGGATCCAGTGGTCCAGGTACAGGTAGAGGAAGTGACTGAGAGGCCCTGAGAAGAAGAAGCTGATCCCCCACCCCCAACCACTAGTTGTGACTTCTGTCCATGGTGTTGACCTGACTCAGCCTGCACCAGGACAGCGCAAATCCTTCCTGCCTACTGAACAGCGAGGGACTTACTAGCCACTTTGGGCAGCAGCATCGCCCCCTCCTATAGCTGGACACTCCAGCCCCAGTGAGACAATTCTGCACCAACCAGGAACTCTAGGGCGGGTGTTCTTAACCTGGGGTTGGTGAATCTTAAAAATTAATAGCTAGATAACTGTATTTGAATATAATTAGTTTTCTTTGTTATGCTATGTATTTTATCTTGTGAACTTAACACCATTATTCAGAGAAGAGGTCCACAAGCTTCACCAGAGTTGCCAAAGGGGTCTAGGATACACACAATAAGACTAACATTGAAGAGATCCCCGAGACCCTTTCAGTGGGTCCATGAGCTCAGAACTATTTTCATAAAAATACCACGACATTTTTATTTCTAATACAAGAATATTAATAAAATAAACAAACACTCCTTGGAAAGAGTTCCCAATAATTTTTAAGAATGTAAAGGGATGAGTGCGGCTAGGTGGTGCAGTGGATAGAGCACAGGCCCTGGAGTCAGGAGGACCTGAGTTCAAATCCTGCCTCGGACACATAACACTTACTAGCTGTGTGACCCTGGGCAAGTCACTTACCTCCATTGCCTAACTTTAAAAAAAAACAAAAAACCAAAACAAAACAAAAACCAAAAATCACATCTACAGAATTCCTAGGTCCCCAAAGACTTGTTTTAGATCCAAATGTTGCTAATCCTAAGCTTGGGTACTGCTTTGTAGCAATCCAGGAACAAGGGAACCAGGCACAGGCCTCTTTAGTTGAGCCCTTTCCTCCACATCTGGATCAGGAAAGACTAGGCCAGGCCTCGGCCACCCACGCTCTTACTTGACCTGGAGGCTTCTGGGAGCTGCACCTCTCATGCCAGAAACTACCAGCTCCTGGCAAGGCAGCCCCGCTGAGAAATGCCCTTTGACATGCACTCCCTCAGGCAGCTCTCTGCCCTCTTCTAATTCTGGTCCAACTCTCTGACCTGTTTCCCAGGCTGAAGCTGCTGCTGCCGCTGCTACTACTACTACTACTAATTACTATTACTACTACTACTACTACTACTACTACTACTACTACTACCATCACTACCACCACCACTACTACTACTACTACTACTACTGCTGCTGCTGCTACTTCAACTACTACTACAACTACCACAACTACTACCACCACCACTACTTCTATTACTACTACTACTGCTGCTGCTATTACTACTACTCTTACTTGGTCTAGCCTTGGGATTTCCCTGCTGTAGGGAATCCCTGGTAAAGAAGCTCCCTGAATCTATGAAGACTGATTCTTCCACTTATGGTCTTGGAGAATTGCCCAGGACAGACACTGAGAGGTCAAGAGACCAGCCCAAGCTCACACAGCTAGTAGGTGTCTTAGGCAGGACTTGAAGCCAGGACTTTGGACTCTAAGTCTGGTTCTTAGTAGCTGCTCTTCTTGCGGCTGTCTTTACACAGACCCTGGAGGATTTCAGATGAGCACAGCAGATGCTCCCATTCTTTTGCATAGAAATGGCAGCTCTATCAAATTATGGCTTATATCTAAGGGGCCTTGAGGTTTGCAAAGCCCTTTCCTCACAACACCCCATGGAGTGGGTAGTGGTGATGTTACTATTCCCATCTTACAGATGAGGGAACTGAGGTTCAGAAGATGAATTGTCCGGACCATGGACCATGGGCACATAGCTATTAAGGTTCTGAGGCAAGTTCTGAACATGGAGTTTCCTGCCTCCATGTCCAACAGCTCTATTCCACAACCTCTCAAGTTACATTCCCCAGGCTTTTCTCTGTATTAATTACATTTTTTGTTTCTTTCCAAATTAAAAAATTTCCATGACTATGGAGTCAGAAGTCCTGCCTCTGACACATACTGGTTGTATAACCCTGGTCAAAGCACTTTACCTCTCATCCCCCGGGGAACTTCTAGAGCTGAGTTCCAGGTGAGTAGCCAACAGGCAGCTTGGGGGATTGAGGTGGGAAGGGGTGGGGGAGGACAGTGGTTTAGAGTCAGGAAGACCTCAGTTCAAATCTCTGCCTCACTTACTAGCTATGTGACCCTGGGCAAATCATTTAACTTCTGCTTCTGTTTTCTTGTCTGTAAAATGAAAGAATTGGATTAATTGACCTCTGAGGTCCCTTTTAGCTTTAAATTATGAAATTATGGCTATTATGAGGTTTCAAGATTGACAACCATAATTGGTTCTTCTTCACACAACAGATAAATGAGTCCCCAAACAAAAAACAGGTTCTATGTGAAAACAGGGGTAAGGATAAATGCTATAGCCCTGGCATTTCCCAATTTTCTTTTGTGCCTCTTTTCTGGAAGTTTGGAACCTAGAAGAACCATTAAGGGTTAATTGGCTACCTTGGAACCAGTTCCATATTCTTCCTTCTATAAGCCAAACCTATGCTGATCCTTAATGGTATTAACAACAGACATCATGCTTTGGTGACCCTTACTCACCCAAAAATAGCATATCTGAGAGGCCCTGTGAGGTCCAGATTTTGAAACCATCTTCCCTTTTTCCGGACTCTCTCAATGATCTGGGACAGGAGGTTCCCAAATGCTGACAGAATCCCACTGTAGGCAGAGGACAGGTAGTTAGAAGGATGCTTATTTTGGTGGGTGGGGCAGAGAAGGGACTTATACAAGTACCTGAAGGGCTATCCCAAAAAAGAAGAATGGACATGAAGACCAAAGGGTGGAAATTGTGGAGGGGGGGATGTGGGATGGCAAATATAAGCTTGAGGCAAGAAAAAATTTTCCTAATTTTCCCAATTCCGTCCCAAAGTGGAATGGGTTGCTTCCCATTGCAGGTCTTCAAGCAAAGACCTCCCTCATTCCTTCAACCAGTCTTCTTATAATTTTGAGTCTACTTCTCATCTTGACCACCTAGATCGATGTGCTCCAGCTAGTCAATATCCTTTCTAAAATATGGCACCCAGAGTCAAACACAGTAATCCAGACCAAGGTCTGACCAAGGGAAAGGACACTTCAGCAGGTCAGATTTCTAAGAATTGGAAAGCTTCTAAGAGTTTCTGTATCTTTTTTCTAGCACAGGATGAAACCAAAGCTTTTAACTCTCAGCCCTTAGCTCCACCTCTGCACCCCATTCCCCATCTGATTGGATTTCATTAAATGCACAAGGTCAGTTCTTATGGGAAAGGTCCTCCAGGGACCAGGAAGGAAGATGGGGATAAGTTTCAAATTCAACTGCAAATCCAACCACCCTAGGGAAATGAAGTTTCCTTTCTTTACTACAACTGGGGAGGTTTGAGAGGTAGGTCAGGTCCAAATATAAGCCAGAAGGTGATAGATGAAAACACTAAGAGAAAAGGTAGAGTTTCCCTCTTCCCTGTTCCTATCTCCCCCCCAAAAAAAATCCAGGAAAAAGATACACCAGAATGCTTGTCTGGCAACTGGAACAATTCAAACACATTCAATCCAATGAGCATTTATTCAAGATCTACCATGTGCAAAACACTGTGTTCCATAGCAGTAGGGTTGGACAATTTCCCTGCCCTCAAAGAACTTACATTCTTCTGGGGGAGGGGAGGGAAAAACAGTAAGTATGCAGATAAACAAATACAAAGTAAATACAAAGTATATACAAAGTAAATCCTGTGGAATTTCAGGGAAATACTATCATCTGAGGGGATCCATGTAACCCTTGGGCAGGGAAGAGCACTGGATCTACCCTTTGAAGAGACAGTAAGGGATACCCAGATACAAGGGTGAGGAAAAATAGAAGGCATGGAGGCCAACCTGTGCATAGGCACATAAGTGAGAGATGGAATGTCCCATACAGGGAAAGCAAGTAGGTCCCTTTGGGTGGAAGTTAGAATCAGTGAAGAGGAGTAATGGGAAATAAGCCTAGAGCTAGATTAGGAAGGATTTTAAATGCCACACTGAGGAACTTATATTTTATCCTAGAGGCATAGAAAGCTGTGGAAGCTTCTCTAGCAAAAGGAGTCGTTTCCTTCTCCCTCTTTATGAACAGATCTGTGATTTCAGTGATGTAGGAAACCTTTCAGGAAAGCCCTTTAGCAATGTGGATCAGTTTCTGTTTCCCAGCTTGGTTTTGGAGAGCTGTCTGGACCACTGAGAGGTTAAATGACTTACTTGTCCAGGGCCATAGAGCCAGTGTATATTATGTGTGAAAGTTGGTCTTCCTCACTCTGTGGCCACACTACCAGTCTTTCTACTATGCCAGACTGCCCCACAAGTCAGATGTGTTCTGCAGAAATATCATTTGGGCAGCTGTATATCTGACAGACTGGATAGAGGAGAGACGGGAGGCAGGAAAGCCAAGGCTGGGAGGCTATTGTAACAGTCTAGGAGGGAACTGATGAGGGCCTGGACTAGGCTGGTTGAGGGGTCAATGGAGAAAGGTGACAGACGCAAGATACATCTTAGAGACAGATGTGATAAGACAAGAACTGGTCTGGCTCCAGCATTGAAGTGAATGCCAATGGAGCGTCAGGGCTTAAACCAGGAAGGTGCTTGCTGGGTTTTGAAATCAGAGCCTTGCCTGGTGGTTGCAGAGAGAAAACAGTGAGCGTGGACATGCTTTGCAAAAAGGCTGCCTCTATAGTCTGTGGGAAAAGAGGAAAAGATCCCTTTCCCTGAAAACCCAGCAAACCCAAACAGAAAGACCCTAGCCTCCTGCTGAACACCTGTGGGAACACGGGGATGAAGAGGGCAGAGGGCTTGAGGGCCAAGGAGAAGCCAGCAGGGACACGCAGCTGTGCCTTCGCCTGGTCCTCCGTATCTCAGCTTCCCCTATCTCCAAAATCAAAAGGGAGCCGAAGAGGGAGGGCACGAGGTGGGGGAAAAAAAAGCTTTCAGGCGCCTGCTCCAGCGCCCTCAATCTGCCCTTAATCAAGGGCATATGCAGCTACAAGTCTAGGGGACGATGTTCTATTTACAGTAACCCCCAAACAAACCCAGAAATCCCCTGTGTGCCGCGGTCCACAGGCCTGGCCCCTCCAGCGTTTCTCAGGGAGCAGGGAGCGGGGGTGGGGGGCACGGGCCGGGGAGCGTTCTAGGAAAGTCGGCTGTGGGGCGGGGGCCCAAGGCGGAGCCTTGCTCTGACGCTCCGCCTATGACAGAAGGGGTTTCCCGGTCACTGGGTCGTAACCAGAGAAACAGAGGCGCGTGCCCCAGCTTAATTGGGACCTTATAGAGAAAGGTTTCCCAACCTCTTCCTTTAGCACTCTCTCCCTACAGCCAACCCCCCCCGGCCCCCCTCCCGCAACCTCGGCCCCACCCCGCTACCCCCTTACTGCCTAGCCCCTCTTCCCCACTAAACCGGTGCAGATTAGTACCCTCCCTTCTGCTTCGGTCACAGATCCAGGCCCCACGCTCCTGTCCCTTTTCCCCCAAGCCTGGTCCTCTTTCTCATCACGGCACCCGTTTCTCCATTGCCATCCCCCAGATCCTACACTCCTGATCCCTTTTCCGATTTCTCTGACCCTCTCTCCTCTCCAATTCCGCTTTTAGTGGGTCCCTTTCCGATTCTCTCTTCCACCCTTCCTCCCCCGATCTCTTTCCCCCTGTCCCCTCCTCCATCCCCGTTTCCCCGACCCCCTCCTCCATTCCTGTTTCCCCAGTCCCCTCCTCCATCTCCGCTCCCATGGTCCCTTTCTCCATCTCCGTCCTCCGGATCCCTCTCTCCTGATCCTCCTCTCCATCCCAACTCTTCGGAGTCCGCCTCCCCGTTCCCTTCTCCTGTCCTCACTCTTCCAATCCCCTTCTCCCAGACCCCTCCTTCCTCTCCCATACTTCTGTCTCCTTTTCCATTCCCTCTTTCCCAGTCTCCCCCTCTACCTCTCTTCTCTCCAGCTCCCTCCTCCAGCCCCTCCCTCCTTCTCCAAAACTTGGACGCTTCTTTTCTTGTCTCCTCCGTCACCTCAGGTTCCACTAGCACCTTCAGACCTATTTCCGCCCTTCTCGCTCCATCCCCTCTCCCATGCTCACTGCCCCACTCCTCCCCAGGGCGCCTCCTCTATCCCCTTTTCCAGCACCATTCGCGAGATCCCTACCCCGCAGTCCCCTCCTCTGCCTCCGCAGCATCCTCCACTCTCCCCCGACCACCCCACTCCACCCTCCCGTCTCAGCTTCTCCGATCACTCTCTCCTTCTTCCTCGGTCCATCCGAATTCCCCTATCCTGTATCCACGGTTTGCTCCTCCCTCACCCCTCTCGCAGTCCCCTCCCCCATCACCGCTCCCCCCCTCAACTCCCTCAACCCAATCTTCCCTCTCCCTCTCTTCTGATTCCCCAGTCCATCCCTATTCCCCTATTCCCCTTCCCAGATCTCCTCCTCCATTCCCCTTCTCCCAATCTCCTCCCCCCTCCCCGCTCCCCATCTCTCCTCCCCCAGCCCAATTCTCCTTCCCAGATATCCTCATAAAACACCAAGACCCCAGTTGTCTCCCCTACTCCCTCCCTCCCTCTTCCCCGCTCCCGCACTCCCTTTCCCCTTCCCCTTTTGCCAGTTCCTCTCCCCAGTGCCCGCTCGCTCGCTCTCCTCCCCCATTACCCTTTGCCCAATCCCCTCCCCCATCCCCGCTCTCCAGCTCCAGTACCCCTTCCTCGCTAACCCGCTTCCCCTCCTCACCCTCGTTCTCCGCTAGCTCCTCCGATCCAATCTCCCACTCCACTACCTTTCCTGCGCTCCCACGCACTTCCCTCATTCCATCCCTGCATTCTCATTCCTCCATCTTTCTTCCCTGCTCCCCTCCTTCACCCCCCATCTCTCAGTCCCCACCTCCATTATCCCTAATCTCTCGGTCCTTCTCCCAAGACGCCCTGATCTCTTTGCCCTAATGTCCTGTCCCAGCCGTTTCTCTCAGCACTGACCCGATTCCCTTCCCCGAGCTTCCTCCCCTGTTCTCTTGCCCCATTTCTTCCTCCAGATGCTTCTTTCCTGATTGACTCTCCCATCCCTTTACTTTGCATCACTGTCTCCTGAATCCTTTCCCCCATCCCTTTCCTTGATTCACCTCTCCCCAGATCTCCCCTTTTCCTCGTTTTGTTCTCTCTTAATCCACTCCCCATCCTTCCCCCGCCAAGATAACTGCCTTTCGTTGATACCTTTCTGGACTCTCTCCCCAGATTTTTCTCACCTTCCAAAATCTCTCACCTCTCATCATTTACTTTAGATAGGTCTTCCCCGATCCTTTCTCTCATCCCTCTCCTCTGATCCCTTTCCCTAGATCGTGCTCCTCTGAGCTATCCTCTGATCACTCTCCTTTCATCCCCTTCCTCCATATTATTCTTTCTCCATTTTATTCCTCTGATCTTTTCCCTAGATCACTCTCTCCTGATCTTTCCCCAGATCACTCTCCTCTGATCCCTTTTCCTAGATCACTAGCCCCTGATCTTTTCCCCAGATCACTCTCTCCTGATCTTTTCTTCAGATCATTCTTTCCTGATCTTTTCCCCATCACTCTCCTCTGAACTCTTTCCCTAGATCGCTGCCCTTTGATTTTCCCCCAGATCATTCTTTTCTAATCCTTTCCTTTAGATCACTTTGGATCTTTTTTCTTCCTTTGATCTCTTTTCCTAGGTCTCTCTCCTTTGACTCTTTCCCCTAGAACCCTTTGCCTAGATTGCGCTCCCTGGATCCCTTCCTCCAATGGCTCTTCCCAAATCCCTCCCCCCCCGGCTCTTTCCAGATCCCTTTCCTCTGATCATCTTCCATAAGTAGCTCTTTCCAGATCGATTTCACCTGACACCCCCACCCCCACCCCCCATGGCTCTCTCCAGATCTTTTTCCTCTGATCCCTTTCCCCAAACAGCTCTCCCTAGATCCCTTTCCTCTGATCTCCCCCCGATCCCTTTCCTCTGATCTCCCCCCCCGCCAAAGCTTTTCCCAGATCTTTCCCCAGATCCCTCACCCCGCCTTTCCCTAGATCTCTTTTCCCTATCCTTTCCTCCCAAACGCGCCCCGCTGGACCTGGTGGCCGCCTTGGTGAGCACCGGGTAGAGACGGAGCAGCAGCAGATACTGCTTTAGCACCCGATGGGGGAGCGACCTGGCCCCGGCCCCAGACCCGGCCCGCAGCGTGGACACCACCGGAGCCATCGGCTGAAAGCCAGCTTTCTCCCGAGCGGGGGCGCGACCCCGGCTCTAGGGCAAAGGGAGGGGACAACCTTACATTTCTAGCCCTCCGACGCAGCGCGGCGCGGCGCTCTGGAGAGCTTCAAACAGCTGGGCGCGAGAAGCCCGGAGTTTTTCCCGGTTCCCTAAGCCTCTCCCTCCTCTCGCGGGCGGGCGGCGCAGCCATTGGAGCTCCGTGGGGTGTGGCGAGTCCTGCCTCCGGATTGGACAATCTTCCCCCGGAGGGGGGGGGAGGGGCGGTGGGTGGAGCTGGACCTCGCTCTCGCGAGAGTTGGGCGGAACGCGCGAAATTTCTCCCGGGAACGCCGGACGACCCAGAGGAGAGCTGCGGAGGGAGAGTGCTGGAGGCTGAGCCCAGATGGTGTCCCGGGAGCGCGGGTGGAGGCGCGCCGAGCCCGGGGAGGAGGCCGAGAACAGTCGGTGAGAGCTGTGACCCCGCCAGCCCCGAGGCCTCTGAGTCGCGCCTGGCCCTGACCCTCTCCTCCCCCTCCCGAGCTTCCCTGGCCTCCCCTCCCCCAAGTCTTCCCCCAGGCCTCAGTTCCCAGCTGTTCCTTGAGCACCCCCGCCTCATCTCCGGAGGTCCCTCCCAGGCCCCTGAGGGCCGACCCCGACCCCCAGCCTCGCGGGCTTCCGCGCTTCTCCTTGGCAGTCTGTGCACCGAGCCCCAAATGCTAAATCCCAGGAGCCACCCCCCCGCCGAGACCCTGGATCTTGGGAGCCCCAGACCCCACTTTGAGTCCCCGGACTCATCCGAGCCCGCGGCGTCCAGCCCCCAGGATCCTCCGTGCCCTCGAAATGCTCGCCATGTCCAGTGCTCTCTGTCGCCCCTCACCCTGTGCCTGACGCCGCCGACCCCTCCCTCATTACGCATTCTCATCCCTCCCTTGACACAGTTCCCCTAGCTCTCAGGTTCTTTCCCCGCTTCCTTCGCTGCTGCTTTTTCCTGTCACCCCCTAAATGCCGCTGTTCGCCTGGGCTCTGTCGTCCTACATCTCCCTCTTTATATGGTCTTTCCTTTGTGACTTCATTTGTCCCCATATCATCAATATCTCTGCAGCAGTGAGGCTCGGATTTACCCATCCAGTATTGACCGTTGTCATCTCCACTACTTACTAGACGGTCCTGCTTTGGGCTCCTGCTAACCTTGCTGAAGCTGAACTCTGCTGCCACTTGCACTCTCTTCCAAATCCTCTTCAGTCTGGCTTTCAGCCTCATCCCTTAACAGGGAACAGCTGTCTCTGAAGTTACTAATGATCTTTTAAAGTCTTTCCTAATCCTTTTCTGCGTACCTGTTTCATTTGGCTATACTGAATAAAGTACTAGGAAAAATCATGAAGCCAGTACTGACTGTGTCCACCACAAATTTAGGTCCGAATTGCTGCAAAACAAACCTTTTGCACATCCCTAATTAACTCACTATCGCACTCGCCACTGAGGTTCTTCCAGACTTTTTCATGACTTCCCCTCTCCCCTCCCCTCTCAGCTGAAAACCTTGCCTTGTATTTTACTTATATTTTATTTTTACTTTTATTAACATTTACTTGTATTTTATTTATATTTACTTATATTTTACTGGAAAAAAATTGAAGCTGTTCCATAACAGTTTACTCTTCCTTTCCTTGTCATCTCACATTCCCCAAATGCCTTCCTCTGCTATCTCCTTGTGTGAGACAAAGATGGTCCTTTTTGCCAAGGCAGACCCCTCTCCTTTCACAAATGATCTGTTCTTTCCTTCTACTGAAAATTGCCACTTCTATCATTCTCACTCTCACTTAATCTTCAATCTGTCCTTGCCTGTTGGCTGCTTCCTGACTGCCTGCAAACATAAGCATGTCTCCTCCACCCTCTTCCACACTCACTTGATCCATCCATCCTGGCTAGGTATTGTCCCAGATCTCTCCTTTTTGTGGCTAAACTCCATGAGAATGCTATGTGTAATAAGTACCCCTACTTCCTTTCCTTTTGCTCTCTTCTTAACTCTCTACTGGCTGGCTTCTGATCTCATCATTCCACCAGATGGCTTTTTCTGAACCCTTATTCTTCTTCACCTCTCCGTAGCCTTTAACATTGTCGATTAACTGCTTCTCTTTGATGCTGTCTTCACTCTGGGTGTTTGTGAAACTATTCTCTTTTGATTCTTCTACCTGACTGCTCATTCCAAGTCATGCTCCCCAGGGATGTGCACCAAGGCTCTGTCCTGCGCCCTCTTCTCCCTCTATGTTTTTGCATTTGGTGATTTTAGCTCCCATGGATTCATGAATTCAATTCTCATCTCTGTGCTGATGATTCTCAAGTCTACTTATCCAGGCCGAACCTCTTTGCTGACTATCTTCAGCTGCCTATCAGCTATCTCAGACTGGGTGTCCCATGAACATCTTGAACTCAACATGTCCAAAACTGAACTTGTTACCTTTTCCCCCAAACCCTTCCCTTTTCCTAACTTCCCTGTTACTGTTGAGGTTACCACCATTTTCCTAGGTACCCAGACCAGCAGCCTGTATGTCATCCTCAACTCTTTACACATTCTCTCACCAACCTTACTATCCCTCCACCCTCCCCTTAATCCAATCTTTTGTTATTGTTGTTGTTGTTGTTGTTGTTGTTTTAGGCAGTTGGGGTTAAGTGACTTGCCCAGGGTCACACAGCTAGTAAGTGTCAAGTGTTTGGTATGAGGCCAGATTTGAACTCAGGTCCTCCTGACTTCAGGGCCAGTGCTTTATCCACTTCGCCACCTAGCTGCCCCAATCCAATTTTTTGCCAAGGCTGGTTAATTTTACCTTTTTAACGTATCTCCCTTCTCTTCTTTGACACTGCCACCGCCCTGATGGAGGCCCTCATTGAGTCAAGCCTGAACTATTGTACTGGTCTGATTGTTGGTTTGGTGGCTGCCAATGCTCTCTCCTCCACTTTGGTCCATCCTAATAATAGCAATAATAACAATAATAATATTTATAGAGTACCTACTGTGTGACAGGCAATGTGCCGAGCACTTTACAAATATTACCTGATTTGGTCCTCACAACAGCCCTGCAGGTAGGTGTTGTTATTATACCCATTTTATAGGTGAGAAAAGCGAGGTAAATAGAGGTTAACTGACTTTCCTACGGTCACAAAGCTAGTAAATGTCTAAGGTTAGCTAGATTTGAACTCAGTTCTTCTGACTCCAGGCCCAGCACTGTATCTGCTGTCCTACTTAGCTGCTCAGTTCCACTCATCTGTCAGAGTGGACTTCCTAAAGTACAAATCTGATCATGTCGTTCTTTCCATTACCACTTTCAACAAACTGCCTTGGCTCCCTGTTGCCTCTGAGATCAAATATTACTGGCTGTGCACTCACAGAATGCTCTCCCTCCTCACCTCTGCCTCCTGAGCTCCTTAGTCCCAGCTAAAATCCTTCCTAAAGGAAGACTTTTTTAAGAGCAAGGACTGTCTTTTCTCTTTGTGTCCTCAGTGCTTGGCATAGGGCCTGGCACGTAATGGGTGCTATATCAATGTTTGTGAAGTGAATACTTTCAAAGTCTTCCTGGATACTTTCTCCTCTCTGAGCTTTTGTGGCACTTGGCTGATCAAACCTTAACCTTCTTTGCTGGTTTATCCACATTATGCCCCCTAATTGTGGGTGTTCCCCAGAGTTCTGTCCTAGGCCCTCTTCTTCCTCTATATTCTGTTTTTTGGTAACCTCATCAGTTCCCATGGGTTTAATTACCATCTCTAGGTAGATAACTCCCAGATCTATATATCTAGCCCTCTTTCCACTAGATCATCCAATTACCTATTGGACATTTCAAACTAGATGTCTTGGAGACATCTCAAACTCAACTCATTATCAGTTCATTTCAAATAGAACTCTTTTTTTCCCCTCCTAAACCCTTTCCTCTTCCAAATTTACCTGTTTCTGCCAGAGGCACCATCATCCTTCTAGTGTTTCAGGTTCACAATCGTGCTATTATCCTGGACTCCTCCCTCTTCCTCATCCCACATGTCCAAACAGTTGCCAGATCTTACCCTTTCTCCTGTCACATCATCTCTCCAATCTTACTTACCCCTTCTCTCTACTCAAACATCTAGCACCTGGATTCCCTCATCACTCCTCCCAGGTTCATTACAGTGGTTTCCTTGTCTCAAGTCTTATTACTCCTGTTCATCCTGTATACTGCTGCCAAATTCATTTTCCTTAATTGTGTGTCTGAACGTATGACTACCTTATTCAACCTACTCCAATGGCTTCCTATTGCTGTGGGATAAAATATTAACTGTTCAGCTTTTAAAGCTCTACACAGCCTGCCTCTAACTATCTTCGTAGCCTCATTGGCCACTATCCCTCCTGCCCTCTGACATCCAGGCAAACTGGCTGTCTTCTGGTTTGTCATTGATGACACTCTGTGCCTTTGAATGGCCATATACCCACGTAGAATGGACTTCCTGCTTGCCTCTGTCTCATGGGGTCGCTCTCTTTGAGTTGTAGCTTAGACCATCTTCTGAGTGAAGTCTTTTCTGATCCCTCACCTGCACCCCAACTAGTGTCCTCCTTCCCAAACTGCCTCATATTTAAATATTTTGTACGTTTGTATTTATTAACTTTTTATGCTATATGTATTTTTAAGTTAAATTTTATTTTCAATTATTGGGAATTTATTTTTTCTCCCTCCCACTTCTCTTTCACCTTTGCCCTCCACTGGGAAAAGAAGAGTAGCAACAAATTAGTATAGTCAAGCAACATTCCTATATTGGCTATGTCAAAAAATGTGTCTCCTTTTGTATATCAGTCCATCACCTCCCTGTCAGGAGGTAGGTAGCATTCTTCCTCGTTGGTCCTCAGTCATCATGATCAATCGCTGCATTGATCACAGTTCTTAAATCTTTCAGAATTGCTATTTTTACAATAGTGATGTTATAGAAATAAATCATTTTCCTGGTTTGCTCACTTTACTCAAGTGTCTTCTCAGGTTTCTATGAAACCATCTCATTCTTCAGTTCATACAGAACAGTATTACTTTATTACATTTTTACACTATACTTTGTTCAGCCCTTCCCCATTTGATCAGCACCCATTTAATTTCCTTTTTTTTTTTTTGCCACCATGAACAGAACTATGATAAATATTTTTGTACATGTAGACTTTTTCTTCTTCATTTGATCATTTCTGGTATAGGCTTAGTAGGAATATAAATTCAGAGGGTAGGCACAGTTTAGCAACTTTTAGGGCATAGTTCTAAGTTGCTTTTCTTGTGTATAATTTTATATGTACTTGTTTTCCTTCCCATTAGAATATAAACTCATTATTCCATTATTTGTTCTTGTATCCGCAGCACTTAGCATAATGCCTGGTATATAGTAGGAGTTTAATAAATACTTAGTGATTGATTGGTTGATTTAGCACAGTTGCCCAAAGTGGGCACTTGCAGAATTTAATTCCTCCACTCATCCCAACTTCCCTATATCTGTTGCTGGCACCACCATCGTCCCAGTTAATCAAGTGGCAAACTTTGAAGTCATTGGTGAGCCTTGCCTCCTTCCCTGCCGGTGACTCCCCATTGCAAGATCCTGTGGAATCTTCCTCTGAACTGTCTCTTGTATCTGTCCTTTTTGGGACTTATTTTGGACTCTCCACAATCTACATCAGCCTACAACTCAGAATCGCAGGAATTCAGACTGACTCTATAGGACAGTAGTTTGTCACACCAGTACTGTCTCCACAGTGGCAGTGGCAATGTTGATCAGTCCTTACGCAAGAGGGAGAACAGGGATGAGCTGTTGCTAGAGAGCAGATGGCAAGTCCCTGGTCTTTCTAGTGGTTGAACTAGGAGTTGGTAGAGTTGTGGGCCCTGGCTGATAACAAAGGGATAAGCCATGTTGGAGGTATTCCTTCCCCTCTCCAAGTCCTTATCCAGGTCAGGTCAGCTGATTACCTGCCCTAACCTTTTCCCTTCTCCTCTCCATGCTTTGGCTGTATGCTTAACTCTGGGGTTACCTTTTTCAGGAAGCTTTTCCTGAATTCTTTCCCCCACATCCTTCCCAGTCTAAAAGTGATGTTTTATTTAAATAATCACCTGCTGAAGTTTAGGATGGGAGAGGCAAGGCTAGATAGCAATTGATGTGGAAACTCAAGCTGTCTAAGACAGAACAGACAGGACCCATTATCTTCTACCTTCCCTCCAAGCCAGCTGTCTGTAAAACTTCTCTTTTATTGTTGAGACCACCACCATTCCTCCAGGCATCAAGGTTCACACCCTCCAGATCGTCCTTGACTCCTTACTCTCACTCATCCCACATAACTAATCAGTTGCTCTCACCACAAAATCTCTAGAATAGGTCCTCTTCTGTCTACTCTTCTCTTAGACTACCCCAGCACAGGCTGTCATCATCTTTTGCCTTAGTTTCTAAATTAGTCACCCTGCTTAAGGCTCATCATTCTAATCCATCTTCCACACAGCTTCCAAGGTGGTTTTCTGATTTTTGTTTCAGCTCCTTACTCAGTAAACTCCAGTGGCTCTCCTGTTACCTACAAGATCAAATGTAAACTTCTTGGACATTGAAAGCTCATTACACCATGGCTCCCTCCATCTTTCTGGCTTTATTTATATTACTTCCCTCTGCACTTTTTACACATGACACACCATTACCATAATACATTATAAACTCCTAGAGGACCAGGTCTTTCTTTTATACTTAATAAATATTTGTTGATTTGAGGTTCTTATTACCTTGTTCTTGGACTTTTACAGTACACTCCTAGTTACCTATCATCTGTCTCATCCCAGCACGGTTCTTCCATGTTAAGAGGCTACTGTAATAATCCAGGTGCGAGGTGCTTCAGGATGGTAACAGTAGCATGACATTAGTCCAAGAGACATGACAAAGGAAAAACTAATAGTAACTGGTGATTGATTAGTCATGGGGAAGTAGAAAGAGGAATCAGGTTTCACAACCAAAGTGAATACTCATATATCCTATAACCAAGAAAATTTAATCACACAGGACAGGATTGTTGCTGTGTCTGAGTCTAGTGTGTTGATGTCATCTTGAAACATAGAGGATGGATTTTCCATTCTTTTACACAGGGATGATGGCTCTTCCTCCTCTTCACTCTCTGCCCTCAAGCGCTTGGAGCGAAGTCAGTGGACAGACAAGATGGACACAAGATTTGGTTTTGAAAGACTCCAGGAGCCTGAGGAGAAGACTGGCTGGCTGATCAACATGCACCCGGTAAGTTGCTTGGTTTTCTCATTTCATCACGTCTTCTAGTCCAGGGGCATCTACTCTGTGCTGTTGGGGAGGGTAACATGATCTAGTGGGAAGTGGAAAGGGTGTTAACTTTGTATTTGAAGAGAGTGATCAGTCATTATCCCTGGGCAAGTGAAGGGGAAATATAGCCTTTATGTTTCTATTCCTCCCTCCACGCTTACTAGCTATATGAGCATGAACTTAATTTCTCTGGCACCCGGTTTTCTCATGAAATAGTAATAATAATAACTGTAATTCTTATTATGAATATTAAATGAAATAATATATGAAAAGTTTCTGCTCAGTTGTGTCCGACTCTTTGTGACCCTATGGTCCATACTGCCCATGGGGTTAAGGTATTGGAGTGGTTTGCCATTTCCTTTTCCAATGAATTAAGGCAAAGAAAGGTTAGGTGACTTGCCCAGGGTCACACAGTTAGTAAGTGTTTGAGGCTGGATTTGAACTTAGGTCTTCTTGACTCTGGCCTTAGCACTCTATCCACATAGTCACTTGACTGCCATCATAAAAAGTTATTGTAAACCTAATAAGGCTATATAAATGTTGGCTGTTATTGTTACCTGGTATTTGTCATCCTGGCAACAGAGACAGGTAGTGGGAGGCTCTGTTTTGTAGGGGCTATATGTGGGATCATTGAAAAGGTAGACATAATTGTTTCTGAATCTTTCTAGCTTTCACTATTTATTTTTTAAAAAACAAACATAATTTATTTGTATAAAATCAACAAAAAAAAAAAGCTGGGCTGCATATTACTTATTTTCCTGAAAGGACATCTGGACAACAGCCTTCTGTGCTTCATCTACAGCGTCAGGGGAGGCTGGTGGATACCATCTGATGATACATTCAACCAGTTCTTTTGCTCTAATTCTACAGTGGTTGCTTCTGAAAACTTGCACCTCTACTTTTTCGGGCTTTTCACCATCTTCCTCTTGGTTGAATAGATCTATTTTAATCTGAGCTCTGGAAAGGGTCTCCATTGCTCAAATCCTCGATCCTTTCATCCCTATGAGGGCCCCCACAAGCCGAGCCTCAACCAGGAACTGCAGAGGGGCCTTTTCTTTGGGCTTGGGTCTCGATCTCCGAGCTCATGGTGGCCTTGGAACCCAGGGGAAGCAGGCCAAGAGCAGAGGAAAGACTCCAGCTTTCACTTTTTAAAAAAATGTTGTGAAGGCTCAGAGAGTAATCTTTGTAGGAAAGCAGCAGAGAAGCTGTATATGAAAATGAGGTGTGAAAGAGAATGGGGAGGGGAAACTCCAAGACTCCAAGGTCGGAGGGTGGCTTGATGAGACTTTTGAAGGACAATGGGTCAAAGTAATTTATTTCTGGAACATATAATATAACCTAGGGATTGGAAAGGATAGCACTTTTAATAAAAAAGGAGCTGTTAATGTTCCATAGCTGGGGCTCTGATTTGTCAAGAGGACTTTGATACCGATGCAGCCTTCTCTTTTTAGACTGAGATTTTAGATGAAGATAAGCGCTTGGTCAGTGCCGTGGATTACTACTTCATCCAAGATGATGGCAGCCGATTTAAGGTAAGTGATCTAAGCACCCCAGAGTGATTTGACAGAGTTTTATCTGAGCCAAGAGAAGCCTAGAGGCTGCCTGGGGAGCTGGTGGGTTCTCCTTTCCTGGGGGTCTTGAGGCAGAGGCTAGGTGACCACTTGTCAGAGATTCGTTTTTCGTTAGAAGCTGGGCTAGATGGCCTCTGAGGTGCCTTCTGACTCTGAAATTCTGTGATGTTGGAGGGGTTTCTGCCTGTAGCAGATTGAAAAGAGACAACCCCTCAGATCTCCTCCTCCTCAACTGGCATTTCTTTATATATCCAAATTACTCAGGCAAATCCCTTATCCTCCTTGGGACTCAGTTTCCTCATCTGTAAATAAGCAGATTGGAATAGATGACTTCTGAAGTCCCCTTCAGCTCTTCTTTGCTCTTTATATTCGATAAGACCCTTAGAAAAGCACTGGCAGCCCTTATGTTGAAAGACATTTTAAAAGTTGAACTAGTCATAATGTAATATTAATTGGTTTTGTTGTTGTTTAAATTGGTAACACCAACTCTAGTAGCCTCTACTACAGAGGTCATATTGAAATCTTACTCGTAACAGTTTGCAATTCCTCGAGGAAGTCAGTGGGGGATACTTTGAGTGTGAGGAATCTCTGAGGAGGTGGAGAGTTTAATTGCTGTTTGCATATCGATTGAGGTTTAATTGCCATCTGTGAAGCGGCTCTCGCTGACAAGGCTGGAGCAAGACTGTGAGAAGACGGAGGGAAAGGACTTATTCTGTGAGAGGATTGAGCTTCATCTTTATGTTGCAAATAAGCAAGAGGATTTTTAAGAAACTTGTCTGCAATCTTGATCTCTTAATAGTAATTTAATACTTAATAGTAAGTGTGTTCCAGAAGTGAGGAGAGGTAAAGAATAACAGTGATGGGTAGGAGGTGACTTGACTGTCATCTTTCTCACAACAAAAACATCATAAACGAGTCTTTGCCCCTTGACCACTGGTTATATTGTTATAAAATTGTATAGCAAACAACTGATGTTTTTTAAGCCTAGGACATTAGGAGCTTTGATATATAGTGAGATAAGCAACTGCTTATAGGAAAAATAGTTTTTGCAGTATACTAAATAATATTTAATAACCTGGACTAGGGGCTCAGAGCTAATTTTTTAATGAGAAGGATGTTGCAGTTTTAGTGATTGATAAGGAAATATTCAGACGTACCTTTGGATTACTTCCGAACTCAGGAAGATACAAATAAATGTGGTAACCAGTCCAGTAGCAGGCTGAGGGATAACTACCTCATGTGATGGTGATTGACTTTCAAACTCTGCTACAAGTAAATGAAAAGAAATTTTCATAGTTGTTTGTTCTTGAACTTTTCTACCATCAAATGAGATGCTTGCAAAGTGTTTAGTATAGTGCCTGGCACACAGTAGATGCTAAATAAAGACTTCTTCCATTCCATATGTTTACTTCTGTTTGGAGGCCTTGTGTTGTCCTTACTGTGTCCAAAATATTAGAGTAGAAAGAGTAAGGCATCCCTTGCTGCTCTCAAGGAATGCCTAAGAGAGCACCCTGCCTCCTTTTCTTCCTTTTTTTTAATTCATTCTTGGATGAGTTTGATGACTCCTCTTCTTTTCCAGGTGGCGCTGGCTTATAAGCCGTATTTCTACATAGCAACAAGGAAGGTAAATATGTGTATTTCGTTGAATCAGGCCACATAATCTGTTCATTACCTTGTAATCTGGAAAGATTTGGAATGTCTTTGGAATCTGCTTTGGAATTTGGAAAGAAGCAGGTTTTTAGAGTGGAAAGTCAGGAGATGCATTAGATTCTAATCTTGGGAAGAGCTAAAATTCTGATTTATTGTAGGGTTGTGAGCGAGAAGTATCATCTTTTCTGTCTAAGAAGTTTCAGGGGAAAATTGCCAAATTGGAGACTGTCCCCAAAGAGGATCTGGACTTGGTAAGTGTTGTCTGCACATTTGTGAAGCAGAGACTGGAAGAGGTTTAGGCAGCGAGTTAGTTTGCGGCTTTGTGGCCTGTGGAACAGCGAGGGGCTGGGGCTGGGGGAATGATCGAAGGACCCTGGAATGGTGCTCCCTTGGTCAAAGTGCTCCAGAGCTCCAGGTTCCCTGAACTAGTTTCCATTTGTCTTTGTTGTATTACAGCCATTCTTGGTCTCCGTAATTCCCAGGCATTAGTAACATCTCTTTTCTTGCATTCATTAACATGATTTATTTTTATTTCATAGGCAAATCACTTGGTGGGTTTGAAGCGAAATTACATTAAACTGTCTTTCAACACTGTGGATGACCTTGTAAAAGTGAGGAAGGAGATTTCCCCAGCTGTGAAGAAGAATCGAGAGCGGGATAATACCAGTGATACCTATACAACTATGTTGTCCAGGTAAGCAAGCTGCATCTTCCCAAACAGAACAAGTGTGAGATCCTAGGTGATGTCCATTCTATTTTCCTAATCCTAATGAAGTAAGTGTGTGGTCTTATGGGGTCACAGATTCAGCGTGATGTTAGGCATCATTTTGTTGAAATATCTTTGAGAAGTCAGACCAACTGCCAATACACTTGACATGCTCGATGGGCAGTGTTTTTTTTTAATCTTGGCTTAGGGAGTAAAGTATATCTGTGTCTTCTTTTACTAAAGGGAGTATTTGTAGATTGGTTCCAATCAACTCAGAAGTTGATTTTGAGTCCCAAGTGTATTTTATTATTTTTAGATGTTCAGAAAATATTAACTATGGAAAACCTGATATGTAAAAACTGAAAATAAAAGGTGCAGGGGAAAGAATAGTAAGGGAAAAGTGGAGGTAGGAGAAGGTCATGTTGGTTTAAAAAGTAGTAGTAGTAGTAGTAGTAGTAGTAGTGTAGTAGTAGTAGTGGTAGTAGTAGTAGTAGTAGTAGTAGTAGTAGAAGTAGAAGAAACACCCCACTTTAGGCGGAAGGCAGTCAAGCCTGAGATGTTGAAGTCTCCTATAACTTTCCACTTGCTCTGAAGCTGGCCTTTCAGAATGCTCTAATCGTTGGTCGGTTCCTGAACCTTTTGTTTAGCATATGAAAGTATATAAAGACAAACAGTGAGTTTGAAATCCTAGTTTCCAATTCTGATGAAGGAGAGGGAGCAAGGTGAATGGTAGTTGATAGGGTATAGCTGGGGGAGCAAACCCCTCTCCACAGGAACTCAGGCCTGACCCTTTGTTGGCACAGATCTTTAAGTATTTGTGAGCTGTTACTCAGGGTTGTGTATCCTGTATATTCCTGAAGACCATCCCAATGAACTCAATCAATTTTGATATTCATATTCACTTACTACTGACTTTTCTGTCTTCATCTCTAAAAGTCTGCAGCTGGAAATAGAGAAGTTAATAGCTGTTTTCTCTTTTCTGTGGAGTGCGTTGATGGGGGGTAGTGTAACCACTGACGAAGAGGGAACCTCTAAGAAGATAGCTGACCAGTTGGACAACGTAGTTGACATGCGAGAATATGACGTTCCCTACCATATTCGTTTGTCCATTGACCTGAAGATCCATGTGGTGAGTGCCAGGCTTGAATGATGTTTTCTTTGGCAAGGCCTTGATGTCAAGGAAATGCTGAGGTGAAGCTGAGCACGTGGATGGAAGTGTTTCCTGAAGTAGAGAACTCCTTACTTAATGCAACCTATATGTCCTTTGGTCCCTTTTGTAGGCTCATTGGTATAATGTGAGGTACCGGGGCAGTTCCCTTCCCATTGAAATCACCCGCCGAGATGACCTTGTTGAACGACCTGTAAGTAATACTTGTACTTTCTTAGCTGAGATTGTGACAAGCTCTTTCCATTGGACCTCATGTACTTTTACCCAGAGGGATGAGATTGAGAGTTGATGGGATGTTGCCACAAGGGGGCAAAGGAGAGCTAATCAATCTCATTCACTTTTCCGTTGGGATCTGATCTGAAACCATTTCGTTTTGCAGAAACAACTTAGGAGCTTTTAAGTGTCATCAGCTTTTTGGCTTGTGATGATTTAAACCTATGAGATGGGCTAGGGAGCCCATATCAGCCATCTCTAATACCCTTGGACTGGACTTTGGGGACCAAAATCCACCAGTGAGCTATGTATGAGAGGGCAAGGGCCAGAAGGAGCATTATGGATTTAGATGGATTGGGGCCAAGAAAGGAAAGTCTTGGGTTTCCCTTCTCTCAGAAGTGGGAGTGTTAGGATCATAAAGAAGGCCAGCTGGATTGCCACTGAGCCCTCTACCTTTTGTCACTTTCAGGACCCTGTAGTCTTGGCATTTGACATCGAAACAACCAAACTGCCTCTCAAGTTCCCAGATGCAGAGACTGACCAGATTATGATGATCTCTTACATGGTAGATGGGCAGGTGAGTGCCTGGTTCAGCTTTTGAAATCTAAATCAGAACACAAGCTGAAAAATCATTCATCACCTCTAGTCATATTGGTTACAACTTCCTAAACATTGCGGGAAGGTTAGGGAACACCTCTAGTCTTAGGACTTGAATCTTAATGTCTCTTCTTTGGGAGGGTAGGATGTCATGGAGTTGCCATTAGAGTTATGTGTAGGAGGGATGGTCAGCCACATTTTTGGGCAGCGAGTTGGTTTTTATTTGTGTTTTTTCTAGCACTGTTTTTAACAATAGATTTCTGACCAACTTCCTTAGGGATACCTGATCACCAACAGGGAGATTGTCTCTGAGGACATTGAAGATTTTGAGTTCACCCCTAAGCCAGAATATGAGGGACCCTTTTGTGTCTTCAATGAACCTGATGAGGTAAGCATGTTCTTCTTAAGAGAAATTCTTAGCGCTCTCTCTCAGTCCTAGGGGGTTTCCCTTGCCCAAAAACTGTGTGATATGAGAAAAAGGTACTGATTTGCTTCTACTTCTTTTGCCATGGGTTGGCATTGTACCTCATTGAACTTAGCTGAAAGTAAAGTTATCAACCCATCACGGGAGAGATTGGTGTTAGATTTTTCTAGGAATGAATAAATGAAAAAGCATATATTAAGTACTTAATTAAGTACTAAGCAGTGAGGATACAAAAATAGAAAAGCAAGACATTTCCTATTTTCAAGGAACTCTCATTCTAAATTGGGGAGACATCATATAGGACAAGTGATTAGGGTCGATTAGGGTACATTGGTAGGTCAGATGGCATTGCTTGGGGGTCTGGAGAGGGAATGTGCAGCAGGCTTGGTGCGCTAGAAAGTGCAGTGATAATACAAATGTTAAGTCCTAGTGATCTTCTATTACCATTGATAACTAATGATTCTTTGTTCGTTTCGTGATGTGAGTGGCAATGGCCCTTGTTTAGAAATTAGGATTGGTTGAAAGTCCTAGCCTATGACTATTGGGAAGGAGTGATTGGTCAGGGGGATCAGAGTGGAACAGGGTGCTCTCATTTCCTTCTTGAAAGGAGGACGATAAGGGTCAGTGTCCAACCAGGCGGGACAACAGAAAGCATTGGTAGGAAGTTTGATGGGAAAACCTGATCTTCTGGGTCCTCTAGTGCCTGGTTGGATCTGGGTACCCTGTGAATAGAGGTAGGAGAGAGGTTCTTTCTACCAAGGAGTGTTTAAGTCAGTAAAAATGTAGCAAATATGTTTTCTCAAAATAGACCAAGTTATTGACTGTTGTACTCTTTTACTGATTTCAGGCTCATTTAATCCAGAGGTGGTTTGAGCATGTCCAGGAAACCAAACCTACCATCATGGTGACCTACAATGGTGACTTTTTTGACTGGTAAATGTGGAAGCTCATGTGGAAGCTTCACTAATAACTGTGAGGAACTAAGAATTGAGTTAAAGAGGGGCTATATTGACAGGATGGTTGTGCTGCTCAGGAAGGAGTATGTTCCATTCTGGGGAGAGACAGCCAGCCTTGACTCACTTCTAAGGACACTGTCTCTGCCCAAGAAACCTGTGGTAGAGTGAAGAAAAGACAGTAGATTGCTGCAGTTTTTGCAATTCATACTCTAGGGGCGTCCCATCGTTCTGGATGCATGAGTTTTCTCATTTTTTGTAAGATGAGGAATGATAGTATCCAGCTTTCACCTTGTTCACAGAATTGACCTTTTAGTAAAGTAGTTAGTAATAATGTAATATTTTTTGTTCAGTCATTTTCAGTCAGGTCTGAGTCTCCGTGATCCCATTTGGGGTTTTCTTGGCAAGGATACTGGAGTGGTTTGCCATTTCCTTCTTCAGCTCATTTTACAGATGAGAAAACTGAGGCATACAGGGTTAAGTGACTTGCCCAGGGTCACACAGCTAGTAAGTGCCTGAGGCTGGATTTGAACTCAAGAAGGTGAATCTTCCTGACTCCAGGCCTGATGCACTTATCCACTGTGCCACCTAGCTGCCTAATATAATAATAGTTCGTGGTTATTTAACATTTTATGGTTTTACAGCAGTTTCATATATAACCCTTCAAGGGAGGTAGGGTACAGATCATCTCCATTTGATGGGTGAACAAACTGCTTCAGAGAGGTTAAATGGCCTGCTGAAGATCACCCAGCTTGTAAGTGGAAGAGCAGGGACCTGGCTGTAGGTCTCCTGTCTCAGTGTCCTTCCCATTCTTTGCAGTCTGCCTTTGGTATTATGAGTGAAGGAGGAGGAGATGTGTGAGGAGGAGCGTTCTCTGCTGTCATCCTTCCGTTTGCCTTGTCTCACCCCTTTCCGTCTTTCCCTAGGCCGTTTGTGGAAGCTAGAGCAGCAGTTCATGGACTGAGTATGCATCAGGAGATTGGATTCCAAAAGGACAGTCAAGGGGAATACAAATCCTCTCAGTGCATCCACATGGACTGTCTCAGGTGGGTGTTGTGGTGGCTTCTGCCCCAGGAATGTCACACCAAGGGACTTCTGGTGCTGTGCTCACACTACTAGATTGTAGGGTTCTTGGTCAGAAGGGACCAGGTCAGTGAAGGAAGTTATCCTACCAGCCACAAGACCGTGGCAGAGGGGCCTGGAAGGCATCTACCTGAGAGGCCTCCAGTCCAACTGGTCTCATTTTACAGAGAACAGTAAAGCCTGCAGAGGTGAATGAAGTGCTTTACCAAGGTAACACAGATAGTAAATGGCAAAGGCAGGATTTGAACCCAGGTCCTTTGATTCCAAATCCATTGTTCTTTTCATTACATCATGCAGTTCTGATAGGGAGTTGGCACTTTTGAATATCTACCCACATGTTGTCTGCCCTCGTTTAACTCTTCCTGACACTCGGGGCCAGTGCCAGGAGGATCATTTGTCTTCATTCTTTTCATTTCCAGATGGGTAAAGAGGGACAGTTACCTTCCAGTGGGCAGCCACAACCTCAAAGCTGCAGCCAAAGCCAAGCTAGGGTATGATCCTGTGGAGTTGGACCCTGAGGACATGTGTCGAATGGCCACCGAGGAGCCTCAGGTACCATGGAATCCAGTGGCTTTTGTAGGCCAGTAGGGATCAAGTGTCCTGCGTCTCTGAGGGGCATGGACAGTGAGTGTAATGCTTAGAAGAAGGGGCATTGAGTACTGGATTCACACCACTCTGTAGGGCTCTTTTTCCTACATAAATATTTACTGTTCCAAGGCCTCACATCTACCTCAAGGAGCCAGAAGTTCGGTCTGTATCGCCTCCTCCTGCATCGCTGGGTGTTCACCAGCATTTTGGTCTTTCTTTGAGTTTTGTTGCTGTATATAGCTACACTTAATCTGTGTTTTTCAGTCCTGGTTTTTTTATTTCTCTTCTCAGACACTAGCTACATATTCAGTATCAGATGCTGTTGCTACTTACTACATGTATATGAAGTATGTCCATCCCTTCATCTTTGCTCTGTGCACCATTATCCCCATGGAGCCAGATGAGGTCAGTGCAACCGTTGCCCTAATTGGGGTGGGGTATCTGTATTAGTGACATCCAGTGAGGCGTCTGTACCAGACAAGATGGAGCAGGCTGCAGTGATGTGATCACAGTCCTTTGGGAAGGTGGCTGTTGCTACATCCTTTGGGTGAATGTCATCTCCAGTCTAGGGCAGTAGGAATCTTTTTCTTTTTAGGCAACTGGGGTTAAGTGACTTGCCCAGGGTCACACAACTAGTAAGTGTCAAGTATTTGGTCTGAGGTCGGATTTGAACTCAGGTCCTCCTGATTTCAAGGCTGGTGCTCTATCTACTGTGTCACCTAGCTGCCCCTGGCAGTACGAATCTTAACAAATGAAAAGCGAAACTGGAGACCCTAATGACAGGAATGAATCAGTGAACAGAGCCCTTATGTGCAGAGCACTGTGCTGAGCCCTGGAGAGCACACGGACCAGTAAGAGGTCCTGCCTGCTCTCCGGGAGCTCGCATTCTAGTGGGGGAGACACCACATCTGGAAGGTTTCATCTGTGAGTCAGATGGAAGAGTTCCATGGTCCCTAGAGTGCAGCACCAAAGCAGGAGGCAGTGCTTCTTTAATAGTCATTTACAATGATAAAGTCACATCAGTTTCTGATGTTGAACCCTTTGAACAGTACGGAGGACTTGGGTGACAAGAACTTTCCTGTCCGGGTCTTCGGTAGCTGTGGCTGTAGCACCCGTAGGAGCAGCTGCCAGGCTGCATCTCCAGAGGGGCTGCTTCCCAGGAGGATAGTTGAAGGCACTAAGCCAGAAGCATTGCTGTTCCCAAGGCTCTTAGTTTCAGGGTGCTGGGCTGCCTCCATCGAGGTCTGAGGGGAGATGGTGGTCAAGGTATGGCGGTGGTTGGTCTTCCCTGGCATGTGCTGCCTCCTGCCTCTCCTTCCAGTGGTCTGGCTGCTTCAGCCAGGCAGGCTTGCCTATCTGTGGGTACCAGCTGGTTGGCAGTTGGTGAGGACAGCTGGTTGCTTCTCCATAGAAGCCGCCTCCTCAGGGATAAAGGCTTTCGGGCCTGGGCTGGAAGCAAGTCCAGTGATCTAGGGCAGAGGTGCCAGATATGTGGCTCAGGGACCTTTTGTGGACCAAACACTCCTAAGTGTGACCTGAACCGGATTAAAATGTAATTGGGAAATATTTAACAAAATAGATAAAAATAGAACAGAACAGAGATGGGTAATATGTGGTTTTTTTAAGTCATTATGTGGCCCACTAAAGTTTCCTTCATGAGGAACATAAGTTCAGTGGCCTCTGGTTTCTGTTTTGATACCACTGGTCTGAGGGGTACTGTTCCTCACAGGGTTTTTGTGCACATCTGCCTATTGCTGGCAGTCAGTCATGTAGCTGTTGCTCGTGGTGATGAGGAAGGCAGGCTCTGTCTCTGCAGTGAATTCTTTTATTAATGATGACTGCAGAGGCTGGATTGGAAGCAGGTCGGGTGGTTTGGGGAGCATTGCCATTCTCAAGGCTTTTGGTTTCCCTGCTGCAGGTCCTTCGGAAGGGTTCAGGGACCTTGTGTGAGGCCTTGCTGATGGTCCAGGCTTTCCATGCCAACATAGTTTTTCCTAACAAGCAAGAGCAGGAGTTCAACAAACTGACTGACGATGGCCACGTATTGGACTCAGAGACGTACGTTGGGGGCCACGTGGAGGCACTGGAATCAGGCGTCTTCCGCAGTGACATTCCCTGCCGATTTAAAATGGTGCGGCTCTTTCCTGCTCTCTTTGCTTTCCTCTTGGCTGCTTCGGGAGTCTGGATATCCATGTCCCTGCCTTGTGGGTGGCAAGAACCAGAATAGGCTGAGGTAGATAGTGCTTCTTCCTCCCCACGCATTCTAAGACCCTTGCTGATGGTATCACACAGTGCCCAGGGTAGCATTTGTCAAGACCGTGGTGCTGCAGCACCCTTCCTTGTTGGTGCCTCTTTGGGGATCAGCAAGGGATTCCAGATGAAATGTGGGTCGTCAAGTCTGTAAGCATGTAACACCTGCCGTGTGCTAGGCACTGTGCTACTTATTGGGGCTACAATGAGATACAGTAACAGTCCCTACTGTCGAGACGTTTACAAGTCTCTCCTAGTCACAGGATGACCGTAACGTGAGCAGAGCTTTGGCACGCCCTACACATCAGGTCATGTTTTCTAGTTGCTGTGTGGAATTGTTAAAGAACTCTTCCAAATTATGTTGTGAACATGGAGCCTGTCCTGCAAAGTTTAGGCTAATTCGTTTGACTTTGTGTCAGTAGAGATAGCCCCAAAGACTGCAAATAACATGAATTGGTTTAAAAAGCTGGATTAGAGCTCCTCTAAATTATGCTGTAAGCATGGAGCCTGTGGTACAAAGTTTAGGCTAATTCGTTTGGCCTTGTGCTGGTAGAGATAGCCCCAAAGACTGCAAGTAACGTGAGCTTAAAAACCTGGACCATGCAGGTTCCGTGTGCAGATTGCCGTAGGGGTGGTGGGTCAGCGCAGTAACATTTCTTCCTGTGTCATGTCACCTTGTCTCTTCTACTAGAATCCTGCAGCCTTTGACTTCTTGCTGCAGCGTGTAGAGAAGACCATGCGCCATGCTATCGAAGAAGAAGAGAATGTACCCATTGAGCAGGTTACCAACTTCCAAGAGGTAATAGCCCTGGGTCCTCTTGGGGAGGCCTGAGAAATTTCTGAAGTAATGTACTTTGACCATCCATCTCCTCACGTATGTCCAGATGTTCATTGTACTCTTGATCCCTGCATTTGTCTTCCTGCTTTAGACTTGCTCTTTCCTTCTGTAATGAAACTTATAGACGCTGTTTTCCAATGGAAATTTGGGGAAGATTGAAGTTAGGTGGCGTCCTCCTTTTTAGCCTCCATTATTTCTTTTTCGAATAAATTCCAGCCAAATAATGTTCTTAGCTCGACTGTTTAATGGCCTCCTAATCGGTCTTTCTGCTCCTTGTCTATCCTTCTTTAATCCATCCTTTACACTGCAGAAGCAGTCTTCTTTTTGTACAGTTTAAAACAATATGTTTTATTGATCTTCACTCCTTTTTCCACATCCCCATCTATTATGTTCCAGTGGCTTCCCCAACCTTTCTCTTGTAACAAGTAACAAGTCAAGCAAAATTAATCCCACTGGCCACGTCTGAAAATGTACATGTCCCTCTTTGTGGTCCATCACTTCTTGGCTGAAAGGTCGGAGAGTCATGCCTCACCAGGCTGGGGTTTGGGATTGGATGCTGTGTCAGTCAGAGTTTTCACGTCTTTCAGTGTTATTTTTCTTTACGTTATTTTGGTCATTGTGTAGATTCTCTTGATTTTGTTTTCTTTGCTCTGCATCAGTTCATACAAATCTACCCAAGTTTCTCTGTCATTTTTTATAGTGCAGTAATACTGTATCACTAAGTCCTTATTCTGTAATCTGTTCAGCCATTCCCTAATTGATGGGGGATCCAGTCCTTTGTTACTATAAAAAGTGCTGCTATAAATATTTGTATGTATATGGGACTTTGTCCTCCTCTTTAACATTCTTGAGATATACACCTGGTAGTGGTATTTCTAGGTCAAAGGGTATGTATAGTTTAGTTACTTTTTTAAGTATAATTCCAAATTATTTTCCAGAACAGGTAGGCCAATTCCTAGCTTCATCAACAGTGTATTAGTACGCCTGTTTTCCCACAGTCCCTTTAGCATTGTTCACATCAAGGCTTCAGTAGTTTCTCATTGCTTGTACTTAAACACAAAGTATAAGCTCCTGGATTTGCCTTTCAGGGCCCTTCTTAGTCTCACTCCAACCCACCTTTCCATCCTTATCTCGTACTGTTCTCCTAAATAGGACTACTCTCCTTCCCTTCTTTCTGTCTTGCCTTCTCTGACTCTGTGCTGTTGTTCGTAGTGTAGTCCCCCATGTTTCCATTTCTCTTTGTTGAATCTCCTCCCTTCTAAGTTGCTACTTTTTCCACAAAGCCTTCCCTGAAAACATGCCCTCTCCTGAGCTGAAAGAAAGGGATCTCTGCCTCCTCAAATTTCCCATCACACTCTGCTTTTTATTTTTAATTTTATTTTCTTTTTCATTTTTAAAACGCATTTTTATTTATTTCATTAAATGTTTATCAATTACCTGTAAAAGAATTTTTAACATTCGCTTTTAAAAATTTTAAATTCCAAATCTCTCCTTCCCTTCTGCCACTGAGAAGTGAAACAATATGATAATTGATTATACATGTAAATGATGCAAAATATTAGCCATGTTGCAAAAGAAAACAAAAAATAAAGTAAAAAAAGTAGCTTCAGTCTGTATTCAGAGTTCATCAGTTCTCTCTCTGGAGGTAGACAGCATTTTTCATCATGAGTCCTTTGGAATTATCTTGGATCATTGTCTTGATCAGAGTAGCTAAGTCTTTCATACTTGGTCATATTTACAATATTGCTATTACTGTGTACATTATTCTGGTTCTGCTCGCTTCACTCTGTATCAGTTCATATAAATCTTCCCAGATTTTTCTGAAGCCGTCCTGCTCATTATTGCTTATAGCACAACAGTATTCCATCACAGTCATATACCACAACTTGTTCAGCCATTCCGCAATTGATGGGCATCCCTTCGGTTTCCAATTCTTTGCCACCACAAAAAGCTGCTATAAATATTTCTGTACAAATAATACCTTTTCTCTTTCCTTTGATCTCTTTGGGTACAGATCTAGTAGTGGTGTTGTGGGATCAAAGGGTATGCACAGTTTTATCTTTGGCTGTAGGTGGAGTTTGCAACTCTACCAACAGTGCATTAGTATCCCAATTTTTCCATATCCTCTCCAGCATTTGGCATTTTTCTTTTCTGTCATGTTAGCCAATCTGATATGTGTGAGGTGGTATCTCAGAGTTGTTTTAATTTGCATTTCTTTAATCAATAGTGATTTAGAGCATTTTTTCATGTGATTATTGATAGCTTTGATTTCTTCTGAAAACTGCCTGTTTATATCCTTTGACCATTTGTCAATTGGAGCATGACTTGTATTTTTATGGGTTTGGCTCAATTCCCTATATATTTGAGAAATGAGACCTTTGTATCAGAGAAATTTGCTGTAAAATTTTTTCCCAGTTTCCTGTTTTCCGTCTAATTTTGGCTGTATTAGTTTTGTTTGTGTAAAACCTTTTTAATTTCACGTAATCCATTTTCCTTTCTGCATCACACTCTGCTTAGGACTTTTCTTTACATTTACCACGTTCTCACATGGATCAGTTATTGGCATACTCATCTGTCCCTCCCATTAGACTGCATGCTCTTTGTCCACACAGGCTGTCATGCCTGTGATGCTGGTACCGACCACTGGCCTTTGCATACAGTTGGTGTTAAATAAATGTTTTTTGAATTGTGTTTAGCCAAGGATCGTGGGAGCATAACTTGTACCTGAGTTTTGGCTCCTCAAAGGAATAGGCCCTAGACAGCCATCTTTCTGCCTTGGTTTTCAGTTTCTATTTGTTTTTGCTCCTTCTGTAGGTGTGTGATGAAATTAAGAACAAACTGACCTCCCTTAAGGATGTGCCCAATCGAATTGAGTGTCCTCTCATATACCACTTGGACGTGGGTGCCATGTACCCCAATATTATCCTTACTAACAGGTTGCAGGTGAGGACAAGCTTCTCTTATTTGAACTGCTGGTGGTTTGTTTAATCAAAGTTTTCATTCTGTCGGTCTCTCTCTTTAATGTTTAGCCTTCTGCCATAGTGAATGAGGCCACATGTGCTGCCTGTGACTTTAACAAACCAGGAGCCAACTGTCAACGAAAGATGACCTGGCAGTGGAGGGGAGAGTTCAGTAAGTGTTTGGTCATCGGTCTCTTCATTGGACAGCGGCTGCTTTGTCAAGGATTCGGATCCTCTGACCTTTTTTACCTTCGTCCTCTTGCTAGTGCCAGCCAGCCGCAGTGAGTATCATCGTATTCAGCAGCAGCTGGAGTCAGAGAAGTTTCCTCCGTTGTTCCCAGACAAACCAGCCCGGGCATTTCACGAGCTGTCCCGAGAAGAGCAGGCTAAATATGAGAAGAAGCGACTGGCAGGCGAGTAATTTGTTAGTGATCTTCCAAACGTCAGGGTTCCTGCATTAGACACACTCTTGATGTGTTACAAAGTCTCCTCATTAAACTGCACCTGTCAAGGTGCATCCTGCCTTCTTCCTTCAGTTACCCTAAGTGGATGCAATCGGCATTGCTGTAAGACTGGGATTTCTCTCAGTGGCAGTGATGGGCCCTGGGCTCACTGCCCCATTTGTGCCCTGCTAGGGTCTCCCTCAAGTATTAAAATCTGGACAGTCATCCTTCACCGCAGTTGTTTAATCTTTTGGGAGAATCCCATTCAGATACAGGGTGGGTTAGATGGCCTTGATAATCCCTTGTCACCGTAGGATTCTGCGATTTGCTGAGGAGGCATGAGGTCTCTCTCTCAACTGGTTGCCCTGTGTCTTCATTGTGGTATAGATTACTGCCGAAAAGCTTACAAGAAGATCCACATCACAAAGGTGGAGGAGCGCCTCACCACCATCTGCCAGCGGGAAAACTCCTTCTACGTAGACACAGTCCGAGCTTTCCGAGACCGACGGTATGAGTTCAAAGGACTGCATAAGGTATGGAGGTCAGGGCCTGCTTGGAGGCCCTGGAGAGAGTGTATTGGGAGAGGCCTCAGCTGAGTCCCATTTCTGAAATCTCCCCCTTCTGACCTGAGAACTGTTTGGCTGGTTTGCCTCACTGATTGGGCTCCCTCAGTCTTGATGGCCCCACCCTGAACCTCTTCTCTATGGCCACACACAGATGGACAGTGACCTTCAGTTCCTTGGGCTTTGAGAAGTGAAGAGCCAATCAGGGGTGTGATGTGAACCTGTCTCAGTGAGGGCTTCCTGCAGTGGAGGCTTTTGGGGCTGAATGTTTCTGATCTCCTCTTATCTTTAGAGACAGAGAATTTCATTCGTGTATCCTTTATTTGCCTCAGTTTCCTCATCTATAATCATGGGGATCCACCTCCCAGGGTTGTTGTGAGGATCAAATGTTAAAATATTTGTAAAGCTCTTAGCACAGTGCCTGGCACAAAGTGAATGCTGATTAAATGTTAGCTATCATCATCATGATGTCATCATTATTGTTATTACTATTATCCTGAGGTGCTAATGTAGGGGTCTTAGGGTTGAGTGCTTCTAGTTTTTATGTGTTTAACACAATCAGTGAGCGAGGAGGATCTAGGATAGTTCCCAAGAATACCTCATTTAATGAAGATTCTCCAGGAGTGACATGTTTACTTCATTAAGCAGATTTTCTAAAGCTGAGCCCTTCAGGCTATGTTTGTTGTAAACATTTTTGATAGAAATCTGTCTAAAATGTGTTGTTTTCTTCCTCCATTCAAGGCAAGGAAGTAGACAGCATATTTCTGAAAGATTGAAGGGCTTGGCGGGCTCGGCTTCAGTGAACTAGAAAGTTCACGTAAGTGGAATGCCTCCCCCTCCTTGAAGCACAGGGGTGGCAGTTGAGCTAAGGGAAGACACCGAAGCCATTACTGCAAAGGAACATGGGAATTTGGGACAGGGCTTCATCTTTTCTTGATGACTTGGTGGTGTCTCAGGAACATCCAGAATTTTGCTCTGTATCAGTGGACTTTGGTGTCTGCCTTTTAGCAGCAGCTCCCTCATTTGTTTCTGGTTTGCTTTTAGTAAAATTTGGACTAGGAAACTGGATGAACAAGGTATAATGATACCTTTATTTTTGAAAAAAGCCTTCAAAAAGTCTGTTAGTGGGAAAGTACTTTGCCCGGAACCCAGGACACGGAGTGATTTTCAGGTCAAAACTTTAGGACAATATGCCAGGTGCCTACAGATAGGACTTTTCCTATTAATTACCAGGTTTGGGACTTAACTGAAGTCAGTTCTCTGGACAAATTCGGTATTACTACTACAATGAACTATTTGTTCACGTTGCTTAATTTCACAAGATGTAGAAATGAGAATGAAGCATTTTCCTTTTATTTTCCCCTTTTCAGTGACTATCTTGTGACTTATGAATCCGTTGAGCTTAAGGGGAAAGGTCTTTTAGGGGTGACTTTTCTCTGTGCTTGACTCAGGTGTGGAAGAAGAAGCTATCTGCTGCCACTGAGATGGGAGATGCTGCTGAAGTCAAGCGATGTAAGAACATGGAGATCTTGTATGACTCTTTGCAGCTGGCTCACAAGTGTATCCTCAACTCTTTCTATGGCTATGTGATGCGCAAAGGGTACGTGGGTGCAGCTCAGCAAGCTCCCCTTCTCCTCGTTACCGGGCTCCATATCTCTTCCCTTTCCCCTGATTTACAGCTGTTAACCTCATGACATCTGTGAGGTCCAAGTGCTGAGGGAGCTTAGGGAAAAGAAGGACATCTGGCTTGGGGAGGTAAGGGAAGGCTTCCTGCAGAAGGAGGAACTGGAGCGGAGCCTGGATTCCAATAGGCCGAAATGGGGTGGAGGAGAACATTCCAGAATGAGCCAGTTGTATCTAGGAAAAAGTCAGGACCTCTTTGGGAGATGACACGTCGTCTAGTTTGACTGGGGCCTGGGAGTGTAGTAAAGTAGTAAGAAGTGAGGCTGCAAGAACGGATCGAAATGAGGAGGTGCAGGGCTTTGGGAGCCAGCGGAGATTTCTGAACAACCTACGCAGAGCACCTGAAGGCTTGTCTGGTGCTTGACGTGCATCACCTCATTGGAGCCTCCCTGCAGCCTTGTGAGGCCGATATGACAGAACTGTAGAACTCAAAAGGACCTGACAGAACAGTTATTGCAGCTCCTTCATTTGACAGACAAGGAAAGTAGGCCCTGGAGAGGCTGTCACCTTCCTGGATGGAGTGGTAAGTGGCAGAGCTGGGATTGGAGCTTGAGTGTAGTGACTCCAGATCTAGAGAGACCACGCTGCCATATTGCCTTCCATGATTATAGTAAGAATAATTTGGTAGAGATGGCAGGGATAGCATATTATGAGGGACAATTATTAGAGAAAAGGAAAATTTAGCGATTGTAATATTGGAGTAGGAGGTCACAAGTGACAACCGAGACCTACTCCCCTCAACTCTAGTAATTGCAAAGATAGTAAAATAGAGGCTTTATCAAGTGATTATGTGATGCGTGTTGTGCTGTGTACTGAGGATACCAATATAGGAAGCAAACAGTCCCTCTCCTTAGGAAGCTTACATTCTGATGGGGGAGACCCCAGAGTAGGGAGAGTACGGAGGAGCAATGCAGCAGCAGAAGCAAAGGAGGAGGCTTCTGGAGAAAGTCCAGGCATGAGTGAGGTGAAGTGTGGTTGGGGTCATTCCTAAAATGGGAGTCCAGGGCGGGGAGTCACCAGTGAGGAAGAAGGGCCCTGGTATGGTGGAATGTAATAAATGGGGGGGGTGCCAGAAATACAGGAACTCCAGATGTTACAGGGAGGTGACTGGAGTTTTGACCTTGCATGATTGGCAGGATGTGGTGTCATTAACAGAAGTAGGGAGGTTGGAAGGAATAACCTGGGGTGGGGATAGGGGAGAAGAGCAAAGGTGATGAGAGTTTGGGACATAACAACACCCATGGGAGAGCAAGAAGGAAAGGGTGTCTCTTTTCTAGAGAGGATGTCTCTGCGTAGAGACCTCAAAGAATCTGCTCCTTTCTTTGCCTCAAAGTTTTTGCCTCTTGATTCTCCTACCCCCATAGAGGCAATAATGAATCTAATGAGAGAGGAGTGGTCATTCTCTAGGATCACGAGTCTTGCCTTTTCTGCCTACTGCTGGGAGATTAGTCATTTGGGTTTTTCCCCCCAGATTCTTTTTACCTCCTTTGACTACTCTTGGGGTCGGCCCTCCAGCACAGATAGTCCTCCTGCCCAGTGACCTCACTACCTTATACACCTTCTCGGTTGTCACCTTTGCAGGGCTCGGTGGTATTCCATGGAGATGGCAGGAATTGTCTGCTTCACAGGAGCCAACATCATCACACAGGCCCGGGAGCTGATTGAGCAGATTGGGTAAGTGTGGAACGTAGATTCCATGAATCAGCCACTGGGGAACGTGAGGAAAAATTTAGGAAGAAATGGAAAGGTGGGCGACCAGAAAGTCTTAGTGTGACAAGTAGAATAAGGATCTAATAGATGCTTTGACATTATGAGGCTCATTATAAACAATCGTAAAATTGTCCTGAGATTCATACGATTTCAGAGTTGAAGGGGCACTGAAAGGTCAAATTGTCACCTCCCAAATCTGATGAAAAATCTCTCATACCAAGATCCCCAACAAGTAGCATTCAGTTCTAGTACCGTCAGTGAGTTCTCCTCTATAAGCAAGACTTTGGGGACAGTCAGTGCAAAGGAGACATGGAGTGTCATAAGTAAGGAACAGAGGGAAGGTCAGCTTGGCTATTTTGCAGAGTGAGGGAGAGGGGAACATGTCCAGGGAGGTTGAAAAGATGGATTGGGAGCAAAGTATATGCAGCTTTACAAGCTAAACAGGGGAGTTTACATTTGATCCCCAGAGGCAGTAGGAATTCTTGAGTGAGGGGTCACGTGGTCAGATCTGCGTTTAAGGAAAAGTTTTTTGGCAGTCACGTGGAGAATGAAGTTGGTGGTGAGAGATCCGAAGTAGGGAGATCAATTGGAGTAATCTGGGTGAGAGCTGTTGTACAAGATTTGGCAGCCGAGTGGCTCTGTGGGTGATGAGCCAAGAGGCCAAGATAATTCCAGGGTTGCAGACAGTAGGCAACAAAAAGATGGTTGTACCTTTGACAGAAAGAGGAAGGTTGAGAAGATGGAAGAGTTTATGGGGAAGGGGAATGAGTTCAGTTTTAGACATGTTGAGTTTAAGATGTCTCTGAGACATCCATGGTGAAATGCCCGACAGGCATTTGGTGATCCAGAACAGGAGCTCAGGGAAGTGATTGGGCTGGAGATTTAGATCTGGGAGTCATCATCTGCATAGAGGTGATGGTTAAGCCCGTGGGAGTTAATGAGGTAACTAAAATAGAGGCTCTAGAGCAGGCCTGCACAACCTGGGGCCCACCAAAGGATCTTAGGAATATAGAAGAAAACATCCTTTACATTTTTCCCCGGCCGCCTGAAATTCTTTGGTGGGCCCCAGATTGTGCAGGCCCGGTCTAGAGGATGAAAAGAGGGCCCAGGGCAGAACCTTGGGAAACACTTATGGTTAAGGGCTGTGATGTCAGTGGTGAGCTAGCAAAGGAATCTGAGAGGGAATGGTCAGACAGTTAAGGGGCCAAGCAGGAGAGAGGAGTGTCATGAAAACCCAGAGAGGAGAGAGGACTGAGGAGGAAGAATGGAACAAGCATTTCTTAGGTGTCTAATATGTACCAGGCACTGTACAAAGCACTTTACAAATGTTACCTCACAATAATCCTGTGACTTAGGTGCTATTATTGTCCCGTTTTACAGTTGAAAAAACTGAGGCAGACAGAGGCGAGGACATCCAACAGTGTCATATGCAGCAGATAGGTCAAAAAGGATGAGGACTGAGAAAAGTTTTGTGATTGAAAAATCTTAATTGCAATTAAGGTAACTTCAAAGAAAGTAGTTTCATTTGTGTGATGCAGTTGAAAACCGGATTGCCAATGTTTGAGGAAAGAGCGGGGAGGAGATGTAGGTAGCAAATATAGACACGTTTTTCAAGTTTGGGAAAGGGAGAGGAGCTATAGGGTTTGAGAGGATAGTAGGGATCAGGTACGTTACAATTTCATGCTGTCCAACTTCAACTGGGTCCTCAGTGAAGCAAAGCAGTCCTTTTTTTCCTCCCTAAGTGATTCCCTGACTCACTACACACAAGTTGTTCCAAACCTTCTCTGTCCTCTTCAAGACCCTTGTCCTTTCTTCCCTTCCTCCCCCCTCCCCACCTGAGGACCTTGCCTCTTCACTGAACAAATCAGGACCATTCAAAGTGAGTTCCCTCTTTCCCTATTCTCTTCATCTCACGATCCCTTGATACTGTGTTAGGTTATTTATGGGTGGACGTTTTACTAGAAGGTCACTAAGGCCTCTGCCAACTCAATGATTCTAAGATACACAAGACAGAATGGAATATCAGTGCCCCTAGTAAGATACCTGAGGATATAGAAACCAGGGATTGCTCCAAGATAGGAAGCAGAAGACAGACATCCGCCATTCATCCTTACAGAGTTTGATCGATATCGCCCTTTTTGAGCAGGCGTAGATGCTGATAGGCCTGCACCTGGCCTAGGTGCATGACAGGACGTCAGGATGGCCTCCAAACTTTCAGGCATGCCCTACAGCGTTGTACACATGTCTTTGCATCTCTCTTCCCTTACAGGAGACCTCTAGAGCTTGACACGGATGGAATCTGGTGTGTCCTACCAAACAGCTTCCCAGAAAATTTTGTCATCAAGTCAACCAATGCAAAGAAGCCCAAGGTGACCATCTCCTACCCTGGAGCCATGTTAAACATCATGGTGAAGGTAAGTTTCTTTGTGTTTTAAGGCTTGTTGATGCCTTTTGGTTTTATGTCATGCTCATTTCCAAATATACGTTCTGCCCAGTAGACTCTTGTAACAAAGGTTTTTAAAACCGTTCAGCAAAACCACGAGCGCTTTGGCCACGGTGGGCGGCATACGCAGCATTCCATACCCACAGTCTCTCATCTCCCTTTCTTCACTGAGGACGTAAATTTTCTTTTCCCTGGGGCTTAGCTTGGTTATTATGATTAGTGCATCTGTCAGGCATTACCTAAGAGCAGACCATTTCTTTGTTTTTCCATGTTGATTTTATTGAAATTGTATTTCCTATCCAGTACCCAGAAAATACGTTGACATTAACAATTGTACAGGTGTAATGTTCCTTCACCCTGTTCCTGGGTAAAGCCAAGGATGGGGATCCTCTGTGATACCAGGTAGGATTCTCCAAGCTGAGTAGGAGAAGGAAGAGTAGTGGCTAGATTCATTCCATGTAATAACTAACCTCATTGTTTGTACCCCACATCTCTCCACATTTGACCTGCCAGCTCAGTTCCTTCCTAGGTATTAGAACAGCAGAAGTATAAGTAACCCTTGGGCCCATGGGTAATATAACTCAGTGTCAGGTCAGCTCTGTCACTGGTCTCATTCATGTCTTCGTTTGAGCTACTGGGTTCTTGCATTGTCCATTGTGAGTGATGCAGACCTTGTACTTCAGACCTTTCCTTGGTTCCCAGCAAGGTGTCCTGCTTCCCATTGCCTGTCTCTGCATCGACTCCACATTGTGTTCTGACCACTTGCTTCATCATTACCTGCTGCCTTACTGCCAATTACTGAAGCTCCCGGGGCTGAACATCTCTCTGGGATTTCCCTTTCTTACCTGTGGTTACGCTCTGGTCATGCCGCTCACTGGTCCACGTTTCCATCTAATGCCCACTGCTGGCATTGCCCGAATCATCCTACTACTCAGCAGGTCTTGGCTGCTTATAGGCAAAGCCAGAGAGTGTATCTGCAGCTGTTACAAAGTCTTTTGAAAAATACATTCTTTATTGGGTTATTGAAGCCCAGAAGGCATCAGCATTGTTACTGATTGGTGTAATAGAGAAAGCAAGAGACGTATGGAGGTAGAAGATGAAAGATAAAAGAAAGAAAAATAAATTGAAATCATTTTCTCTTAATGTTTAGTTCCTTTCAGAGAAATCAAAGCCGAGTTTTGTACCTCAAGTTCATTTGACACGACTCCACATCAACCTACATTTCTTTTTTTCACAGCTTTGAAAAGTTTTGGCATATTTGACAGCTTAATAAACAATCATGACATCTAGTGGCAAAAGGGGGAAGCAGAAATAATCTCCAAAATCTTTTAACTGTAGGTTGGTGGAATGATTTTGGAATTTTTACTGCAGGGAGAAAGAAGATGTAATGGGTAGAATATTGGACTCAGAATCAGAAGAATCACATCCCACTTTCAATACTTACTAGTTGTGTGATCCTGAGCATCTGTTTCCTCATCTATAAGATGGGGGCAATAATAATAAATTCAAATGAAGATAATGTATTTTTGGTTTTGGTTTTGTTTTCATTTTGTTTTTGTGGGGTTTTTTGGGTTTGTTTTTTTTTTTTTGGTTAGGCAATGGGGTTAAGTGACTTGCCCAGGGTCACACAGCTAGTAAGTATTATGTGTCTGAGGCCACATTTGAACTCAGGTCCCCCTGACTCCAAGGCCAGTGGTCTATCTGCTATGCCACCTAGCTGCCCCTACATATAAGCAAACTTTTTTTTTTTTGGTGAGGCAGTAGGGGTTAAGTGACTTGCCCAGGGACACATAGCTAGTGTCAAGTGTGTGAAGCCGGATTTGAACTCAGGTCCTCCTGACTCCAAGGCCACCTCGCTGCCCCTCTGTACATTTGTTTTTTAAAGTGCTTTGTGACCTTGTCCTAAACTATCTTTTGAACCTTGTTACGTACATTGTTCCACTCCTGTGCCCTGCAGTGAAGCCAGACTGGCTTTCTTGACGTTCTTCACACGTATCACTCATTTCCCAGCTCTGTACGTTTGCACTGGTTATTTTCTAGGCCTGGAATTCACCTCTGCTTTGTTTCCTTCACAAGTCAGTCTAAGTGCCATCTTTTACATGAAGCCTTTCCTGATCCTCCCAGATGCTAACGCCCTTTCCTCCAAAATGATTTTGTACTTATTTTGTGTATATTTTGTAGATCTAATCAACGTGCTTATTGTTTCCCTGTTAGAATATAAGCTTCCTGAGGGCAAGGACTGTTTCATTTTTGTCTCCCAGCACCTATCACCATGCCTATAGTAGATGTTTAATAACTGCTTGCTTGCTTCCTTGTTTGGTAAAGCACTTTGCAAACTTTTAAGCCCTATACAAATGTTAACTACAGTTATTGTCATTAGATGGAAAAGTTTAGTGCACGAAGGGGAGGCCTGTGAAATACATCTGAAAAAGATAAATTGGAGCCTGATTTTGGAGGACTTTAAATGCCACATGAAGTTATATTTTGTCCTAGAGGCAATAGGGAGCCAATGGTAATTTTTGAACTAGTGTCAGATCTGTCTGTTGGGGGAGATTATTTTGACAACTTTGTAAAAGGTAGTTTGCAGGGGATAAAGATTGGATGCAGAGAGACCAACGATGAGGCTATAGTTTAATAAGGACCTGAACTAAGGTAGTGGCCATGTGTGAGTGGAGAGAAGATGGTTGTAAGAGATGCTGTAGAAGTAAAATCAGTAAGATTTGGCAATTGATTGGTTATGGGAATTGAGGGAAAAGGAAGAGTCAAAGGTGATGTTGGGGTAAGTGGAATGATGATGTTGCGCTTGACAGAACTAGGGAAATGTGGAAGAAGGGCAGGTTTCAAGAGGAAGATGACGTTATGAGCATGTGAAGTCTTAAGATACGAAGGGAACGTCTTGGTGGAGATGTCTACATGAGAGTTCTAGTCTAGTCTGTATCTAGTCCAGTTGACTAGAGTGGGACTAGAGTTCAGGAGAGTAATTAATACTGGATATTTGGATTTGGGAGTCATCTATAAAGAGATGCTAGTCCAACCACGGCCATGGAAGGTGCCAAAATAATCTCCCTAGGATACATCAAGGGAAAGAGCATATAGAGAGAAGGGACGAGGGCCCAGGATATAAAACCTTTGGGGACACTTAGGAAGCAGGACAAGGATGATTGATTGTCTCCAGGAAAGGAGGCTAAGGCTCAGTAGTGATATAGGTAGGTGGAGAATCAGGAGGGGGTAGTATTATTGAAACAGAGGTTGGGGGATGATAATGTTAAAAGGTACAGAGGCCAAATTAAGGTGGAGACTTAGAAAAGTCATTGAATTTAGCATTTACTTACTTATTGATAGCTTGGAACAGAATAGTCTCAGTAGACTGTTGGAGTTGAAAGATAGATTGCAAAAAATTGAGGAGTGGAGAATGAGGAGGTGAAAGCAATAAGAACAATTTTTTGTAAGATTTCTTTTTCCTGATTTATTATTTATTTATTTTGAACGTTAATTTAATTTTGAACATTAATTAAAAAAATTTTTTTTGAGTTCCTGAATTCTCTTCCTCCCCCTCAAGAAGACAAGAAATGTGATATCAGTTATACACGCAAAATCATGCAAAACATATTTCCGTATTAGCCATGTTGCCAAAAAACAAGAAAAATAAAGTGAAAAAGTTATGCTTCAATACTCCATCTGTTCTTTTTCTAGAGTTGAATAGCATTTTTCATCCTAAGTCTTTCAGAATTATCTTGGATCAATTGTTGTATTGATCAGAATACCTAAGTCATTTCATAGTTTGATCATTGTGCAGTATTGCTATTACTATGTAGATTGTTCTCTGGTTCTGCTTATTTCACTTTGCATCAGTTCATAAAAGTCTTACTAGGTTTTTTTGAAGCCATCCTGCTTGTCATTTCATTTTTCTTTTTTTTTAGTTAATTAATTAATGTATTAGTTTTCAACATTCACTTTTATAAGATTTTGAGTTTTAAGTTTTCTCCTCCTCCCTCCACTCCCCCTTCCCCAAAACGGTATGCAGTCTGATATAGACTGCACATGTACAATCATATTAAACATATTTCCACATTAGTCATGTTGTGAAAGAAGAATCAGAACACTAGGGAAAAGCCATGAGAAAGAAAAAACAAAAAACAACAAAAAAAGAGAAAATAGTATGCTTCGATCTGCATTCATACTCCATAGTTCTTTCTCTGGGTGTGGACGAGTGACTCATGGAATTGTCTTAAATCATCGCATTACTCAGAAGAGCCAAGTCTAACGAGGTCGGCCATTGCACAGTGTTGCTGTTATTGTGTGCAGTGTTCTGCTTCTGCTCACTTCACTCCGCATTGGTTCATGCAGGTCATTCCAGGTGTTTCTGAGGTCCACCTGCTCACCATTTCTTATGGAACAGTAGTGTTCTATTACATTCATATACCACAACTTGCTCAGCCATTCCCCAGTTGGTGGACATCTCCTCAATTTCCAGTTCTTTGCCGCCACAAAAAGAGCTGCTATAAATATTTTTGTCTATATGGGTTCTTTTCCCTTTTTTATGGTCTCTTTGGGATACAGACCTAAAAGTGATCTTGCTGGGTCAAAGGGTATGCATAGTTGTATGTTTTTTTATGTTTTATAATATAAAATGTATAATAATATAAATATATATAATATATGACAATATAAAATATAAAATAAGTTTTTATATATATTTTTATAGCCCTTTGGGCATAGTTCCAAATTGCTCTCCAGAATGGTTGGATCAGTTCGCAACTCCACCAACAATGCATTAATGTTCCTATTTTCCCACATCTTCTCCAACACTTATCATTTTCCTATTTTGTCATGTTAGCCAATCTGATAGGCATGATGTGGTACCTCCGACTTGTTTTAATTCGCATTTCTGTAATCATTAGTGATTTAGCTGCTCATCAATAGTATTCCATCAAATCATATACCACAACTTGTTCAGACATTCCCCAATTGATGGGCATTCCCTTAATTTCCAATTCTTTGCCACCACTAAAAGAGCTGCTATAAATATTTTTGTGCATATAGGTCCTTTCCTTTTTTCTTTAATTTCTTTGGGGTACAGACTTAGTCGTAGTATTGCTAGGTCAAAGGGTAGGCACAGTTTGATTGCCCTTTGGGCATAGTTCCAAACTGCTCTCTAGAATGGTTGGATCAGTTCACAACTCTACCAACAGTGCATTAGCGTCCCAATTTCCCCATACGCCCTCCTACATTTGTCATTTTCCTTTTCTGTCATATTAGCCAATCTGGGTATGAAGTAATAGATGTGAAGTGGTACCTCAAGAGTTGTTTTAATTTGTATTTCTTTCATTGGTAGTGATTCAGAGCATTTTTTCATATGACTATAGATAGCTTTGATTATTTCTGAAAATTGCCTGTTCATATCCTTTGACCATTTATCATTTGGAAAATGACTTGCATTCTTATAAATTTGACTCAATTCTCTATATATTTTAGAAATGATGCCTTTTTGTAAGATTTTGAGTGTGAAAGGATTAGTGATAACATTATGAAGGGATGGCATGATTACATCCAGTTTTCTTGAGAATCAGGAGACCTGTAGACAGTGGGAAAAGAGCAGTAAGTAAGAAAAGACTGAGAAGGAAAGGGAGGGATTGATCAAAGAGACATCCTCCTGGAGGAAAAAGGAAGGTTCAGAATCAAGGGCACCAGTAGAGGGATTGATCTCGGCAGGAGGAGTTACTTCTTCCTCCAAGACCAGAATGAAGGATAACAGAGAATGCTATTGTGGGCCTTGGAGGAGAGCAGTGGGGGAGAAGAATCTCAAAGGCAGAGGTCTTGGTTTTCTAAATTGAGGTCCTCTACTAAGATGTACTGGAGAGGGATGGCATAGAAGACTTAAGACAGAAGATTTGTAACAGTCCCTGGAGGGAGCATGACCGGGAGTCAGGGAATAATGGAGCGTTGTCCTGTAGTAATGAGAGCCAAGTTAAGATTAAATAACATAAATCCATAGTGGACCGAGTCAGCATGGTCATGACTTTCTCCAGTGGCTCTCAGTAGCACAGTCATAATGATGGAGTGCTCAGGCCCCAGCCTGAAGATCGTGTCTCTGGAAGCCTTCCAATTTCTCAGTAGACCCCTACCCTGTGAGAAATTGGGAGGCTTCCAGAGACATGATCTTAGGGCTGTCCCATCAATAAGAATGGGAGAAGATAAATTGTAGAAGTAGCACAGAGTGGGGGGTTAGCTTGGCATGAGAGGCCAGAGGACAAGGGGTAAGAGACTCCAGGATATAGTGGGATCGTGAATAGTTGGATTACGATCTGGACATCAGACTCCTTGAGAAAGGAAGGAGAGTGACCTGGAGTTTAGTAGATTACTGGAGGTATCTGAATATGGTGATGTGGCTAGATGACTTGAACCGCTGTTAATGGGCTGTGTGTATGCCTGATACCATTAGGGAGCTTTGTGTAACCAGTGTGTGGTCCCCATGGAGTATCCTTTTTCTGCTTAAAATGTTTAAAAGTTTATAAATGTCACATCTTTGTTCTAGTGATGTATCATTGAGGATTTATTTGCTGCCTGGTTCTTTCCTCAGAAATACAAGCACTTATTTCGTGTGGGATTATGTGATGCTCTTTACAGTAGGGTTTCTTAGAAACCCTGTTGAAAAGCAGAGACTCCCTGTGTATTTAGAATTGGAATATATTTTTATTTCAACTTTGAATTTGACAAATTCTATTTTATTTCTAACAAAATAATGAAGTTATACTGTAGAGACCTAACCTTGGAAGTATTAGAAAGGTGTGTAATTCCTGATTGACAAAGCCACCCTTAGAACTGCATTAACATCTCTTAAACTGATGCAGAATACCAACTCATGATTCTGAGCATGTTGTTTTTTCCATTGGGAAATAAATTTCTGCTGCTAGACCTAGACCCCTAATCTTGGAGCTCTCCAGGTTGCTGCCTCCAGAATCATTTCCCTGCTGGGCTCTCCTCTCCACAGTTAGCCTGCATTCTTGAGGGACAGGACAGTGTATTCAGCAGCCCATATACCCTCTTGTTTGTACAGTTTTTAGCATTAACATACAAACATAAACCTCACCCCCTTTACTCCACAGCTTCTGAGAAATGGAAAGTTCCTCCTTCTCACTGAAAGATTGAGCAGCCTTAGTGATGATACAGATTACAAAGGGAGCTGATGCAGAGACTCCTTGAAGATTATGGAAGTGAAAACCCTACCTTGAGTTCAAGAGTGTTGCTTTACTGGTTCCCAGAGTCTTCCAGTACAAGCAGAGAGTTTAAAGTGCATCCTTTATTTATTTGCTCTGATTGTTGCTAATCAGCCTGAACCAGATCGATGAAGGGAAGGGAAGGGCTTAGGAATGTGGTGGCCTTGTCTGATTTGTTCCAATAAGTCATTGTTTATTTTTCCCTTTCCACTTGGGCAATTTCTAGAGCCCTGGGGACCCCAGCTGTGTAGAATGGAAGACAGTTTTTGTCTTTTGGTCTGCAGGAAGGCTTCACGAATGACCAGTATCAAGAGCTCACCGAGCCTACTTCCCTCACTTACATCACTCGCTCAGAAAACAGCATCTTCTTTGAAGTGGACGGGCCATACCTCGCTATGATTCTTCCAGCTTCCAAGGAGGAGGGGAAGAAACTGAAGAAAAGGTAGGAATCAGTCTCCCTAGTTAGAGAATATTGCCTGTGGAATTAGGGTTAGCATGTGTAGACTGGCTGAAGGTTGAGGACCCGGCACTTGCATCAGCCGACAGGACAAAGAGTGGGAAGTTCGGCTAATTCCTAATGGATCGATGGCCAGACTTTGAACATGAAGAATAATTTCTTTGAGGGGTCTTTGCTACTGGTTTTGAGTTTCCTTTCTGTCACTAACTCAGTTGGCAGATGGCCTTTGAGAGCTGCTGTTTCTAAAATATCCATTTCCCTGCAGCCAACTCAGAAAGGAGCCTCTTTGAGCTTGATGGAGCTAGTCCCCAGACCGTAGCCAACACTAGGCCCTTCTAGCTTCATAGGACCTGCTAGAGCTTATGGCCTTTGAGAACCCAGGGTCTCCTCCATGCCAGAATGAGATGTTGATAGAAGGACTCTCAGTGGTTATGGTACTGAGGATGGTTCTGGTACTTTAAACTCTCTGTGTGCCTGTGACCGTGGTCCTGTGGGAACAGAAAAGCTCCTGGCTCAAGAACAGCAGCAGGCCCTGGAGGGGCATGGCAGCCCACCTGCAAACAAACGAGAGTGTTAAAGGACATGTCCACTAACTGTTGTAGATATGCTGTATTCAATGAAGATGGCTCCCTGGCTGAGCTAAAGGGCTTTGAGGTCAAAAGGCGTGGAGAACTACAGCTGATTAAGATCTTCCAGTCATCTGTGTTTGAAGCATTCCTTAAGGGCAGCACTCTGGAGGAGGTGTATGGGTCTGTTGCCAAAGTAGCAGATTATTGGCTAGATGTGCTCTATAGCAGGGTAAGTATTGCCCCCAGGGGTGCATTATTGTTTACTTGCGGCAGCAATAGCACTTTGTGCATATACAGTGAATATACTTTATTCACTGATCAGGATGGCTGTCTTCCCATATTTGAAGGGCTTAGTGTCAAAGAGGGATTAGACTCTCACTGGGGCTGAACCAGGAACATTGTTACAGAGAAGAAGGTTCAAGTTATGAAGACAGTCTTCTAATGCTTAGCTGTCCAGAAGTGGAACAGACTGCCATGAGGGGTGGAGGCCTCCCCTCTCTGCACGTCTTCACCCAAAGGCTGCAGGGCTGCCTGGTCACATAGGAGTCGGATTTGTTGGCACCTTTCTAGCATCTTTCTTTTTCTAAAATTTTCTTAATATCTTTCGAAGTTCAGCTTAAACATCATCTCCTATGTGAGGCCTTTCCTGCTCCCTCAGGCTGCTAATGACCCCCCAGAAATTATCTTTTATTTATTTTGTATATATTATATGCTGTTTCCCCCAGAGAATGTAAGCTCTTTGAGGGCAGAGTGGTTTTGTCCTTTCTTTGTAATATCAATGCCTGGCCCAGTGACTAGTGGGCACTGAACGCTTGTTGATGGGTCTCATTTGATCCTCGCTGGGAGTCTGGGCCGTAGGTGGTACACGTATTGTCTTCGTGTTAAAGCTGAGGGAGCCAAATGGACTTGACTGAGGTTGCAGAGCTGAAAGCGTCAAACCCAGGTCTTCAGAGCCTGCTTCTAGCGGCCACTCCCTGACACTGTGCTGCTTGGCCTCGTCGTATGGGTCTCCGAGGGAGGCAGACACAAGGAACCAAAAACAGCCAGATCCCCTCAGCCTCGGGAGGCGAATAAACCCCCAGGCTTGGCAAATTCTGACAAAAGGCAGTTACTCACTAATGCTTTTCTGCAATATCCCTCAGCTAATTTAGAGCATCATAGAATAGTAGAGTTGTAAAGGACCTTCAAGATCATTTACTCTTGATTCTTATCCCTCCCCTTTATAACAAATGTAGAAAGTCAGGTTAAGTGGGGCAGCTAGGAGGCACAGTGGATAGAGCACTAGGCCTGGAGTCAGGAAGACCTGAGTTCAAATCCAGCCTCAGCTGCTTACTAGCTGTGTGACCCTGGGGCAAGTCACCTAACCCTGTTTGCCTCAGTTTCCTCATCTGCAAAATGAACTGGAGAAGAAAATGGCAAACCACTCCAGTATCTTTTCCAAGAAAACCCCAAATAGGGGCAGGGAGAGTCAGATACAGCTGAAACGACTGGACAGTAACAGTAAAAGATTAAATTATAGGTGAAAGTTCAGAAGGCATGTGGCATTTCCAGGAGTAGAACCCCCATTTTCCTAACCTCTAGTCCATTCTGTTTTCCAAGATATTCTGCTGTAACTATATTCAGGCTATAGAGGTGGTGAAATGGAGAATTCCACACGAGGGACGATCTAAGGGGATGTGTTGTTAGGCTTCAGTGCTTGTTAGCATATCCCTAGAATTGGTTTGTGGACTCCCTTCCCCAGGCAGCCAACATGCCTGACTCAGAGCTGTTCGAGCTGATCTCTGAAAACCGCTCCATGTCTCGGAAACTGGAAGACTATGGAGAGCAAAAATCCACATCCATCAGTACGGCTAAGAGGCTGGCGGAGTTCTTGGGCGATCAGATGGTGAAGGACGCTGGGCTGAGCTGTCGCTTCATCATTTCCCGAAAACCTGAAGGGTCTCCAGTCACAGAGAGGTAATTATTACAAGAACCCCAGACAGTGATAGCGCAGGGAGAAAACCTGAGCCAGAAAGAAGTTCAAGAAGAGATGTGTGCATTACTGTCAAGCAAGATGAAGTGTTAACTGAGTCTCTCTGGGATAGCTCTGATTGGATTACAACCATTTTACAGGCCAAGCAGTGGGATTTGTCAGGGACGATAAATAGGAGGAGCACATCCTGGCCTCGATAATTGGGTAGAAGAGGTGCCGGGTCTCTTCGGCAAATAACACGGACATTACTGTGTCACCTAGGGCCATCCCACTTGCAATTTTCCAAGCAGAACCCACAGTAAGAAAACACTTCCTCCGGAAATGGCTCAAGAGCTCTTCCCTACAAGACTTTGACATTCGGACAGTAAGTGATAAGACTTTTCTATGCCCAACACCTTGGGAGAGGAAGTCTGACAGATGAGAATATCCAGCATTCCTCAGATGCTCAGATTCTTGGATGAGACTTGGTATAGATTTAGAATTGGAAGGGACCTTGTGGGTCATCTAGTCCAGGCCTCTCATTGTACAGATGAGGAAACTGAGGCTCATAGAGGTTAAGCAATGTGCCTGTGGTCACACGGGTAGGATGAAGCAGAGATAAGATTTGAACCATTAGCTGCTCAGAAACCAAAGCCAGCACTCCTTTCCCTGGCCCTTGCTGCCTCCTTGGCCTTCCTTTTTGTGGACCCCAGTGAGTTTCTACAGTCACAGAACTCTATAATCACTTTAGTAGCTAAAAGTGATATGTGGCTGGTACATTGGAAGAGCTTGGTGTTAATGTAGAAAAGACAAGTGCAGAAGACACCAAGTTCAATTTCTACCTGTTCTCCAACATGTGCTTTCTGTTTCCCATGGTCCTTGGTGCTCTGATTGTGTTTTTCTGAACCACATTCATATATAGATCCTAGACTGGGATTACTACATTGAAAGACTTGGGAGTGCCATCCAGAAGATCATCACCATCCCTGCAGCCCTGCAGCAGGTAAGACTGAGAACTACAATGAGGAGGGCCCAGGCTGGCCCAAAAACTAGACAGATACCTTTCCCTGATTGGGATGCTTGCTTTCTTTAGGTAAAAAACCCAGTGCCACGGGTCCGACACCCTGACTGGCTGCATAAGAAGCTGATGGAGAAGCATGATATATATAAGCAGAAGAAGATCAGTGAGCTATTTATCCATGAGGGCAAGAGACAGGTAAGAAGGACCCTGCTGAGGAAGAGAAGGGGTGCATTGTCAAGGGACTGTCTGTTTCTAGGATGCGAGAGACAGAATTCACAGCAGTGCAGGTATACAGCATTGGCATTTAAACCTGCTTGACCTGACTTGTCTGAAGGATGATGCTTTTATGGTTGCCTCAGTGTTTCCCTCCCAGCCTAGCCAGCTCATTCTTCACCCCAGCCATAGGGAACATACTCTCCTTTCCTGCTCGACTTAAAAGCATCACCTCTTGCTTCTAAGTTAAAACTGTTTTCTCTGTAGCCACTTAACCACGATCTGTTATTTCAGCCCTTTCTGGATTCCTCCCAGCATCCTTTTTGCAAATCTCATTTCCTTGGATGCTTTTTCTTTCTCTGAAAAAATTTCCTTCAGTAAATGCTTCCTACTCTCAAGTATTTTCTGTTTAATCTCACTCTAGTCATTAGACATAACATTTCTGACTTCTCTTTCAGTGGGAAATAAAATAGTATTTATTCTGCTTCCTTATTTTCTGAGCAGCCTGCTTTTTCCTCAGCATTTCTTCTTTCCATTCCACCTGATTCCTAGCTCAGACACATCATGTAGTCCATCAGTTATGACACCATCATCTTGAACACCTACTCTGATAGTCCATAACTAATATGGTGAGGGAGTGGTACTTACATAAGAAATGACCAGATGTTAGATGCTTGGTTGCATGAGGTATGAGTTAGCACTACCAGTGACTCACATCTTCTGCCATAGTCCTAGACTGTTTGGCTTCTTGCTTCTAGGTCACTGTCAATCAGCATCCTGAGGGTAGCCAGGGACATGGGATTCTGGACATGGAGGATCTTGGTCTTGCCAAACCATTGCCGTCAGCAGTCCCGATTGCCACCAAAAGGAAGCGAGTCCCTGTAGAGAGCCAAGAAGAGTCCCAGAATTTGGAGTTGACCCAATCTTGGCGAGAGATTTTGGGACAGCCACCATCTCTTGGTACAACCAAGGTAAAGCGTGAAGGGGTTGAGTGGCCCTGCATGAAGAGGGGCAGCACAAAACCCGGATTGTTGGAGGCTGAAACTCCTCCTGTGACTCAGACCTCCCCAAAGGGACCTGCTGTATCCTCTGCCCCTTGATCTGGAAGCCTCTTGGGCACCTTAGTAGAGCTTCTAGGGTGGCTGTGGGGAATTGTCCGACTCTTAGAGCATGTCCAAAGGGAGACATTCCTCCAAGATGTCCAGAAGTTAAGGGTGTCTTCCCTGTTTCTGTAGCTTTTGTTGAATTTTTCCCTTACTGTTTACACTGACCCTTTCTCACTTTCTTTCCAGGAAGAGTGGCTTGTGTGGCTCACATTCCATAAGAAGAAGTGGGAGCTCCAGGCCCGTCAGCGCCAAGAGCGCAGGAAAAGACGACGTGTGGAGACAAGGAAGGGTGTGCTGGGCTCAGGGGTTGTCCGAGATGGGCCAGCCATGGGACTAGGGCACTTCCTGCGAAAAACGGCCCGCAGCATCCTGGACCTGCCGTGGCAGATTGTGCAGGTGTGGAGAAGTTATCCAGATGGAGGGAAAGAAGCAAATCACACTTTTGTGGTATCAGGGAGTGCAGTAAATTCAGGAATCTACTCTTTTTCGTAGCCATTTGAGGATTAAGCTTCAGAGAAATGGGGCCCTGGGATAGATGAGGAGACTCAGAAGCTAATTGTTGCGCACAGTGTGCATCTGGATGGAGGGAGGAGGAGAAAGGCAGGAATTAGATTTCAGGTTTAGCTGAATTCATGCAGCGCTTTGATCTCCCCGAAGAATGACAATAACACGGAACAGTGTCTTGGGTCATTCTTGGGTGCAGGCTAGGGGAAAGAGGGCAAATCCCAGTGGTGTGAGCCTTCCTTTACATCAGGCTGGAGGGAAGACCAGACACCGCAGTCCTCTGAGCAGTATTCTGGAGCTTTGCTTTGGCAGTGGCACCGTCTTCAGGATTTGGGTAAAATGAACCACGTCACGGGTCGGGACGGTTTTGTTCTTTCCTTACAGATCAGTGAGACCAACCAACCTGGCCTTTTCAGACTTTGGGCTGTCATTGGCAATGATCTGCACTGTATCAAGCTGAATATCCCACGTGTGTTTTACGTGAACCAGCGTGTGCCTAAGGAGGAAGATGGACCTTCTTTCCATAAGGTGCCAGAGGCGACTCCGCATAGCATGGGCGTCATGTGGCATTGGAGGGGTAGTGAGATTAGCAGGCTTACCCATTTTGGTAATCTGCTTGGTCTTCCCTTTCTTGGTTTCTTCACTCTGATCCTGCAAGAAAGCCTGTCCTATTCCAGTGCCAAACTGGCCCCTCTCCTATGCTACGCTGTCAGGGTGGGAAAGGATAAACATTTGATGATGTCTAGGCCTGACTTAGCAAATTTGCAAGGATGATGTAGACCATCCCCTGAAACAGGGAGCCCAAACACTCCTGCGTGTAGTCCAAACCAATTTAAAATTTAATTGAGAAATATTTAACTAAATAAAAACACAGTAAAATGTAGATAATGTTACATTTTAAAATTAAATCACTATGTGACCCACAGAGATCTTTATCTGTGGTTTACTGGCCTCTGTTTTTGAGTTTGACAATACTGCTCTGGTGGGTGGAGCATAGGATGGAGTGTGAGTCTCAGCTCCCAAAAACATGAACATGGTAAGCCCCAGTTTCCACATATATAAAATAGAGAGAATACTCCTACCACTTCTCTTTATAAGGTGGTTATGACAAAAGTAATTTATAAACCTTAAAGTGCTATAGGATCACTTGTTATTTGAATTATACTTCTTGGACACTCAGGACAGCGTCTGTTCTTGAGTTCCCCCGCCAATGTGTTCATCAGACATGATGGGAAAGGGACGGGGGAAGTCAAGATAGAGTGGTGGGCCTTGAAGGGGCAGGACTCTGATAAGCAGAAGAGGAGCAAGAAAGATCTTTTGGGAGAGAAACTAGCGTGAGTGTGGCATGGAGAGGGAAGGGAAGAACATAAGGAGATCACCCTGGCTATCAGAATGATGGGGAGGAGGTTGAAAAGAAGGGATGAGCCTTGGGGAGTAGGTGAAGAAGAACCATGAGGAACTTGAACACATTGAATTCAGGTGTGCTGGTGAGAATCAGGAGTCAGGCAGTTTGGGGACTGTTCTGGAAAAACCACAATTCTTTTATCAGGTGAACAGAGTCCTCCCTCGTTCCAACATGGTCTATAATCTGTATGAGTATTCGGTGCCAGAGGACATGTACCAAGAGCATATTAACGAGATCAATGCTGACTTGTCTGCACCGGACATTGAGGGCGTGTATGAGACCCAGGTAACTGTCCCTCTGGGCAATTCTAACTTTGGAATGCATCGAGATCAGGTGGGAGTTATATTTACCATTCTAGATCGTTCGTTCATTCTGCAGATGTCAGCTATGTCCAAGATCCTGCATTAGGTGGTGTGGGGCTCCAAAAAAGTGTAAGATATCGTCCTTGCTCTCAGGTAGCCTAATGTGTGGTTGTAGAGATTCAGCAGACAAGGTCTGACTAGATACAAGGTAGTATGAGTAATTTGCTTAAACAAACATAGTAGAATTTAGACATGTGACTGAGTGCTGTTCTCTTCAAAGTATCCCCCTTGGGAGTATATGTGCTTATTCTAATACTGTAGTCTTTTGAAACATTCTTGGAGTTTGAATTTCAGAACTTAACTTCAAGGGTGATAATGCTTTTTTTTTTAATCACCCTCAGTGGTTTTTGTCAAGGGTGAATTTGAATTTTGGCAACAGCCAAAAAAGTTTGGCAAAAATATCCAGGAGTCCTGAACTGAGTCCTAGCCTTTACCACATACTGCACGATGATGTACAAATCACTTTTACCTCTGAAACTCGGTTTCTTTAGCTTTAAAATGGGAGTTAATATACATGCGCTACCTACTTCACAAGCTTGTTGGGGGGAAAGCACTTTGTAAAGTAAACTATGTATAACTCAAGCCATTATTCGGAACCAAATCTTGTGGATGTTCCCACAATCCATGGGAATTCCCATTCTTGGTCCAAAAAATATATATGCCTGTAAAGGAGTGAGACTGTTTTTATCGTGGCTTGAAATTCTGTCCATTCTGAAAGAGGAGAGCCACATGTTTTCCATAGTGGCAGTGATGGAACTAGCTCTAGGCTTCCCGAAGACTCTGCCCCCCACCCCACTATTCTCTTTCCTTATACTCCATAGCTGATTTGCTCTACACACTGTGATCTAGCCACTGTTCTTGTGTTCTCTTAACTCTGCACAAACTGTCCTCTTTATCTACACTGCCCATTCCCCTCTTTTCTACCTCAGTATACCCTTCAGGGTCAGCTCAGATCCCACCACTTCCATGATGCCTTCCCTGATCACAGAGGCCCAAGTAAGTCTCCCTGCTGCCTGTCACTTAGTTGGCACTTTTAGGGCTTAGAATTCCTTGTTTTTCTCACAGGTACATGAAAGGTAACTAAAAAGTAATGTACTTTTTTTAATTAAAAAAAAAAAAGTTCAACATGCCAGAGTAGATGTCCCCAAATGATTACTGTCTCTTGGGCTCTGTCAAGCTCAGGGTTTTGAACGTGAAGTCTTAGGGAATCATTTAAAAGTGTTTGAGCTTAAAAATAGCGTGATGTACACTGTGTTTTAGGAAGTTTTATGTGGCTTCTGGACGTAGCATAGATTGGGGTGGAAAGAGAGCCAGCAGAGATTCCAGTTGGGAGGCTGTTGCAGTGGTCTAAACACAGATATCTGAGGGCTTACCCAGAGGGAGGGTGGGCACAGCGATGGAAAGGAGAGGAGTAAGAGGGCCATAACTCTGAGCTAGAGTTTATAGGACCAAATGGGGGGCAAAGGAGAATCAAGTCTGACTCGGAGGTTTTGAGGCTAGCTATCTAGGGTGGTGTCAACTGGGCTGAACCTCTTGGTCTGGTGGCTTGGCGGAGGCCAGAGCTGAACAGATGGAGCAGACAAGAACAGCTGTGCAGAGACTAAGACAGAAATTTATTTTCTGTAGTGAGGGAAATGGCTTGCAAGCAAGGAGGGGAATTAGACATATGTGCCAGGCTCCCCAACCTGCTTTAGTGTGGGCAGATCTCAATACTTACACCTATGGCTGCGCAGTGAGCACTAGCCCTGACGGTGAGGGGTAACGCCAACAATGAGACAAGTTTGAGTCCTAGCAGGGCGTCATGACCAGAGCTTGTCCAAGCTTAGAGAACACCTGGTGCTGGTCAAAGCAATACAATAATTATGTGAAACGATTCTGGGATTTTGCTGTGGCTGAGATCAGCCAGAGGCAGAGAGCAAAGGATTGTTGTTATGCCAAGCTCAGGGTACAGCTTGCTTGCTGGGCCTTAGCTCTGGAAAACAGGGTGTCTCCTAAAATCTTGATGGCATCTAGGCGGCACAATGGATAGAGCACCGGGCCTGGTGTCAGGAAGCCTTGAGTTCGGATTTGTTCTCAGACACTCACTAGTTTTGTGACCCTGGGCGAGTCACTTAACCCTGTTTACCTCAGTTACCTCATCTGTAAAATGAGCTACAGAAGGAAATGGCAAACCAATCCAGTATCTTTGGGGAAAAAAACCCACCAAAAACAAAACAAACCTGAAAGGTATCATGAAAACTCAGTCAATTGAAACGACTGAACAACAACAACAAATTTGGGGTAATAATTGATTGGAAGCAGTGATAGATTGATAGAAGGAGTGAAGGTAGGGTCAGGAGCCTCTTTGGGCAAGAATTCCAAAATCTCAGCGTTCAAAGGGGTCTCAGGGGAGGTCTGGTCCAACCTGTAGCTGATTAGCTGACCTATGCAACACCCCCCTTGAGCGGTCATCTATTTCTCATTGGAAGGCGTGAAATGAAGGAGAACTCACAGCCTCCTGAGGCAGGCCTTTCCTTTTGTTAGGAAGTTTTTCCTTATATTGAGCCCAAACAAGAGGATATTTGCTTTTAGATGTACTGCCTTTGTGGCTCTTCTCCCCATCTTACGCCAAGGCATATAACTTGGTCACATGAATGAGGACTGAGCTGTCTCCATAGCCCTTTCTTACCACCATGCCCTCTGCATCTCTTTACTCCTTTCCAGGTTCCATTGTTGCTGCGGGCTCTCATCCAGTTAGGTTGTGTGTGCGTGGTCAGTAGGCAGCTGGTACAGCACCTCACAGGCCGAGAGGCTGAGACCTTTGCTCTAGAGTACTTGGAAATGCGTTCCTTGGCACAGTTCAGCTACCTTGAACCAGGTATGACCTCCACTGGCTCCCTTACCCAGCTGTGGTCCACTTGTGGAACTCTGGGCTTAATGATCTCTTGTTCTGCAGGAAGTATCCGGCACATCTTTCTTTATCACCACTCTCAGGGCAGCAAAGCCCTTTTTGGGCTCTTCATCCCCTCCCAGCGCAAAGCCTCTGTGTTTGTCTTAGATACGGTAAGTGATTGACGCTCTGAATGTCCCAAGAGAGACCAGAATAAATAGTTAGGCTGGACCACATTTGGCTTCAGAGTGGTAGGGGAAAAAAATGCTTCCCTGGGAGGGGAGTGGTTTCGTTTTGTTTTTTTTAAAAGTAAGTTTTCCTTGATGTCTTTTGATGTACATCATAGTTTTCCCCAGTATCCCTCCTCCGCACAAAGAGCCATCCCATATAGCAAATATTATTTTTTTACAACAAAAAAAGAAAAATAAGTGGAAAAAAATTGGCACAACTGATGAATACATTGAAAAAGGCTAAAAACGTGGAATCTGTAACACCTGTGGGTCTCCTGTTTCTGAAAAGTGGTAGATCAGGAGTGTCCACATATCCCTTTTTTCAGTCATGCTCGATCATTATAATTTTTTAACATTTTACTTTTGATTTTTGTGTGTGGTTATTGTGATATTTACATCGCTAGTCATTGGGTATATTGTTTTCTTGGCTTTGCCCACTTCACTTTGCATCAGTTCATGTAGATCTTTCCATGCTTCTCTGTATTCGTCATGTGTCATTTATTATAACACCATAATATTCCGTTATGTTTACGTAGCACAATTTGGTTAGCCGTTCCCCAGTCGATGGCATCTACCTTGTTTCCAATTCTTTGGTATCACGAAAGGTGATGCTGTAAATATTTTGGGGTGTGTTGCGACCGTCTTCTCGTTAGTGGCTCCCTTGGGGTATAGGCCCAGTAGTGGAATCTTTCAGGCAAAGTATGTGGACATTCTTGTCACTTTTTTGCATAACTTCGAATTGCTTTCCAACGTGATTTACCAGTTCATAGTTTGCAGTGAATTGGGCCTGTCTTCCCACAGTTCCCCCAACACTGATTCGTCATATTTTGGTCATCTTTGCCGATTTTACAGTGTGTGAGGGAGAAGGGAGGCTTTTAGGGTGTTCCTGTGTGTGCCGTAGTTCCTAGTTGTGCATTGCCACCATCCTTGGGCCATTTGTCTCCCCAGGGTAGCCCTTCCGGGGAGTATTTCACAAGGTAGCCTGACCCTATTTAAAAACCAAATCTCTGTCTGAATGACCTGAATAGGGTCCTGCCGCCCTCCTGCCCCATCCCCCTGGTGTGTCAGTGGCTTCTGTACCTTCAGCCTTTCCGTACCTGTGACAGACTGGGGTGTGATTGGGACAGGTACGCAGTAACCAGATGCCGAACCTGAACTCCATGTACTCATCGGAGCACCGCCTCCTGTTGGAGAAGGTGGGACCTGAGCTCCTCCCGCCAGACAAGCACGTTTTTGAAGTGCGAGCTGAGACTGACCTGAAGACCATCTATAGAGCCATCCAGCGACTGTTGCTTGGCTACAAGGTGAGAGCCTGCTGCCTTTGGACTGTCCCCTCAGCCTCTGCCCCACCAAACTGTACATGCACACGTGTGAGCTGTCTTTTGTCTCCCCTATCACCTTTCTCACAGGAAGAACGCCGGGGCCCCACTCTCATTGCTGTGCAGTCCAACTGGGAGCTGAAGAGGCTGGCCACTGGAATGCCTGTCTTTGAGGAGTTCCCCTTGGTGCCAGTCTGTGTGACTGATGACATTAGCTATGGGGCCTTGGACTGGCAGCGTCACGCAGCCCGGCGCATGATCCGGCACTATCTCAACCTGGACACTTGCCTGTCTCAGGCCTTTGAGATGAGTAGGTGAGTGGGAGAGAGCCGTCTTGCCTCAGAGAGGAGAGAGTGCCTGTGGCACAGAGGGGATGAGATGAGGAGTCGCTGAGACAGTGTCACCCTTCCTCGCCCCTCTGAGTCGGGACGTGCTATGGTCCCTTAAGCATTTTCTCCTTTATGAAACTGCTGTCTTTTCTCAGTCTTCTTCCTTCTCGAATACGTGCAGCAGGGAACACTACTGATCCCATCCTCCTCCTGGATACTCTGGCTCTTTGTGCTGTGAAGGGGCAGGGGGAGGAGCGTCACTGCCGGCTACAGTCTAGACACTTACAGATGTTTTAACGTGACTCTCTCTTGGTTCTTCTCTGTCTGCAGTGATCGCTTCTCAGGCTTCTTTGCTAGTTGATCATTCACATTAGGTCCTCCCTGGATGTACCGGCAGGCTTTGCCCTTTGCAGTCTTCTCTTCTCTCTTTATACCCTTTCGCTCAGTGATCTCATCAGCTCCCATGGCTTTAATCATCATCTCTATGCGGATGACTCCCAGATCTCTATAGCCAGCCCGGGTCTCTCTCCTAAACTCTAGGTATCCAGTATCTTCAAATGACCGTTTGGAACAGTGTCCCATAGACATTTCTGTGTCATGTCCAAAAAATATCCAAAATTAAACACATTTTTTCTCTCTGAACTCAAGCTGCCTTTCAAATTTCCCTATTTCAGGCAAGTGACCTGTCAGTTACCCAAGTTCACAATCACAGCATCAACCTTGACTCCTTCTTCCTCTCTGCACCTAAGCAACCACTGGCCAGATTTTGTTTCTCTCTCCACAGTTTCTCTCCCATCTGTCCAATTCTCTATCCATAGCTGCCACATGGTTCAAACCCTGTCCCCTACTTGGCCTCTCAGTGTCATCTCTTTCCTCTCCAATCTACATTCCACATTACTTCTGAACATGTGGCTCTGTTTCTTAGTGAATTCCTACGGCCCCCTCTTTGAGATTAAAGAGAAGCTCCGCTGCTTGGCTTTGAGAGCCCTGCACAACCTGGCCCCAGTTGACCTTTCCAGCCTTGTTCTGTGTTACGCCCTCCCCAGCGTTCAGCCAGACTGGCCGCCTTGTGCTGTCACTCTACACTCAGCCGTCCATCCATGCCTCCATCACCTCTGCCACTTCTGATCCTCCAGTTCCTTCCGAGCTATGCTGAAGTAACTGATGCTGTATATGGGAGCCTTTTCCTGATCTCTCCAGCTGCTGGTCCACCCTTGCCTTGATTTACCTTGTGTTTGTTTTGTATATACCGCCCTCCCCCCACCCCTGAAGGAATAAAAGCTTCTTGAGGCAAGGACTGTTTCATTTCTGACTTTGTTTCAGCCTTGCCTGGCACATAGTAGGCACTTTATAAATCTTTGACGATTGGTGAATGTGAGCTTTTTTATATCTCTCTGGACAGATATTTTCACATTCCTGTTGGGAATCTCCCAGAAGACATCTCCACCTTTGGTTCAGATCTCTTCTTCTCTCGCCACCTCCGGCACCATAATCACCTGCTCTGGTTTTCTCCTACATCCCGCCCTGACCTAGGTGGGAAAGAAGCAGATGACAATCGCCTTGTCATGGAATTTGATGACCAAGCTTCAGTGGAAATAAACAATCCTGGGTGTTACTCCACGGGTGAGTGTGCATTGCACCCGTTTGAGAGGAACGGGGCCCCTAAGTGATGGGCTTGGTCTGTGGAGGACCAAGAAAAATGTTGCTGTTTGTTCTAAGGGGTTCACCCCATAGTGTTACTCAATATCTCAGGGTTTTTTTCATGGAAGCCTGGCTGTGTTGGGGCCAAATGGCAGTAATCCCCACCTGTGCCACTACTTCTGCTGTGTTACCGAGCTATGGGTCTTCACAGCATGGTCAGCAGAGGGAACTCCAGGAAAGAGCTGATCCATATGGGACCACTAATTGGTGGTTCCAGTTAGCATCTATGGTGATTTGGTTGGGGACACGAGCTGTGGGCTTTCTGTCAACAGTATGTTTGGAATTGGACATCCAGAACTTGGCAGTAAATACCATCTTGCAGTCCCACCATGTTAATGACATGGAAGGAGCCTCTAGCATGGGCATCAGCTTCGATGTCATCCAGCAAGCCTCTCTGGAGGAAATGGTCACGGGGAACCAGGCAGCCAACATCCCAGCCAGCTATGATGAGACTGCCCTCTGTTCTAACACGTTCAGGTATGAGTGACAAACCCAGAGACACACTCTGTCTCCTCCCCTACTGGGCGTTTCACCTTCCTCTTAGCGCCCCACACTGCGTGGCCCACGGAGCAGCTGACCGTTAACTTCAGTAGTGCTCATTGCATCTCTGTCCGCATCAGGCGGAGATGGAACCTGGCCTGTCAGAGTCTGTTTGATCCAAGAGGAAACCGAGTGACTTAGGCAGCATCACCCAAGTGTCAACAGAAGTCAGGCTGCCGGTCATAATCCTGGCGGCAGTGGCAGGCAGTCAGTGGGAGAGATGTGCTCGGAGCCGTTCGATCAGGAAGCAGCAGGCATCATGGCTGGAGTGGGCGTGGGTGGGACGGCTGCGGCCTGGTTTATCAACCAGGAAGCTCCTGGGTGCCGCCAGCTCAAATCTGGCCACGGCTCGGCTTGTCCGCTGTGGCACTGAACTGTCTCCCGGGTCTGCCCTGAAGGAGCTCAGGAGCTAGCCAGGGAGATTGCACTACACAAGGTACGAGGCTATATAGTGTAGTGACTGAAAGAGACCAGAGGTCCTCGGCCCGTTTGCTGTGATGGAACCTTTCTCTTTAAGCAGAATTTTGATGGGACTTTGTGGTGCACTCTTTTGATGACGTTTTTTCTAAGTGATAATGACACCAAATATAAGATTGATTTTTAAAAATCTTACCTTTTCAGGTAAATTTGATTTCAGATATTATGGTAGCCTATCATTTTCCTGAAAGATTGTTTGCTGTCAGTGTTGTGTGATTGAAAACTACATTGGATTTTATAACTTGTTTTGTAATACGTTTTGCAATAGTTTTCATTTTTCCTTTTCCTAATGTAAGTCAGTGTTTGATATGGATGGTAATAACAGTAGCTCTAGGGTTTCCAAAGCGCTGTCTCTCTCTCTCTTTTTTTTTTTTTGGAAGCAGTTGGGGTTAAGTGACTTGCCCAAGGTCACACAACTAGGAAGTGTCTGAGGCCGGATTTGAACTCAGGTCCTCCTGATTCTCCTGACTCCAATGCCGATGCTCCATCCACTGTGCCACCTACCTGTACCTTAAAGCTCTTTTTTGTATTTTATATTATTTGATCCTCACAGTAAGATTATACAGGGAATAATGTCCCCATTTTACAAGAGAAGGAACTGAGACGTTTAGGGGAAGTGCCTGGCTCAAGGGCACACAGCCGCTGTCATAGGCAAAGTTCAAAGCCAACTTGTTTTGATTCCAAACTCAGAATTCTTTATATTCTCTCATAGCTGGCTTGTGAAGCTGATGAAGCTTCATTTATATTCTAGGGTATTTTGTTTTTAAATTTTCTTGCGGTTCAGTGCCTTTGTGATTTTGTAGGAACCATGAAACTTTTTATAGAAATTTGGTAACTTAAATTTTGAATTCATATACTGTGATTTCACTGTGAATTTAGGATCATTTTCATGGTACTCAGGGTTAGATATTGCAGTCGTATTTGCATATCTTCTGTGTTAGGGATTTGGTATCCAAACTCAATTGATGAACATTTTGTTGGTAGTCTTAGGTATTAACTCTCTTGTCTTTTTTTGTCTTTTCAAACTTCCTAGTTCTACTTAATTTTCCATAACTGGCATTAAATATACCAGTTTTTTTTCAAGTATTTTTTTTTAAAAGAAGAAATTAAGACTGTAAATCAACACCACCAGAGCTTGTATTGTGATAGACTGATTGTCACTTGAATATGTATCTTACATCGTTGGGTGTGTTCAGTGATTCTTTCTGGGCCAATGAAAAGCCAGCTCTGGTTAAGTGACTACAAGTGTTACAACAGACACAGACAGGAAATTAGATGGGTGGGTTATCCCAATTTGAAAGATGTTGGCGCAGACACTGTGGGTGCTTATGGTTGTTCAGACAGAATAAACTCTCTTCTGGGAGGAGAGAGGAGACGTCAGTGAGGAAGTAGCAGTTAGATTGAGCTCTGAAGAATGGATAGGATGCAGAAGAGCAGAGGGCCTGGAGGAAGTCTTTTTACCTGGGAGAATATCCCCAGCAAAGCCACAGGCAGGAATGTGCTTCCATGTTCAAAGATGAATTTGTCTGGAGTTCACGTAGAGGACAGCAGGAGATGAGGCTGCGGAATGGTATCTGGGGACAGATATCGAGGGCGTTTGAATGCCAGACCAAGGAGGTTAGATCTGCTGCTGTAGGTAATGGATTCATTGAAGAGTGGTTGATATGATCAGAGTTTTGCTTTCAGAAGCCTATGGTGTAAAAGCAGGTGTATACGAGATGGGGAGGAAGAGGAGAGGCTGGAAGCAAAGAGGACAATTAAGAAGTTGTAATAACAGCCTAGACTTGAGGTGAGGAGGGATGCCATTGAGGGTGGTGGCAGTGAGAGTGGAAAGGAAGGGAGAGAAGTGAGGTGTGTTGTAAAGGGAAGGAGCAGCATGACTTTGTGTGGGTTGTGAAGGATGACAGTGATGTGTGCGGAGGTGTAAATATAGATTGCTGTACTTCACAGTGACTCACAGTGACTCTGGTTAGGCTGTTGGACAGCCCCAGGTGTGTGGGGTTTAGCAGAGGAGAGTCCAGGAGTGGGTTGGACTATGTGGCCCCTTAGGGCCTCTTCCTGTTCTGAAGTTCTCTAGTACTGTAACCCGGGTATAATTCGTGTTGGAAAGATGAGGAAATAAATCAAGGCTTAGAGAGGTGAACTCAGTTGCCCACGATCACATAGCAAGTGGCGTGTCTCAGATCTTGGGACTCCCAGTCCATTACTCTTGATTGCTTCAAGTCAAAAACAAGGAGGAGTCAGAGGTGGCTCCGGGGTTTGTGCTTTGCACAGCGTAAACTTTCATTCAGCCATTCCTAAGTGACTGGCACTGGCAGAGCTTGTCGGCTTTGGACATGGGAGTGAGGTAGCAGGGAAGGGCTGAGTTTGAGGTGGTGAGATGTTCGTGCGGAGATATGGGAATGGACACGTGACAAGACGTTCTTTTTCTCTCGGGGCCTCTTTGACAGAATCTTGAAAAGCATGGTGGTGGGCTGGGTGAAGGAGATCACTCAGTACCACAACGTCTATGCTGACAACCAAGTGATGCACTTTTACCGCTGGCTGCGGTCCCCATCCTCCCTCCTCTACGACCCTGCTCTGCACCGCACTCTCCTTAGCATGATGAAGAAGCTCTTCCTCCAGTGAGTAACCTTTGAGTGTGTTAGGGGCCCACTGGGTCAGAGGGAATATGGTTTTTCTGAAGTTCTTCTCTCAGAAGGCTGTCTGCTGTAGCCATGTTGCTGTCCCCAGCTGGGCCTTACTGAGTTCTCCAGTGGCTAAGGGGTGGTATATACAGAATCCTAGAATTTTTCTGTGTTGGAAGGGGATCAGTGCCCGTTCAGTCCCACCCTTCAGGTATTCATGTGGCCTCTGCCCACTAATCTTCGGTGACAGCCATGCCACCATGATACGGTGACAGAGCACCCGAGAACTATGGGGGGCTGGCTAACAGAGTACGGCTCCCCTTCTCAGACAGGTGGCCTCGTACCCAAGAGGAGCCTTCTTATTCAGAGGTGATCCTGGGGCCACAGGGATGGGTATTTTAATAGGACATTTTTTACAAATGTATACTTTTAATGATGAAATTCTGCCATCTGTGGCATGTTCTGTTACATATTATGATGAAGGTGCAAGGTAGCCCATTCCACTTTTGGACAGCTCTTATTATCAAGAAGTTTTTCTGGCATCTTCACAATTTGTATTCACTGCTCCCCTCCCTGGCCAAGCAGAACGAGCATAATCCTTCTTCCACAGACATGCCTGTAGGGTTGATGGAGCCCACTCCCCCAGCAGAGAGGATTTCCAGGGAAGCCCCTGCTGCTGCAGCTCTTCCCTCAATCATGGTGTCTGCTCTTCTCTACTTCAGGCTTGTAGCTGAGTTCAAACGTCTGGGTTCCTCAGTCATTTATGCCAACTTCAATCGCATCATTCTTTGTACCAAGAAGCGTCGCATTGAGGATGCCATCACTTACATAGACTACATCACCAACAGGTGACAGTCGGGGGCAACCTCATTACCAAAGTGGTCCTTGGGGATATGGTCACAGAGGACCCTAGGACTGCAACATGGGCTGCATTCAGAGCTTTGGCTCTCCTTGGGCAAGTGGCTTAGTTCAAAAGAAGAGGCGGTTTTACAGGCTGTGGTGGCTCTCCTGCTAGACTGGGGTTGGGCAACTGTCTAGGGCAAACATACTCAGGACCATTTGTTGTAAATGTGCATTTATAATGACAGAAGATTCCACCCGCTATGCCATGTTACAGTGAAGATGCAAGGCCTCTGGTGGATCGTGCTGTGTAGGGGGGCGCAATGTCCCAGCCTTGCTAAGGGGCCCCATGACATAGACCAGCTGAGCTGGCTGTGGCTCTCCAGGAAGTCTGAGCAGAAGTGTGGTTGATGGTTCGTTGATCATCCCGGCTTACTCCATTTTCAGCATCCACTCCAAAGAGATCTTCCACTCCTTGACAATCTCCTTCTCCCGCTGCTGGGAATTTCTCCTCTGGATGGATCCTGCCAACTATGGAGGAATCAAAGGAAAAGTTCCAAACCGTGTCCACTATGGGGAGGTCAGTAGCGACTTGGGCTTAAGGTGTTGTTTGAGGTGGGGAAGTTGCTGGAGGTGGACCTATCAAATGCGATGCATCCAAAGCCATGCTTGCATGTTTTTTCTCTAACCGTGCACTTCATCTGACTTCACTATCTCTGTCCTTAGGCCCACCATCCACCCAGTCACTCGAGTTCAAATCTTAGTGTTGTCTTTGACTCTCTCCTACCTCTTATTTCTTATATCAAATCATTTATCAAATCCTGTCCCTTGTATCTCTTCCATCTGCCCTCTCCTTTCTGTTCCCACTATTGCTAACCCATTACAGGCCTTCAATAGCACCCACCTTTATTCCTTCAGTGACACTTAACAGGATCTCCTTCCTCCACTTTTTAACCTGTTCTCTGAGTGTGGATTTGTTCAAACCCTTCATCAGCCTAGAAATCATGTAGTGTCTGCCTCCTGTCTCGCAGTTCAAGTTCACGTTGCTTTGTTAGACATTCAGAGACCCTAATCTGGCACCGCCCTGTCTTTGCAGCCTTCTCCTATGTTGCTCTGCCCAGTGCTCTGTGCTCTAGCCAACCTGGCGCATTTGTCACGTGCACTTTTCGGCCCGTGTAGGCCTTTGCTCACACTGTTCACTGCTCCTGCCATGTCTCCCTCCCCATGTCACATCACCCATTAATAACCTGACAGTTATGTAGACCTTGGTGTGTCTAAAGTGCTCTGCATATGTGCGTTATCTTGGTGGATTCTCCCAGCAATCCTATTAAATATGTCAAAGAAAAAATATCAATATTAATATGATACTCTGCATTGATAGGCTCAAGTCTGCCAGGAATGATTGTATTTAATTGCACATTAACATCTAAGCATCTCTAGCTTGGAGAGATGGTCAGTGTGGCATAGTCTGCCACGCCCTCCAACATGACTCACTATCCCAATGTGATTTCAGGTAGCATTTATAGAAATCCTGAACAAGGAAAAGAACAAAATAAATATAAGTACATGTTGGGTTAGTATTCCAGAATTACTGTGTGACCAAGCTGCTCTCCCATTTCCCCTAGACCACTACCCTCAAGGAATCAGTGGATTCCTCTAGACAGGAGTTAAGTGTGCTTGACATCCTTAATCCTTTTCCCTTTCCTAAGGAGAAAAGTTTAGAAAGGTTGTTAGGCTACAGAAATATTATTCCTTAATATTTCTAGAGAAACTGTAGAGGAGATTTTTTAAATATGCTTCCACAGGTACAAAAAGTATTATCCCCATTTTACAAATGAGGAAATATATTAGATATAATATAATATATTAGATAGTCAGACGCTCCCTCGTGAGGCACCCTGGTGCCTTGGTGAAGGTGAGAACGTGTTCGATTCAACTCAGCAAATGTTTAATTAAGTCCTCATCGTGTGCCAGAGTGGGGCTGGGCTCCAGAGACGCAGTCCTACACAAAGTATACACCGTGTACACACAGAAGTAAATACCAGATGATTTGGAGAGTGAGTGAGGTCTAACAGTTGGGGAAGGGCAGAGAATTCTTCACATAAGAGAAAGCACCTGAGCTAATCCTTGAAGAAAGCCAAGAATTCTAGGAAGCAGTGCTTGAAAGGGGATTCTCTGAAGCTGATCTCCAAAGAGACAGCCTTTGCCCAAGTGCAGAGAGAGATGTGCAATGTTGTTGTCCAGGGGACAGTGAGGAAGCCAGTTTGGGTGGAGTAGAGCAGATAAAGAGAAGAAAACAATTGAATGAGGATGGTCCGTGGCAGACGGGTGTGGGGGGAAATGGCTAGCAAGGAAGGTTCATTAGTTTAGATGTTACCCTAGAGAGAGGAGGAGCCACTAAGGATTTGAGCAGGGGAGTGACATGGAGAGGCATCTTGGCCCAAGATGAGGCACTCTGCTGGTGGTGATTGAGTCATATTTATAGTGAAGACACTGAAAATAGAAGCAAGAATTTAATTGGTAATGCTTAAAATCCTTCAGCAAAGCACCCAGAAAGAGCAGAAAGCAGAGGAAGAGCAAGAGAGTGAGGAAGAGGAGGAGGAGGAAGAAGAAGAAGCAGAGAAGGAGATGATAGAAGAATCCAATGTGGAAGACTTATTGGATAACAGCTGGAACATTGTACAGTTTCTTCCCCAGGCAGCCTCTTGCCAGAGCTACTTTCTCATGATTATCTCAGGTAAGTAAATCTTTGGGCCTCTTACCTCCATGGCCATCCTCAGCTCCTGTCCTGTTTGTCCTGACACCCTGCCTAGTGAGGACCCTTCCATCTACACTGGGCGTCCCAGCCAGATTCTCTGGCATAGACTGTGACAGCAAATGTGTCCCCTTCACAGTGTCACCCAAACCCCAAAGTAATCCTAATACAGTGTGCCTAGCTACCCTTCTACCCATGGCTTGCAGATCTCCAGCGATGGGGAGCCCCTTACGTGTTTAGGCAGCGCATCCCGCTTTGGGCGCCTCTTTGTTAAGGATCAGATATCCCGCCTAAATGTGCTTCTTTATAACTTCCACCTATTGCTCCTGGTTTAACCCTCTGGGCCCAACGTACTAGGTCTCCTACCTCTTCCAAAGGGCAGCCCTTTGTGCACTTGAAGACAGCTGTCATACTCTCTTTTCCTTTCTTACTTCCATCTTCTGGCTCTCCCTGAGACCTAGTGCCCTCCTGATGACACAGTCTCCCTGCCTACCCTTTCCAGCACTGGCTGCGCTTTCATTCATCCCCAACTCACTGATCAAGGTTGGGGAGATTGGAATATTCTTTGCTGCCCGTTGCTACTTCTAGATTCTTCCTCTGCCTCTACTTTCCGTGTTCATGGACTACGATATTCTCTTATCACATCTGTTGTTATTCTACTTCTCCCTCTTCCTTGAAGCCCTTAACCCTGGTCTTTGTCTACTCTGTGATCTCTAGCCCCTTGACCCCTCAGATCTCTCCCAGGCCACTACTGATGTATTAGCTAGCTGTACCTTCCTCCTTTCACCATGATAAACCTTGGTAAACCGGTTGAACTCTCTACTATCCCTTTCTCTTGAGTTCTTTGACCCCTTTTCATATCAATGATCTTGGACTGCCAAGTGTCAACCTTGGATCACTCTCACCATCCATGTACCTTTGCTTCTGTATATATGCTGCTCAGCAAAGGTGAAAAAAAACTACAAACTCTGCTTGCTGGTTCCACCACAAATTTATGCTACATAGTCTTGGATGGGCCCTCACTGTTGCAAGGCAATTCTATATTTCTCTTCCCTTTGTGACTAAAATCTTTGAGAAGGCATGACATTTCTTTTCCTCTCATTCTCTTCTTGTGCACTCTGGATTCTCACATTTTCATTCAACTGGAATCTAAAGTTACTGACAGTCTCTTCATTGCCAAATATAACGACCTTTTCTCAATTCTCATCTTTCTCGACCTGTCTGAAGCCTTTGACACTGTCTTCCAAAGATTCTGTCTCTGACACTTGCTTTCTCCTTGATACTTTTTTCTTTTCTAAGTTTTTGTGGTGTCTCTTAGTTCTTCTGCTGTCTATCTGACACCACCTCCTCATTCTCCTTGGCTGGCTATTGATCCAGTCACAGTCTTTATAGGTGTCCTACAGGACTGTCTGGTGAATTTGCTGAGGGGGTTTGTTTTTGTTTTTGTTTTTGTTTTTTATTACTGTTCTGGGTAGTAACCACAGCTTTTGACCAGACATTTTTATATGCCCCAGTACACACATGGTTGGGAGTACTAAGTTTTTAATACAATTTTATTATGAATTTAACTTTTCATAAAAAAACCAAACATACTTTAAAAATTATTTACAATTCAAAAACTACAAATAATCACAACTTATAATTTCTTTGATAATCCATTCACACCTATAAATATGTATTTTTAGCATATATACTGTTGTAATTCTAAATTCCTTCACATCACATTAATTCATATGTTTGCATATTTCTGTATTTTCCATTTTAATTGTAGCATATCATATTGATTTGTACTAGTTTATTTTGTGTTTCCCTGTGTTTATTTTAATGTGTATTTTTCTTTTTAATTACACACTAGTTATATGTTTCCAGTGAGATTATTAGGTCAGAGGATATGATTGTTTTATAATTCTTGTTCAATGTTGCTAAATTATACCAATTTGCAACTCCACTAAAATATGCTCAGCATATGAGTGTACTTTCTTTTCCCTGTAACTCTGATTTTTGTCATTTTTGCTTTATGGATATGAGGTAGTACTCTCAAGTTGTTTCACTTTGCATTTCTTTGGTTATTGTAAGGTTGGAATTTTTTTTCAGTGATTACATATAATTTGTGTTTCTTCTTAGATTATCTGTTAGAGGAAGGTGTTAACACTTAGAGATTTGGAAGTTTCTTATGTAGAAGTGAGGACTGAAAAGCACTTTGAAATCTAGAATGTCAGTCAATAATAGTCAATAAACATTTACTGAACACCTGTTGTGTGCCAGACGTTGGGCTAAATGCTGGAGATACAAATACAAAAAAAAGAAAGACAAATCCCTGCCCTCAAGGAGCTTCTAGTCCAATGGGGGGAAGTTGAAGAGAGAGGGCATGGTGAAGTCAGAGAAGTCCCAAGTAGTAAAGGCAGGTGAGAAATGAGCATTGTGCCAGGTTTTCTCCTTAAGTGGAAGTTTGGAATTCATGGCCCCATGAAGGATGGTGATGAGATGGAGTTCCATGACTGATGGAATCTTAGTGGATGTCAGGACCCTTAGGACCAGAATGTCAGAGCTGGGATGGTCCACTATTACCCCAAATTTGTTGTCGTTCAGTCGTTTCAGTCATGTCAGAGTCTTTGACCCCTTTTAGGTATTCTTGGCAAAGATATTGGAGTGGTTTGCCATTTCCTTCTTCAGCTTATCCTCCAGATGAGGAACTGAGGCAAACAGGTTGAAGTGACTTGCCCAGGCTCACACAGGGTCTGAGGCAGGATTTGATCTCAGGAAGGTGAGTCTTTGTGGTTCCAAGGCCAGTGCCCAATTCATTGAGCCAACTTACTGCCATGTTAATGTTGTTGCTCTCTCATTATCATGCAGTAGTATTCTTTCCTGTCTTGGTGCTGATTTGAATTTGATGTCTGAAATCATCACTTTGAGAAGAATGTCCCAAACTCTGAAATAGTTTTAGAAGGAGATGTATTAGGTTGTTTGGTGCAGTTCCTTCCCACCCTCAAAGGCTATGGCTCTGGGAGGTTTACATCGTATAGGATTTAGACAAGGGTAGACAAGGGGACCCTCGAGTGTACAATTAAGAAGTTTTGCAGAGGGGCCAGCTTAAAATTTAAGCAAGCTTGATTGAGATGGATATCAGTAAATGTGAATATTCAGTGAAACTTGGGTGGACCCAAAACAAGACCAGTGAGGGGGTGGATCCTGAGTCCTGAGGGGCCGAGCTCCTCTTGATGACCTGGCCCTGTGAGTTTCTAGGTTGCAGGCTGTTGTGTGGTTCTGTTTATCCCAAGAAACTGTTGTCATTTCTCCACAAATAAACATGCCCCGAGTCTTCTGCTTCTCACTGATCTGTGTCATGCCGGTGATCCTAACGTTGAGTCTTCTGGATCTGGCTTGGGCAGAGCTCTGGGCCTCCCGGCACCTGCCCGGTCCTCCCCTCCCAGAGGCCTGGGACTGCCTGCTCTTGATGCTTTGCTTCCCACAGAGGAGCAGGCTTTTGGATGATTTTCACTGTGGTTTTCTTTTTTAGACTGGGTGTGACTTGTATTTTCTGTTAAATCTCTTCATTACTTCCTTCAGGAATTTTTTTTTGAGGGGCTCCTGAAATATCCTTCAGTTCTAGCGTATATCCAGGTTTGCCTCTTAAGTGCTTCTGCGGTTGTCTTTGGGGTTGAGTCTGTGTGTATTTGTCCTGTAATTTTGAATTTTGGATACGTTTGTTTTTATTGTTTGTTTCTGAATATTGTGTCTCTATTGATGGTTCTCTAACTTTTAACAGGGCCGGTAATTAGGACAGACTGGCCTCCTAGCATCTACACAGTCACAGAAGTCCAGGGATTGTAACTAGGAAGGGCTTTTGGTTCATTGAAAGAAGGAAAATTATTTAAGCCTTAAGTAACACCTTGGGATTTAGAGCTGTGAGGGATCGCCCAGTTCTTCCCCCTCCTTTTGTGATTGAGGAGCCAGACACCTGACCCAGAGAAAGTGACTTGTCCAAGGTCCCTCGGGTGCCGAGTAGCATGTCCCCAATGGCCACTACCGTTCTGTCACTGCCTTCTTTCTCTCCAGCATATATCGTGGCTGTGTACCACAGCATGAAAGAGGAGCTGAGACGCAGTGCCCCTGGGTGCACCCCCGTCAAGAGGAGAGGAAACAGCCAGCTGTCCCAAGAGGCTGAAGGGCTAGCTGGGGCTCTCCCTGGTGAGTGAGAGGCCCTGCCACGGCCTGCAGCTGTGCCTGAGGCCTAGTCTCTTGCTCCGTGTTCTCTGTGGCATGTGTGGGAATTTTAGCGATCTCTAATTCAAGCCCCAAATTCTTCTGGTAGCCCCTTCAGGGTATAAGGAGAGTTACCAGGCCTTTCTTCTCTCCCAGGAATGATCACCTTCTCCCAAGATTATGTAGCCAACGAGCTTACCCAGAACTTCTTCACCATCACGCAGAAGATCCAAAAGAAAGTAATGGGCTCCCGCAGCTCCACAGAGCCCTCCGACATGTTCCCATCCTCCCTGGCTCCCATCTGCTCCTCAACAACCCAGCCCTGGAGTTCATAAAATATGTGTGCAAGGTAAGGAAGGACCCCTGGTGTCCAGATCGTCCTGCCCGAGTCCACTCAGGTGCTGAGGGGGCTCAGACTTTGTGGGGACACAGCTGGAGCTCAGCGAGAGGCTCAAAGTTGGAGAGTGTTTCCCCTGGCCCTGGAAGGCCCCCTCTTCCTCCAGGCACTGCCTTCCAGCTGCTGCCTGCGTAGTGCAGGGCCTGTGGCCGTGGGCCCTGGGGGAGGCTGGGGAAAACTCTTTCCCCTTGCCACTCTCTCTCTCTCTCTCTCATGTTTGGGTTCTCATCTCTACCCACTTCTCCCCACTCCAGTCCTACTGGAGTCCTTGTCTCCACCAGCTGGTGTAGAAGAAGGATGCTCCTATTCCTGTGGCCAGTCTTTAGTGGGGAGATTTCATGGCATCCCACATTGGATCTAAGGATAGTGTTCTATACCACAGGTTAAATTCCACAGGACTACTGCTACTGTAGACTTAGAGTGACAGTCTGCTGGGGCTGAAAGGAGTCTCGGAGCTCACCTAGCCTGACCCCCTCATTGTAGAGATGAGGAGACTGAGGCCCCGAGAGGGCCTGTGGCTTTGGTGTCAGAGCTGGGATTAGAATCCAGATCACCTGGGCCTCAGCCTAGTGGATTTTACTGATTTTTGTGCCTGCCTGCCCTCTTTATAATAATATTTCTATGGCAAAACACATTCTGAATCTTAAACTAGTAAGTCAGGAACTTTGTGTACTTTACAACAGCAGTGGCTGTGTTAAGGGCAGTCTGGAGGAGCCAGCTGCCTATGCAGGCAGTGGAAGAGATAAGACAGCGATGCCATGCAGCCCAGAGAGAGGTAGCCCTCAGGCTGAGCTCCTCCCCAGAGTCCTCGGCCAGCTCCTGTGGGCTGTCTCTGCAGGTGCTCTCTCTGGACACCAACATCACCAACCAAGTGAACAAGCTGAATCGCGATCTCCTGCGGCTTGTGGACGTGGGTGAGTTCTCCGAGGAGGCCCGCTTCCGGGACCCCTGCCGCTCCTACGTGCTCCCTGAAGTCATCTGCCGGAGCTGCAACTTCTGCCGGGACCTAGACCTCTGCAAAGACCCCTTCCTCTCTCAGGTGCGGATCAGCTGACGTTCTTGCCTTCGGTGAGCCCTGAGGTCCCTCCTCGTTGGGACGTGATCTTCCAAACCAGGTTTTTCAGCTCCCAGCCCCAGGCCTCGCCCCCTTCCCCCTTCCCACACCTTGGCATCACACCCTGCTTTCCTGGCACCTGATAACCTAGAATCTCTAAGTCACTCCACCCCTCCTGCTAGTGTTTTCGGCAGTGCTGTGGACCAGCCCTGGGCCCGGGTTCCTCCCTCCTCTGAGGAGCCATTAGGAGGGGCTGGCCACCTGTCATTGGACTCTGCTCTCTCTAGCCATTGGCCTCAGCGCAGACTCATTGCACCACCGGGATGCACGAGCCCAGACCACGTCTAAGTTCCTGGAGAGCCAGAAGCCCTGGCCGGGGGGCTCATCTCATTGCCTTTTCCTTCCCCACTTAGGATGTCTCAGTCTTGCCTCAGTGGCTTTGCTCCAACTGCCAGGCGGCATATGACTCTGGCCACATCGAGATGGCTCTGGTAGAAGCCCTTCAGAAGAAGCTGATGGCCTTTACTCTGCAGGACCTGGTGAGGCACTGGGGGTGGGGCGCTGGGCTGGGCACATCCCATCCAGGGCCTGCAATGTCTTCTCTGAGGAGAGCTTCCCTGTCCACATCCATGTGCATTAAACAAGCAGCCATGGCCTTTTGAGAGAAGCAAGTGATAAGAGGGGAACTCCCTCAAAGGAGAGATCCCTTCACTTGGAGGACCCCAGGCTCATGGTGACTGGGGCTGGTTTTCCTGCTGGTAGCAACCAAATTCGTTAGCCCTTGAGAGAGGGGGAAGGAATTCCTGGGGAGGGCCCAGGGACTGAGCCACTGCTTTTCTGTCCTACTTGCAGAGTAGCCTTGCATTTCCCAGCTGGGAGGAAATGAGGTGAGCCCACTAAGAAAGTCCTCCAATCATGGGGCAGCTAGGGGCACAGTGGATAGAGCACCAGCCCTGGAGTCAAGAGGACCTGAGTTCAAATCTGGCCTCAGACACATAACACTTACTAGCTGTGTGACCATGGGCAAGTCACTCAACCCTATTGCCTAAACAAAACTAAAAAAAAAAAAGTCCTCCAATCATTCAGCAAGTATTTATTGACACCTGTGCCCAATTGGGGGGGGGGGGCACACATTACAGAGGGAAGAGAGAACACTGCCCCTATTCTCACAATATATGCAGGGGCAGTTAAGATCTGTAGGCCCCAGTGCAAAGTTAGTATCTTGTGTAATCAAAGACTTCATCATTTAGGATAGCTTGTAACTGAAGGGCAGAGGAAAGTCAGAGGCTACAGTGGTCAGGGAAAGGAGAGCCGTACAGGTAAAAGAGGAAAACTTTGAGAATCTGCCCGAGACCCCCACAACGTGTTGAGGAGCAGTGGGAGGTCAGGGTGGCCACAGAGTGAAGCCAGGTCATGGAGGGCCTGGACGGTCAGGCATGTGAGTGTGGGCTTGGGCGTCAGGGAGCTAGTATAGCTTCTTGAGCCGAGGCCAGAGGGCAGGAGGCTGGGAGGTCCGGAGCCCATCCCTCCCACCCGGCTCGGTGGGGAGCCTGCAGCCTGCTGGGGAAGTTCCCCCTTCAGCTTTCCTGTTTGTTTTAGATCTGCCTCAAGTGTAAAGGGGTGAAGGAGGCCAACATGCCCATCTACTGCAGCTGTGCTGGAGACTTTGCCCTGACCATTCAGACCAAGGTACGAGCAGGCCTGTCCTTCCTGGGGGGAGTAGTCTCAGCTCAGCCCTTCGAAGGGTTTCCTCCTTTCAGGTTCTGTCTGTGGCGTCTTCATGCACAGTAGTTCTCCTCTCCCTTGTGTCCCTCTCCAGCCTGATGGCAGTTCCTTTCTGCCTTTGCAGGTCTTTGTAGAACAGATTGGCATCTTCAGGAACATTGCCCGGCATTATGGCATGACCTACCTGACAGAAATGATTGAGTGGTTGCTACAGATGAATCCCCAGCTTGCCAACTAGCCCTGAGCCAGAGGGCAGGAGGGACACAGGCCCTCCCGGTGCTCTGAGCTAGACCTTTGGCCGTGGTCTCTGTGCCACTGCACTCAGTGTGACTGAGCTCTTCCTCTGGGGGGATGGAAGACACCCCACTTACATGTGACCAGCCACTTGGCATTTCTAAACCCATGAGAAGAAAGGACAGTGGGCAAAAGCCTTGTAGCTCCGGGAGAATCCCCAGAGCATTTGAAGTAGCAGCTGACTCTGGCCACAAGTGGTCCAAGGAGATAAGGGTGAGGAAGTGGTTCCCTCTCCCCACCTCCTGAGCATTCATCACATGAAGAGCAGAACCAGGCATGAAACCTTCCAAGAAGGAGGGTTCTGAGCCTTTGGAGATGTCTTGATTGTCACAGACACTTCTGTGGCTGAGAATCAGGTGAAGACCTTGGGGATTAGTTCCTGTGTGAATAAATGTTCTGTACGGAACAGCTCTTCTCTGGGCCTGTGGCAGGGGAGTCTCTGGGAACCATGCTTTAGGGGACCTGCTAAGGGTCTGCTGCTGGGGGGCAGAGTTTGCTCCCTGCCTATAAGAGCTTGGGCCGGGGCCAGGTGCCCGGGGCCGCAGTCCTGGAGGACAGAAGTGGCTTCCTCTCTGGAAACCTCTCACTCCCCCAGAACAGTGCCCCATTACCTTACCAGGCACCAGCAGGAGTATGCAAATGAGCCAGTGTGTTATCATCACTGTGTTGGCCAGGGCTCCACTTAAGGAAAGCAGGATTTGTAGCAATTATTTTGGGAAGGTTGGAAGCCTGGAGTATTCCAAGAATATTGCCCCTGTTGGCATTCTATGTGTCCTGAGGAAAACTAGCTCTATTGAAGTGTGGCTGGAGGGAATGAGCCAGACCCACAGGCCTGACCCTGTCCCCCTCGTCGGCTGAAGAGTTTGGGAGTAGGGATCAGAAAGGGGGGCTGTCCAAGGAGATGACCCCCAGCAGAAGGCTTTTCTTGGGGAGGATGAGGGGGCTGTGCTAGGAAGCCTGGGCCCTTGGTAACCAGAACCAGCCGGGGTGGGGGGGTTCCAGGCTGGCCTGAGATAGCACCAGAAATCAACGGCCACTCCCCAGTGCTGTTGGAAACTTGAGCTGCCTGCAGGTAGATGAAGCCAGAGTCAGCTTGGCTTGCAGAGGCTCTGGAGTGAAGACAAAATCAAATTAAAGAGAAGGCAGAGGCAATGGGGAGGAGGGAAAGAATGAGGCAAGCTGGGCTTCCTGGAAGGGCTGTGGCCAGATATCCCAGGGCAGACTGACGGGGAAAGTGCTTGGCCCTGGGGGGCCAGGGGATGCTTCGGACTTCCATTCTGTGCCTGGGTCTGATCCTGAGCATCGCCTGCTCAAGGTGACGAGGCTGGGAGGTTGTCCCGGGAGGTGGCAAAGAGGACATTAACGGCCATGGTTACCCCTGCAGAGATGGGCGGCAAACCGGGGTCAGTGAGGCCACTTGAAGGTGTCTGTGGGGGAGTCCTAGTGACCACTGGTGCTTGGGGATTAGAAATCAGAGCCCTCAGAACTAGCTTTCTCCATCTCTGAGCTGCTGCCAGATGCCCAGCTGGAAAAGCCAGTTTCTCAAATCTTTAGGGATGTAATACAGATACCCTGGACATGGCCGGTGACTGAGAGCCCTTCAGTGGCAATCCCACTTTCCACAAGAGACACACGTGTGCCTGTTAGAAAAGAAGGCTGCTTTCTTCCCTCCCTCTCATGGCCTCAGCTCCCCAACTAATTCCATTACTCTGACGCAGAAGCACAGCGCTGAAGCCCCGAGGTCCCTGGGGATTGGTGGTGTTCCAAGCTGGGCCTCCCTTGCCGGTCTGGGAGAGTGGGGGGCAGAGCCTAGTTCCTGTGATTAGGGAGGCAGACGGGCCTGGGAGCGATGGGTGAGGAGGACCGAGAAATACCCATCTAGGATGCTGAGAGAGGTTAAGGTCTTCGTTAGCAGCCAGAAAGAGCTGAGCAATCTGATTACCCATAGACATACTCAGGTCACTGCATTACTCCTAATCAGGTTAGTGTCAGCTTCCTCTTCTCTCCCTTCCAGCTCATGTCTGCTCCCTACATGTCCCTCACTTGTCATTGTACTGATGCCCCTTTCCTTTCACCCTTACCTTTGATTTAGGCTCTGAGGGTGAGGGGCTGACCAGCTAAGAGAGGCAGGATCACCACCTGGGACCCTTAGTCCCCCATCCCCCAACTCCATGACCACCCACTTTCCTTGCCCCAGAGGGAGACTGACCTCAGACTTCTCCCATGGAGTGTGAGGCAAGCTTACCCGCTCTGGGGGAGGGGAGAAGGACAGGTTTGAGAAGAGCTGTCTGAAATAGCCCCAGTGTGTTAGAATGAACAACAGGAGCATTGCCAAGCAGCAGGAAGGGGCCTGGAAATGCATTTAGTGCTGACCTGAACCCACTTCCCTCCAGCATAGCCAGCAAGCCGTCCCCTGGCCTCTGTCTAAAGCCTCCCTAGTAACCTCTAAGGCAACCCATTCCACTTGGAGAGAGCACTCAGTTAAACTGAGTGATGGAACGTTGGCATTGTGGCCAGTCTACACTTTCTGGCCCTTTGTTCCAGGGCTGGGTTCTCAGCTCAATGATCTGTGTAGTCTAAACAGGCCAAGGACCTGGTCCCAAAGCCCAGCTGTCCCCTTCACCCCTGCCCCATGAGCTATGTCCAAGAGAAGGGAGTGTTCTCCTCAAGCTGCCTCTTACCCTTTGCTGCAGACCCTCTGGCCCTCCCAGGTCTTCCAGGTCTGGAAGTGAGTGATTGGCTCGTGCCATGCTCCCAAGAACAAGTAAGGTCCAGCTGGCTCTGGTCATATATAATTTATTGGAGCTCACTGCCAACTTGTTCCCATTTGCATAAGGAGGTTCATGGGGACCCCTCTGGGGGAGGGGTGGAGCATATATGCCAGGGTAATGAAGCTGCAAGGGATGACATGGAAATCTCCCCCTTCCACTCACCCTGGAATGTGAGCTCAGATCTGAGGAAGGAGGATGTGTCACCGAGCCATCTGGCAGCAGGCTCATGGGGAAAGAGGGAGGGGATTGTGAGGTGTCCAGTAGGGGGGAAATTGAGGTCTCAGCTGGTGGGAAGAGAGGGGTACAACCTTGCTGAGGATCCAGAATAGGTTTCTGAGATGATGGTGCGGGTTGGGGATGAGGAAAAGACTAGAAGGGTGGGGACTGGAGTGGGAGAGAACCATCTTTTCTGTACCCCACATTTATATTAGCCAGGCCCCCAAAACTAGGTTGTCAGGAAGACAGGCAACATCGGGGGGCCCAGACCCAGGCCTGTTGATCCGAGCTGCCCCTCAGTCTAGCAGCACGGGCCCAGAGACCTTGTCTTTCGGCAGAGCTGTTGACTTCAAATGACCCTGTGGTCCCAGCCAGGGCCTCACTCTCTAAGCAGCACAAGGAAAAGGTGGAGATGGTGCTGGGGGTTCAGAGCTGGGACAAGCCTTTGGGTTCCATGGGGATGGAGTCCTGTGAAGAAGCCTGTGGGCTGGAAGGCCCTTGTCCTTCACTCGGGTCCTGGGTATCCACCATCTGCTTGGACCAGGGGCAGAGATGGAGTACAGGCTGATCCCCAGGCTAGAGATTTCTGTGTGGTGGGGATTAGGGCTCTGGGCTACTGGCCCCTCTTCTGTAAGTCATTTTCCTGGGGTACTTCCCTGAGCCTCAGTTTGCCCATCTGTAGCAAGGGGAAGTGGAACTCTGGCTCTGGCTTGTAGAGCTGTCTGTGGGGCACTGCCCAAGGGAGGGAGAGGGTGTGGGAGTGGGTTGTACCTTGTCAAACTTTCTGTGACTGTAGACCTTATTCTTGTTCATGAAGGTCAGTAAAATCCAGTCGCAGAGGAAGGAGCCCTTGGGAGTAAGAGGTAGAGGCCTGAGTAAGCGTTCTGCCCGCCCCATGCCCTCCCCAGGATCTCAGGGGAACACACTTACCACTCCAATAGAAGTCAGCGCTGTGGCCAGGTTAATGATGGTGGGAATCAGGCTAAATTTCCCAGCCTGGTGGGAAAAGACATACTTTTAGGCTTCTACACCCAACAGCCACTGCCTTGAACTCTTCCCTTAGGCAGCATCATCAGCCTCAAAGGCTCCTGTCTCCCTACCTGTCCATGCACGATAACATCAATTCGGATCCCATAGGCCTTGATGAGAGTACGGGAGTCTGTGCCATTGTGGTTGTAGTACTTGGCAAATCTAGAATGAAACAGGGCCAGGGGTGAAACATGCCACGTGTACAGTCAACACCCCCACAGGACATTGGATGGCACCTACGAGGTCCTCATCCCTCTCCCAGAGCATTGGGCTGAGTGGAAAATTGGACTCCTGGCTTCTGGTCTCTTCCCTCTCCAATCCATCCTCCCCCCAGCCACCATAACAGCACGGAGACCTGTACTGGCCAGGTCGCTCCTATGCAGGAATCTTCAGTGATCCCCTAGGGCAGGTTCCCCACCTCTGCCCTAGTGACTTTGGAGCCCAGTCCAGACATCTTTGCTTGACTTTTCGTGCCTTTCACCGAAAGCCAAAGTGCTCCCTTCCTTCCACCTCCACCCTTGGAACGCACTCCCTCTGCAGCTCGACCTCTTAGAATCTCTGGCTTCCTTCAAGACTCAGCACTAATATTAAGTGCCCACTCTGTGCCAGGAACCCCTTTTCATTCTAGAGCCCTCCTCTTTTAATTATTTCCTATTTGTCCTGTATATAGCTTGTTTGCAAATATTTGTATACAGGTTGTCTCCCCAATTAGATTGTAAGCTCATTGAGGGGCAGGGACTGTCTTTTACCTCTTTTTTTTTTGTTATCCATGGCGCTTATATAGTGCTTGGCATACAGTAGGTGCTTAATAAATGTTTATTGACTGTCTTAGGTGCTCAGGATACAAACACTGAATCCAAAGATGCAGCGACCAACAACGACAAACGTTTACTAAATGCCTACTGTGTGCCCCTCACTGTGCTTGGCCAGTGGATACAAAAACAATACTGAAGCAGACCCTGCCCTCAAGGAGCTTACATTCTACCCAAGAGCAGCTCCTGTAGCACCTATAGGGAGCTTTCAGAGAAAGCTGAACTCCCTCATTGTTAGTGTTCTCTCCTCAAATTACATGTATACTTATGCTCGCACATCATAGCCCCACTCCTAGTAGACTGTAAGCTCCCTGAGGGAAGGGACCGTTTTTTGTTTTGTCTTTGTATCCTTAGCATCTAGCACAGTGCCTGGGACGTGGTCACTTCAATGCCCATGGGGTTGGATTGGATGGACAAGTGTATTGACTGAAGTTTAGGTACAAACTCTCCCCTTCCTCTTGGGAGGTCCACAGTCATCTACTTGTCCCTTTTCATTTTTGCCTAGAAGGAAGAGTCCCAGCCCTTGGGAATCCTCCCTCCTTGGCTGTTAGGCCAGCCCTAGCTTGTTGGTGTTGGTGATGAGCCCTGCCCACTGTGTACTGGCTGGGAAGGCTGGTGGGGGACTGAGTCCCAGGAGAGCCGCTCCCAGGAGCTTCCAGGGCATACCTGTAGTTGTAGCCTGAGGAAGCCTGGATGTGCTTAGGGTCAAGCCGCCGGAAGGAATATTTGGGATTGCATTTGGACTCAGACAGGTCCAGGTCACAGTTCCAGTTGATAATGATCCCAATGACTCCGCCCTGCAGAGAAGAGGAGCTAGGATTACAAGGATATGAGCGGCATGGCAGTCCTGCCCCTTAAGTCAGAGCATTGGAGTTCAAGTCCTCCTGCTCACCGTTATTCCTTGTGTGACCCTGGACAAGTCAGCTAACTCTCTAGGCTTCAGTTTCCTCCTCTATGAAAGAGTGGGATTGGCCCAGACATCCTCTGAGGCCTGTCCTCTCTCTAAATTGACATATTTATGATTGGAATGGAATGAGAGTCACTTATAAGAAAGGAGAAGGATGGTGTCCATGACCCATTCAGACCTGGAGGCAGAAGAGGCAAAAGACTGAAAGAGTCAGGGCCATGCTGGACCTTATTATATAGGTTAACCCTGCGAAAGAAATCATAGATTTGGGATCTCAGAAGTTACCTTGCCCAACCTGAAGTGAAGTTACTTGCCCAGGGTCACACAGGTAGTAAACTGAAGATTTGAGATTCAGACTCAGATCTTCTGACCTCAAATCAAGCATTCTTTTCCCTGCACCATGCTTGGAGGGTCGGCACACAGCTTGAGAGCTGAAGTCCCTCACACTCATACCTTCCCCCAGCTCCCCCTCTGCCCACCTTCAAAATTTTCCATGGCTTCCTCAGCCCACATGGAAGCTGGCGGGCCAGCCATGAGCACCAGCGTTCAATAATTCAGCAGGTATTACGTATAACAAAGTTGGCCAGACAGATCACATTTCTCTTTCCTCTGCCTCTGGTGGCAGGTGGAGCCAGCCCATCTTCTGAGACAGGAGAGACTCAGTGACCCTCCCACAGGGACACGGACCCTCCTATTCCTCGTTCTCCCTTCACTGGGGCTTTGACTGCATTTGGTACCCTTTACCAAGCTGATCAGAAATCCTAGGAAAAATCTACTGAGAAGGAACTCTACTCCTGGTCTCCATATTCTAGTCATGAGCCCCCATCACTGTACTTCATTCCCCAATTCCAATGCTTCACTCCCGAGTCCCTGGTCTCATAGTGTATTGTTGAGTTTCCAGCCTCCCAGCCTCGTACTTCATTCCTGAGCCTCCCAGCCTCATACTTCATTCCTGAGCCTCCCAGCCTTATGCTTCATTCCTGAGCCTCCATATTTCTGTTCCATTGTCCCTAGCCTGTATATGACACTCTTGAACTCAAGTCTCACCTTCCACTTCTGAGCCCCCAGTCTCAGATTTTGGAACTGCCACTTTTATGATGAGGTCCCCTTAGCCCCCACACTACTCCCAAGTCCCAAGCCTCATACTTCACTCCTGAGTCCCTACTTCTCGGTTCCATCCCCTCACCCTCACCCTTCATATTCTCCTTTCTCCCTCCCCCAAGCCCCAACCTTGTGTGCCAGCTCTGTGAAGTTCTCTCCTGCCTGTTCCACAATGAAGCCCAATTTAAATATGGGACAGTAGAGGTCGGTGTCAGCATTGAAGGTGCAGTGTTTCAGGTAGCCATCATCATAGTCCCTGATGTTTCCCCTGGGAGATAGAGGAGGACCATGGTGGAGTTGAGACAATTGTCTCCCCTTGCTCCCACATGGCCCACTTCCCCTAGAAGTTGAGGATGGGGCAAACATATTTCCTCAGTCAGAAGAGCCCAATCTCATCTCCAAGCCATGTATCATGACCGCCTTCCCTGTAGCTCTCCCCTTCCCCCTTACCACCTCATCCCCTGCCTTGGGCCCCATGACAAACCGTTTATTTGTCTCTTACTTGGAAAATTGGAATTTAGGGTAATGTATGCTGTTCTTGATGAGGATGGTGAACTGTGGGGCCATCTGTCCCAGGAACTCACTGAAGAGGAAGGACAGACAGATCAAGAGTGAGGGTCCTCCTCCTCACATGAAACAGAGTGCAGCATCCCTAACCAGAGAGTTGGGTTTGTGGGATCAGATTCACCTCCCCTGCCCAAAACAATTATGTCACACACACACATCACCAGACCACGGCAAAGGAGAGTAATTTGCTCAAGACCCCACATCAATGGCATGGCTAGAACCAAAAGCCAGGTCTTCAGATGATAGGACTTAGAGCTGGAAAGGATCTTCCATAACATCTTCTTCAACTGCCTCATTTTACAGATGAGGAAACTGAGGCTCAGAAAAAATTACGTGTCCAAGGTTTTGCAAATAGAGCTAAGATTTGGATCCAGGTCCTCTGACTTTTCGTGTCAACTTTAGGAATAGCCTTGATCTGGCCAAGAGGCAGGTTGGCAGTGAACCAGTGGAGGGGACAGAGGATTTGGGTTCAAATCTCACTTCTGACACCACTTGTGCAACCTTGGGCAAGTTACTTCCATCAATTTTCTCATCTATAAAATAAGGGGGTTGGGCTAGAAGTCCAGTAGGGTCTCTTCCTGTGAATCCTGAATGTGATGGGGAGGGGCAGGGCAAGGGCTAGGGTGCTTCTGTAGGAAGCAGGCAGGCAGAGAAGTTTCCCTTCAGCCTGAGAACTTAGGTCCTGGGGGACAGTGATGGGTGCTGGTGTCTCTGGACCTATTGACTGCTTCGTCCTCCACAGGGCACCAGGCTGACACCTCACATGTCTTCTTGGTCCCACGGTAATAGGGAACACAACGTCCAGTTTTCTCTCCTAAGGAAATGGAGAAGCATGAAAACTTGGGGTAAAGGGGGTGAGGGTAACTGGGTCCCCAAAAGCAGGGACCCAGAAGCAAGGGATTCTGTCTGTCAGCCATCCTGTGCTACTATGTACTCACCATTGCCCAGCATGTCCATCTCCCCTGCTATGCAATCATCATCAGAGAAGCAGGTGGCATTTCGAATGCGTATGCTCTGGAGGACATAAGGAAGGGTAAACCAGCTGAGCCCCAGCCACTGACTTCTGAATCCCTTTATCCATCCCCTCCTGGCTACACTTGGGGTCAGAAAGCTAGTGCTAGAAGAGATCATCTCCTAGGCCATCATTTCACACTTCGTTTTCCGTATTAGAAAAGCTTAGAGAAGAAGGAAAGGTTTTGCCCAAGGTCATACAGTTACTAAGCTGGAGGGATTTGAACCCAGGTCTCCTGATTCCAAATCTCCCCCCCTCTAAACAGGACAAGGGCCCCTAAATATCTGTCATGGTTCCCTCTATCCTTTCTTCCCCACCTCCACCTTCTTTAGTCCCTCCCTTCCAATTACTGCCTACTTTCCAACCACCACCCCACCTATATCAAAAGATTGGTGCAATAGAAAACTCACCTCTGGGCAGGTTCCTAGGGTCTGAAAGGGAGTTATTTCTGCCCGAGTGATGATGCTAAACACACTGCCCCCCTAATCTCCAAAGAGAGAAGAAAAAGTCATGGGGTGGGGCAGGATGGGGGGGGGACTGGCAATAGCAGCCCTTCCCTCCATTTAGACCCATCCCTCTTAAAGGGCAGGACAGGACAGGACAGAGGAAGCTGAGCTGATTGGTAGGGGCCAAGGGCCAGGAAAGCCATTATTTCCCACCCTCAGGAATCAGACCCTATCACTGGGAAGAGGGGGTGTCTGTGGCTCAGAGAGGTCCTCACCTCAGGGGGTTTCACATACTCTTCTACATCCCATACTTTCTTCTGGGACTTGGTGATGCCCTTGACCTTCGTGATGACAGAACTCTCAGGGCCAGTCTCACTGTCCTGGTAGCCTTTTTGAATGATGAATACATACCTGCCAAGTAGAGAGAGCACCCAGGACTGCTTAGGGCTCCCTCAGGGATACCTGGGGCTGCCTTCCCCCATCCAGAGCACGCCTTTGGGAGTCCCCTAGGGGGAAACTGGCTCAATAAGGGACTTTTCCCTAGGGCCGGCCCATTACCACTCTGGGTTCATTTCTTTCATTTTTGTTACTCTAAAAGGGGGGAAATTGGGTCTGGCCAGCTTCCTGAGCCCTTCTTTCCCGTCAGCCTCTAGCATCCTTCACAATCAACTCTGCCCCATCTCTGTTTTCCACCCTGCTCTTTCCTACCCTATCTGTCTCACTCCCCCTCCGCTTCTAGGTCTGTCTCCTTCCTCCCTCAACTATGTTTTCTACTGCCTTCTGACCCTCCTACCCCTTCTACCTCCTCCTGGCCCGTAAGTCTATTCTTTCCCGCTGTCTTCCAGATCCCTGCCTTTCTCGTCTCTCAAGTCTATCCCCTTCTGGTTCCCCCTCCTCTGTCCCTTCCTGCCCCCCCCCAGCTCAGTCCTACATCTGCCCCTTCTCCTTGTGTCCCTTTTTGGGCCCCCCCCCATTGCTCCCCCAGGTCCTCCCCTTCTTGCCCCGCCCCATGTCTATCTTCTCCAGCAAACAGCCGTTCCCTTACCCCGTTTGTCCTCTCCTGGCTGCCCTCCCCAGGTCTGTCTCCTCCTGCCCCCTCTCAGTTCTATCCCCTCATGCTCCCCCTGTGTCCTCCCTTTCTTGCTCCCCATGTCTTTCTTCTCCTGCACCCCCAGCGCACTAAGCCTCTCTTGCCCCTCCGCGTCCGTCTCCTCCAGCCCCCTCCCATCTGTTCCTCCTTCCCTTTCCCTCTCCCCCAGGGCCGGACCGCACCAGACAAAGTAGAGAAGGATGAGTAGCTGCACTGTGCGGTAGATGAAGCCCAAGTTTCTGTTCTTCACCACGATCACCTTGGGCGTCTCATAGTCCCAGAAACCCCAGAAGACATTCCAGCAGGTCTTGGCCATGTGCGGGGCCGAGCGCTCCTTCTCAGGGGCTGCTGGTTCGGAGGAGTCCATGAGGAAGTGGGGCTCTGGGACCCCGGTCCCTTGCTCCCCCTCTGCCGGACCCGGAGCACAGGAGCCACCCCCCAATGCCTGGGCCCCCTGAGCCGTCTGGGGCATGGGCCTCTCGCTGCCTGCCAAGCCGCCTCTGTGCTTCCCAGCACACTGACCGGTCCCTCCGGTCCCAAAGTGCCCCGGCCACCCCTTCGGGGCGGGGATGGGAGAGCGGAGATGTCCGCGACAGCCACGCCCCCTCTCGGCCAGCCACCTCCCCTACACCTCCCTCCTGCTCTCCTCCCTCGCGGGTCCACGCCCCTCACCCCCGGCCCCACGCCTCAGCAGGCAGCTGGGAGTTGGGGGATTTGTAAGATTGGATACCTCCCTGACCGGCCGGCTTCCCCGCTGCTCTGCCTCTCCCCAGTACTACGCATACCGTGTTAAGTAAAGCAGGTAAGGCGCCTTTGGCATCGGGGGAGACTGGAGGATGGGGGCTTGTGCCCAGGGATCACTCTCTCCCCCTCTACCCTTTAGGTGCCTAGAACTGAGACCTCCTGTGTTCCCTGAAAACCCCGGGAAGCGTCTTGCGGAGCCCTTTGGAGGGCTGGCCCTAGGAGAGGGCATCCCAAGAGAAGGCATCTATGCCCCTTCTGGCCACGGGGAAACACCCCACCGCCACGGCTATGGCAGGTCAGATACGGGAGCCTTCTTCCATTCCCCTGTAGGTCCCCGGGGAGACCTGCGTGAGATGTATTGGGCATAAGGCGTGGGGCATTCAGTGATGGTGGGAATGGGAAACACAAGCCATCCTGGAGAATAAACCGTTCACTGGCTAGCTCCCACCTAGCTTCCTCCAAGCCCTGCATCTGAGAGTGGGAGACACTGCTGGCTTGAGTCGTGAGGGCAGGGGGTGACACACCGCTGGAAGAGCTCCCCCCTTAGCCTTCTAGGAATTCTTTGCTCTAGAGTTTAAAGTGGGGAAAGAAAAATCCCGCAGAGATTCCGCTGGCTCCGTTCCATCCCCACTCCCCACGCTTCTGCCACCCGGGGTTTTAGAGAGCAGGGCACAGAGAAGGAAGAGAGCAGAAAGAAAAGCTGGTGAGAAGAGGAAGGTGGGGCATGAGGAAGGCCCGCAGAAGACCTCGGAAGGCAGTGTTCTGGGACAGAACGAGTACTGGATTTGGAGGCAGACAGGCTGAGACAGAATCCCAGCCATGCCTCCTGCTCCCTGTGTGAGTCCGAGCAAACCACTCTCTGTGACTCAGTTTCCTCTTCTATAGAAAGAGGGAGTTGTGTTTGATAGCCTCTGAGGTCCTTTCAGCTGCAAGTCTAGTATCCTCGTATCTGTTGCTGTTGAGGGTTCTAGCATATGCCTCAGTTTGCTTGTCTGTAAAATAGATAAGATCGGCATTACCTAGTTTTATTGGGCCATTGTGGGGATAAGCTGTCATCCTCAAAACATAGTTACACGATTTCCCCAGCAACTTAATGCGGTAATAACCAACATTAGTGAAATACCTAGTATATGTAAGGTTGCTGGGGCTACGACCCCTGCCCTCATGGAGCTTACATTCTATTGAAACATAACTATGGTCATTTATTATTTGGCCATCATCCTATTATCAAGCAGGCAGGCAAGCATTTATGAAGCACCTGTTGTATTCCGGGAACCTACGAGGTGCTAGGGTGCTGAGGCAAAAATGAAATGATTCCTGCCCTCAGGAAGCTTACTTTTTGTTGCAGAAGACAACATGTATGTATGTATGTAGGCATATACAAAATAGACATGAAGTAATTCTGGCAGGGAGGCATTGGAAGGTGGGGGGATCTGGAAAGTCTTTGTGTGGAAGGTGGTAATTGAGCTTGGAAAGAAACTAGGTGAGTGGGAGGAATGAGGGAACAGGCTGTACAAAGACATGTCCTGGTCTGGGCCGTGTAACAGAATAAGCCATCCCACAGAATACCTACTTTCTATTGGAAGACAAGAATGATAAAATACTTTCAATTCCTGTGGCATATTTCATGAAATTCTCAGGGCACATGCAGAGCTAGAAGAGAGACTTTCCTTCCTTTTTTTTTTAATTCTCTTTCTTTCCCTGCCTTTCTCTACTTTCTACCCTTTCTCAAACCCTCTCTTTCAGTCTCCCTTTCTCTCCCCTTTCTTTTTTTTTTTTCTTCTTTTCTCCCTTATATTCCCCTCTCTGTTTCTCCCTCTTGGTCTCTCTTGCTTTAAAAAAGTTAAATGTTTTATTTAAAACCTCACCTATCATTGGTACAAACAACTAAATTTGCCTTAGTATCTATTTACGTTGAAATCAATCATTTAAAAAGTGTTTGTGTTTATTTTAACTTAGCCAAAATATGAGCATTTTTAAATGATTTATTTTATCTGGTGAACTAAAACCACTGGATTATTTGGTTCATCAGTTTTGTGGATTCATAGTGATAAAATTTTATTCATTTGAATTCGAGGTTCAGGGTTTTACTTTGGTTTTTAGAAAAGAAAATATGCTGTCTCATACCCCATTTATTCCTTGACTTCTTGCAATGTGGCTTCTACTCCCATCCTTTCCATTAAAATGCTTTATCCCAAATTGCTCATGACCCAAGAATCCTCACATATTAACCTCTTTAAACCTTTCCCTTTCCTTCCATGACATTTCATTCACCCAGTTCTTCTATCTTTCTGATGGCTCATTATCTGTCTTTACTGGCTTCAGTCCTCCTGTCAACAAAAAATAGACATTTTAAGAGGGAAGAAAGAAATCTTTTCTTCAATATCTTTCTTTCCCTCCAGGGTTTAAATTTTTTTTTATCAATTTATTTATTTTCAGTTTTTAACATTCACTTCCACAAGATTTTGAATTCCAATTTTTCTCCTCATCTCTCCCTTCCCCCACCCCAAGATGGCATGCATTCTGAATATCCCTTCCCCCAATCTGCCCTCTCTTCTATTACCTCCCCACTTTCTCTTATCCCCTTCCCCTTCTATTTTCCTATAGGACAGGATAGATTTCTATATCCCTTTGCCTGTATATCTTGTTTTCCAGTTGCATGTAACATTAGTTTTTAAAACTTTGAGTTCCGACTTCTCTCCCTTCCTCCCCCACCCCTCGCTTATTGAGAGGGCAAGCAATTCAATATATTGCAGTCATGCAAAACACTTCCAAATAGTCATGTTGTGAACACCTATCAGATCAATCATTTTCAATGCATGAAGTGCCATGACACAATTTCTGTGCCTCACGCTAGTCCCATCAGAATTCTTCATTCTCATTTGCTTTTCTTCCATTTATAATTCGCCCTTCCTCCATTCCTCTGGTTTTGCTTTTTCACATTTTGCATTATTTCATAAAGGTCTCTCCAGATCTCTTGGATTTCCTCAGACTTGCAAGTCTTAATTGAATGATAGCCTCTCTCTCTTCCCTCTCTTTACCTGCCCCCCCATTTCTTTCCCTCCTCTCCCGGATCTCTCTCCCTTTTCCTCCCCCTTTCCTTCCCTCCCTCCTCCCTTTTCTTCCTTCCTCCCTATCAACAAGTCTTTATTAAGGAGATGTCAGGCACTGTGCTAGGCACTGGAGAAACAAGGACAAAGAATGAAACAATCCATACTTGCAAAATGAGCTTCCATTCTATCCCTCTTCCTTTCCCTTTCCCTTCCCTCCCTTCTCTCCTCTTCATGTCTCTTTCCTTCCTCTTTCTTTCTCTCTCTCTTTGTTCTCCCTTTTTGGGTTCTATTATTTCTATGTCATTCCTATTACTACAACTGCCTTAAAACAAACAAACAGACAAAAGCTTAAATCGTCATAGGAAATTTCTCCTGAGAGATTTGAATGATACAGTTCCATCCCTGCTCTGCTCCTGCCAGACAGTCTTGATCACTGCAGGGACCTCTGACCCCTCCCAATAAGCCAGCTCCCCTCTCACTTTCCAAAGAGTACCGGTTGAGAAAGTCACAGCTGTGCAACCGTGAGGCAGAAAGGGAGCGTGATCATGCTGTGCCCCTGAGTACAGTTTCCCCCAGGGAGCTTTCTGTCTGATTAAAGAAGCCGAAAGGATCCTGTGGGTCCTGGGAGAAATTCTGCCCCAGTGACTGATATGGAGGATTCTGTGGTTCCTGGGAGAATTAGACTGGGGCTTTGTCCGCAGTAACAAGTGAGAAGGAGACAGATAGTGAAAAAGAATGATAGTGGTGGAGAGAGGAGAGGAAGGTGGGATGGAAAGGGAAAGAAGGGAGATGGGGGAGAGAGGGAGGGGAAGGAAGAGAGAGACATTTGGATGTTTGACCATCTTTGGCCCATAATTCCTAGTGATTCACAAGTAGTCAAGACTATAGGAATGGGCCACCTTGTCTGGCTAGGTGGCACAACTTTTAGGTCTCACCAGGGTCTGTGACGTGAATGTGCCAGAATACACCCATATCATTGTGTAGTGAGGTTCTAAACGAAGAGGCAAGTTAAAAATGGCAGTTGGTTGGATTCTGACTTTAGACTAAGGGATGACAAAGAATTATGGTTCACAACTTTTTGTTTAAGTAGGAAATCTAGAGTTCCAAAGCCCCCACTCATTTCTGGACTTCTTTTGGTTGCAACCCTTCACATTCATAAGACTGAAACAATCAACATAACATGACTGTGGTCACATAGTTTATTAGACATAGTGAAAAAGCATGGAAAATTTCGTGCTCCCTACATAGAACCCTCTGCCCAGTCATCTCCTGTAACCCCTCCTGACTACCCTTCCTGCTCCTGGGAGGCTAGGAAAAAGTCCTGAAGTATTTATAGATCATTGAGAGGGAGGAAGGAGGAAGGATGCTGTGTGTGTGTGTGTGAGTGTGTGGACTTCTGAATTTAAACAGGGGTGTGGAGTGAGGTTGGTGTTTTTGCTTTTGGCACACCACTCCATGGGGCTTCAAGTTAACTGATTGTCTCTGGCACTCAGGGCCTTCTTTCATTCTGGTCCCTGTTTCTACTTCTAGTCAGGCCACTTTTGAAGGACTGGCACTGATTGAGTTACAACAGATAAAAGCTTGGGCCAGGGCCTTTGGTGACGCCCAGTTTGATATAAGCTGCCCTGGTGCAAGTAGCGGTTGTGGGATCTGTTGATGCAGAAGTCTGATTCTCAAAAGTCCACTGCTCTCCAATTTGAAACTATGTCCAAAGAGCTATAAAACTGTTCATACCCTTTGATCCAGCAATACCACTGTTAGGTCTGTGCCCCAAAGAGATAAAAAGGGGAGAAGGACTTATTTGTACAAAAATATTTATAGCAGCTCTTTTTGTGGTGGCTAAAAATTGGAAATTGAGGGGATGCCCATCCATTGGGGAATGACTGTGGTATATGATTGTTGTGGTATATGATTGTAATAAAATATTATTGTGCTATGAGAAATGATAAGTAGGATAATTTCAGAAAAACCTGGAAAGACTGATACAAAGTGAAATGAATAGAACCAGGAGGACATTCTACACAGTAACAGCAACATTGTATGATGAAGAATTGTGAATGACTTAGTTATTCTCAGCAATACAATGATCCAAGATAGTCCCATAGGACTCAAGATGAAAAATGCTATCCACCTCCAGAGGAAGAACTGATGTCTGAATATAGACTGAAGCATACTGTTCTCTCTCTCTCTCTCTCTCTCTCTCTCTCTCTCTCTCTCTCTCTCTCTCTCTCTCTCTCTGTCT